GAAAGGTGGATTTTTAGAAGTAGAAGCTCAAACTGTTTGGGCACAGACCTGGATAGTATGATAGAGCTCTGCAGGCTATCTCTACAGTAGATTGGAACTATGCCCCCTTTGGCAGTTCTATCTAGATGGAAAATGTTGTAGTTCGGAATGGAAAGTTCCTAATTTTTGGTGGCCTTCCTAAGTCAAGATTCAGACACTGCTAGAACATCAGGGTTGGCAGAGTGTGCTAACGCAGTGAATAATTCAAACTTGGGGAGGAGACTTCTGATGTTAACATGCAAGAAACCAAGGCTTTTACGGTTACAGAAGTCAACAAATGATAGCGCCTGGGGGGTAGGAGTGATACTGGGGGCTACAGGGCCTGGGTTAACCTCTACATCACCAGAGGAACAAAGGAGGAATAGAATAAGGATACGGCTAAAGGCTTTAAGAACTGGTCTTCTAGTGCGTTGGGTACAGAGAAAAGGGGCAGATTTCCGGGCGTTGTAGAATAGATTAAGGGCCATTATGTACAGACAAGGATATGGAAGGATATGAGCACAGTGGAGGTACACCTAAGCATTGGGTAACTATGAAAGAGATAGCATCACTGGAGGTACCGATTGAGCTGTTCTCCGCGTGTATGGGGGGTGGGACAAAGGAGCTCTCTGAGGCTGGTTCAGCTGAACTTGGGGCTCTACATTGAAATGGTATAATAAGAACTAACTGGAACAGCAATAGGCAAGGCATATTGACATGGGAGAGAGGCATAATGCAATCACAGGTGTTATTCGAGAGGGCTAAGACAACAACTGGTAATGGCGACGAAAGTTTGGGCTGAGGCTAAACAGATAAACAGGATGGGGTACCGTGTAAAGGAACAGTCCAGCAGGCATTAGCTGTGTAGCACTAAGTAAGTCAGTCCGGGAGCAGATCGTAGGCTGCTAAAGCACAGGCGAGCAGGACGCACGGCTGTTGATTGCGTGTGCTAGCGGGCCGGGGCTAGTAGATGGATCTTCGTGGTCGTCGCAACGGGAAGCCTGCTGAAACCACATCAGATGATTACGTCGGCAGACCAGTCGTGATGGATCGGCGGGGCTCCGTGTCGACACTAGGAGGTCCCGCCCGGTTGACAGAGAGGTAGATAGCCGGGAGATGGGCCTGGCTCAAGGCTAGCTCAAGGCTAACTGGTACGTCAGGAAGTGGGGATTAGCCAACAACAGCCATTCAGTTGCAGCTAGCTAGTTGCGATGGTCCGATGTTAAGGTCCAGTGATTCAGTGATTCCGGCAGAAAGTCCGATATGCTCTGGGTTGATAGCACGTTGTGCAGACTGGCCGATAATTGTCCAGGCTAGAGCTGGCTGGTAGGTAGTGCAGGCCACGGACAGTGGTGAAGACCGCTAACGGTGGCAAATAGCAAGTAGCTAGTTAGCTGGCTAGTTTCAGACGTAGGTTCTTGATAAAAATAAAGAAATAATAGAATCCGTTCCACATTGGGTGAGGTGGGTTGCAGTAAAGTATATTTAGTTAAAGGATGGAAAGTGAGATAGAGAAATATATACGAATAAAAGACAAAAAAAAAAAAAAAAACTGGCTATTTACACGAGGACACAACACAATACACGACCGCACTGCTACGCCATCTTGGTCATTTACGTTGAGCTTCAGTTACTCAAATAGATATTTTAGAATATATGTTTTGTACTCATACAATAAATTAGTAATAGTAGTATTAGAAGTAATAAATAACAATGGGATTACATACTCTTCTGATGCTTGAGTAGGGCCCTGGACACAATAACCTTCGTTCTCGTCGTTGGGGTCTGGTTCGTCCGGTCTACGCAGGTCCTCATCGTCCGATTCAGAGTCAATGGGGATACATGGAGTCCAACTTTCATCTGTTACAATTAATAACGCCTCTGTAACTGTATATTTCTTACTAGAGCCTGACATATTTTTATAAACTTTGTGTTTTCCCTCCAAAATTCAAGTGCTGTTGTGTGCTCTGCGTAACCGTGCGTAATGCAGCAAGTCAACTAATGTGATACAATGAGGTGCGCACATGGATATTTCAACAACCAGTTGGTCGATTTTGACATGTGACCCCTCTATCGAAAGTTCTGGATCAGTAGAATTAGATTAGCACAGTTGCAAGCCACTGGGATTGCATTATATATCCAGAAGATGGCGACAAAACAGTGCCTGTTGTGATTGAAACAAACTACTGACTTCATCTTCAAACACATTCTTGGCCATGTAAAACGATGTAAACTCATTGAAATCGACTCGGAATGAGAGAGAGACACTAAAGTACCTTTTCAAGTGGTTTTATTTGATCAGACACTACTTTTGGTAACAAAAACAACAAAGGTAAGACGCAGTTTGTTGTTGTGGTAAAAAAAAATTGAAGTTTGTTATTGACGTTCTTTGATTAATAGTTTAGTGAGTGTTGGTCATAGAGGAACACGGCTATCACTGTTGGAATCTGTGAGGTAGCAGCTTTCGAAAGGTGTATCGTTTGTGTAGATAGGTTGAGAAAAATAAGTTATCTGTCTACGAATATACGGGCATGCACGGTTTCAAAATACAGTACTGGTTTTGCTATATGCTTATATATTTGCTTGGAGTCTGAATATTATTTCATTTTGGAAGCAACAGTTTAGCTAGATTCACAGTTGAGACGCTTCTCGTTCCAGTAGTGTATAACATTCAGGTATTCACACATGTTTAAAAACCGTACTACGTCATTGTTTGAGATTGCGGGAGGAGTACCCCGGATATGGGGAACCTCGGGATGAAGAGGTTAAAGGAAATGCTACAAAATACTAATTGAGTGTATGTAAACTTCTGACCCACTGGGAATGTGATTAAAGAAATACAAGCTGAAATAAATCATTCTCTCTACTATTATTCTGACATTTCACATTCTTAAAATAAAGTGGTGATCCTAATAATTGACCTAAAACAGGGAATTCTTACTAGGATTAAATGTCAGGAATTGTAAAAAAAAACTGAGTTTAAATGTATTTGGCTAAGGTGTATGTAAACTTCCGACTTCAACTGTATATCACACACACACGTATGTGGACACCACTTCAAATGAGTGGATTCAGCTATTTCAGCCACACCCGTTGCTGACAGATGTATAAAATCGAGCCCACAGCCATGCAATCTCCATATACAAACATTGGCAGTATAATGGCCCATACTGAAGAGCTCAGTGACTTTCAACGTGGCACCGTCATAGGATGCCACCTTTCCAACAAGTCAGTTCGTCAAATAGCAAGTGCTATTATTGTGAAGTGGAAACTTCTAGGAGCAACAACGGCACATCCGCGAAGTGGTAGCCTACACAAGCTCACGTAACGGGATTGCTAAAACTCGTAGCGTGTAAAATGTCTGTCCTCGGTTGCAACACTCAGTATCTAGTTCCAAACTGCCTCTGGATGCAACGTCAGCACAATAACTTTTCGTTTCCATGGCCGAGCAGCCGCACACAAGACTAAGATCATCATGCGCAATGCCAAGCGTCAGCTGGAGTGGTGTAAAGCTCGCCGCCATTGGACTCTGGAGCAGTGGGAACGCGTTCTCTGGAGTGATGAATCATGCTTCACCATCTAGCAGTCCAACGGACAAATCTGGGTTTGGCGGATGCCAGGAGAACGCTACCTGCCCGAATGCAGAGTGCCAACTGTAAAGTTTGGTGGATGATTAATAATGGTCTGGGGCTGTTTTTCATGGATTCGGGCCAGGCGCCTTAGCTCCAGTGAAGGGAATTCTTAACGCTACAGCATACAATGCTTCCATCTTTGTGGCAACAGTTTGGGGAAGGCCCTTTCCTGTTTCAGCGTCACAATGCCCCCGTGCACAAAGCGAGGTCCATACAGAAATTGTTTGTTGAAATCGGTGTGGAAGAACTTGACTGGCCTGCACAGAGCCCTGACCTCAACCCCATCGAACACCTTTCAGATTAATTTAAACGCCGACTGCGAGCCAGGCCTAATCTCCCGACCTCACTAATGCTCTTGTGGCTGAATGGAAGCAAGTCCCCGCAGCAATGTTCCAACATCTAGTGGAAAGCCTTCTCAGAAGAGTGGAGGCTCTCGTTGCAGCAAAGGGGGGACCAACTCCATATTAATGCCCATGATTATGGAATGAGATGTTTTGTGTGTGTCGATCACTCTCTCTTTCTCTCACTCATTCACTCACTCGCACACACCTCCCCATAGGCATTCCTGTCTCTTCTGTAGTTGTTATATCCTTGTATTGCTACTGCTGTATCACCAAAGGAATTATCTAAGTGGGTCTCAGAAATTGCTAATATATGAATGCTATCTGATGTTAGCAAGTTATTGATTTCATTAACCTTATTTCTAAGGCTATTTATATTAATTGTTTGCCCTTTCCTGGGTAGCTTATCAGAGATGGACATAAATACATTATTCAGCAGTCCATCAACCAGTTGTAAGTGTGTGTACCCTGCGGGGTTGACGCTACGAACCCGCAGGCTTGGCTCGCTCATCCCTTCCAGAGTGATCATTTCTGTTGTGAATGGGTCAGGCTGCAGTGCTTAGGGTTACTGAGAATCAGTAGTTAAACATTGTAGTTAAAGATATGGGACTCATACTCCATGAAATAAATACATTTGTCAGTCTGTGCTAAAACAGAAACCATGTTGAAACATTCCATGGAAGGTTAAGGCCTTAATGCCTATTAATGAGGCCTTTAACTCCAAACCTAAAAAAAATCTAAACATCATTATTTCTGATTTATCTCTTCCCATGGTCTAAATCCACCTGTTCTGTATCCTGTCTCCAGTGTTGTTGTCCCAGACAGAGGCGGACTATTCTCTCTGAACCCAGCTGCTGGTAGAGGGAATATTCCTCCACTCCTCTGTTTCCCCTCCTCAAAAAGGATTATCTCTCCCTCCCTCTTCCTGTCTCTCTCCTGTTTTCTCTCTTCCTCTAACACATTGACTCTAAAAATACTCCTCTTCCCACACTCCTCCTCTCCCCGACAGGTGGAATCAGGGTTCTTCCATGAGAGTGATGCTAAGATCGTAGGGAAGTCGATCCGGGACCGCGTAGCGCTGATTAAATGGAGGCGGGAGAGGACTGTGTCGGCCCGACCCCCAGTGGACCAGGGAGAGTCAGGACTCAGGGCCCAGGCCACCCTAGCCCAGGGGACCTCTGCTGGGGCTACGCAGGCAGGACAGCCCCCTCTGCTTGAGCCCAAGGAGCCAGAGGAAGACCAGCATGCCAGGCTATGTAACCTTCCGGCCAGCGCCACCTCTGTCACATGTGAGACACCACTGACACGCACATCATGTGGAATGACACGCAATGTCTAAAACCCCATAAGACGTACACCTCCTCCCTGTCACACATTTGATACAGTGGTCTCTCTGTGTCATGCAGTTGAATTGATCTTTGACAGTAGTGTTTGTATTATGGTGGTTTGTACTTTGCTCTCTGTTACTTTGTTCTAGTCGCCTGTGTGGGTAAAGACTAACCTCCATCTCTGTTTGTCTCTGTAGCAGACAGTACCTTTGACAGCGGCCTGGGCTCCACTGTGTACTCTGACTCCCACAGCAGCCAGCACAATGTCCTCTACCAGTCACAAGTGGAGCCCATCACCATGGCAACGCAGCGGGTCTGTACCACTCACATACACACACACATGTACACTCAAGACACGTGAACTGTGCAGAGTGTCATTAACATACATGCACTCCACACGCATATTGGACACGTGCACATACATCTTCATTTACATAGAGATACGCATTACATGCACATGTATGTTACATATGCTCACACACATGGTTATTTGACTTTATCCATAAATCCGTATCAATTTACTCATCTGCTAACATTGGCACATGTATGTTTATGCGCAACGTATACTGATTTAATGCGCACACACACACCTTTTATCTCATTTACTCAGAATCCTCCAATTCATCTCTATCCCACCTCATTGTCATATGTTTTTGTTGTGCATGTGTGTTTTGGTTGTGTGCCTTTTGAGTAACATGTGTTTTGCCTGTGGGTCCCTGTATGGGCTCAGCGTCAGTGTTTGGCTTCAGCACGCCTGGCACGTCCCCGGTCCTGTGAAAGGGGCGAGGGGTGGAAAGCAGCCCTGGGGCCGGAGCTCCGAGTCGGGGCAGGGACACGGAGAGGGAGTGCCTCGGTCATTGACACTCTGAGGGGCAATAACGACATCCCTCTTCATATGCTCCTGCAACCTATGACCTCTGGGTCCTGCAGCCAACAGAGAGCTTCCAGTCCCGCCCCCACATCACCAGACGACCAGTCAGAGAGCAGCCCCTCTGAGTTCCGCTCCGAGGCCGAGGACGGCTTCCCTTCCCTGAGTGCATTTCCTGCCCCCATCCTCCTGGCCCCCCCATCCCCCACACACTCTGAGGCCCGACGTCATAGTGACTCTTCTATAGAATCTCCGACGTTGGAAGCCACCATTGGGAGCAAGTTGAAGTCAGTGGAGGCAGCAGGAGGGCGGAGGCACTCGGACCTCAGCACCCTGCAGAGCCTAAACTCTGCCCTTCAACACCACCATCATCATCACCAAGGCGCGCCCAGAAACCACCTGTGCCAGGCCTGCCTCTCTCTGCTGCTGCTGAAGTCACGAGAGGGGGGGCACAAGAAGCACACTGCCTTTCCCTTTCCACCACACCCCTGTGCTTGCCCCCACCGGCACCACCACTTCTCCAGTGGGATAACGACAACCGCAGGGTCAGGAGGGGTGAAAGGTCAAAGTCAAACAGGAAGTGACTTCTCTGACCTCTCCTTACTACAAAAGAACCTGATGAACATCATCAGCCGTAAAACCACCCCATCCAACCAGGACCAAGCCTCCCTCCTCCACCTGCCTGCAGCCCAGCAGCCTGTACGGAGCTATGGGGATGGGAGTCTGAAGTTACCCCAGAGAGGCAGCTTCAGTGGTGACCACACAGCACCCCCTCTGGCCAGGCCCACACAGGACCGCAGGGCCAGCTACTGTGCTGGGGAGCACCAAGCCACCGGGCCTCCGGGAGTGGTAGGTCCCACAGGGAGACCAGGGCTGCATCTCTCAATGGTCTAAAGTGTCTTTCTCTCCAGGTCTCCTTTCCTTCATCTGCACTGAACTGACAACAAATTATAGGTGAAAGTATTGTGGATACCAACAATGATTTTGCTTTCACCTGTCCAGTTCCTTGATGTCAGTGCAGATGGGGTAAAGCAGATGAGAGGAATCTGCTTTAGACTATTGAGATGCTACCAGACTCCTACCCTCAGCTCGAACTCTCACCTGTAGAGCTGACTCCTCCCAGCTTATAGAAGGCGCTACTTTGCATAGGATGGAGCTGATGATTGCTCTAGACCTCACTCCCTCTTTAGGCTTGTAGAGGGCGCTCTGTTTTAATGCAGCCATGGGACTGGACCCAGCTCTCTCTTTTCCGCTCAGCTTCAAACTACCATAGAAGTCCTTGGTCCCTCCCTGGTTCTGTTTGTGTGCTTTGGGACAAGCTGGTTCTCTGGAGGACCATAGATTCTGCCGTCTGACTAACTCTCTAACCCTTTGCCAACTTCAGCTAGCCTGTTTTAATGTCAACGTCTTCTGTTTCTACTTCACTGACCAAATGCCAAAACGCAAAATCCGTCTTTCTACACCCGCTCCTATCTCCCTGCCTATGGAACATCCTCAGTGAATGGACAGATGGCTGCTGGAAACGAAGGGAATGAAAGATGTCTGTAGGTCCCCTCTTCCCCATCCTCTGCCTCCTTATTTTAGTGCACACTTGCTGCCTCTTCTGTCAACCCTGCTCATTGTTTGGGTGTTTTTGGAACTTTATCTTAATCCTTCATCCACTCATTATCATTGTCATCCTTTGTTTTTGTCGGTTTAGTATTTTGGCTCATGTTGGTTTTTCTCTTGTACAGGATGTCTAGCTACATTTTTCAAGTTTGTAGATTTAGATATTTGTGTTCATTCAGAATATTTTTACTTTTAACAAGGGCCTAAAAGCGCCCCCCAGAGAAGTGACAATATCGCTGTCTGTCCTCTAACATGTCTCCATCTCTCCTCTCAGCCCAGTGCTGTGCATGCGTTGCTCCAGAACCAGTCGTCTCTCCAGGGCCAGCCTGCCTCCGCCCCAGCCCTGCACACCCCCCTGCAGTACCTCCAGCCTGGCCACAGCTACCCCGCCGCTCCCCTGGCCTCCCAACAGACACCTACCGCAGCCGGCTACTCAGCTGTAGCTCTACAACACACCCCAGCTTCAGCAACTTACTCAGCATCAAACGTTCCTCTACAGCATAATCATACTGGACAGAGCTATCCAGCTCCAACTCTGCAGCAGACGGCAACAGCAGTAAGTCATTCAACTGCAAATGTACCACTTCAACAGCCTGCAGCAAGCTTTTCAGCAACTGCCATGCCCCTACAACAGCCACACACCGCAGCAAGCTACCCTGCAGCAGCTATGCCAATCCAACAGACACCAACTCGACAGAGCTACGTTGCCCCAACTCAGCAACAGATGATTCAAACTGCTGCAAGCTACCCAGCTCCAATTCTGCAACAGACCCCAACAGCAGCAAGCTTCTCAGCAGCAGTAGCCATGCCTGTCCAACAGACTGTATTGGCAGCTAGCATAGCAGCTGCAACAATACCCTCACAACCAGCTGCACAGAGCTACCCAGCTCCAGTGGAGCATCTGCAACATACCGCTCCCCCACAGAGCTATGCATCTGTAGCCCCAACTGTGGTCCACACCGTACCTAACCCCAGTCTCCCTACTCAGGCCCCCAGTGTAGCAACACAGCCTCTAGCTGCTGCTGTGCTTCCCCCAGTCCAGCCTTGCCCAGCGTCACACAGCCTCCCAGCCACAGCCATGCCTCCCAGTCTGCGGCCAGTCCAGTCTAGTCCCATGCATCACAGCCAACAGACTGTGCCAGACCCCATTCAACAGCAACATAGCCAGCCAATGCCCCAGCCCTCTGCACAACACAGCCAACAGCCTGTGCCGGTCCCCATTCAACAGCAACATAGCCAGCCAATGCCCCAGCCCTCTGCACAACACAGCCAACAGCCTGTGCCAGTCCCCATTCAACAGCAACATAGCCAGCCAATGCCCCAGCCCTCTGCACAACACAGCCAACAGCCTGTGCCGGTCCCCATTCAACAGCAACATAGCCAGCCAATGCCCCAGCCCTCTGCACAACACAGCCAACAGCCTGTGCAGGCCCCCATTCAGCAGCACAACCAGCAAACTGTGCAGGTCCCCCTACCCAAACACAGCCAGCCAATGGCCCAGCCCACTGTCCAACAGGCTCCAGTCATCCAGAGCTATCAGTTACCTGCCCATACTGTGCAGCAAGGTTCAACCCTCAAGAGTTACCCCAACGCTGCACCCCTGATGGGGCAAATGAACGCTGCTTCACAGAGCTACTCACCCACAGTCCCACACATACAACAACAGGCTGCACCGGTACAAGGCTACACGAAACCCAGTGTGATGGGTCAGGCCTATCCATCTGCTCCGGCTCCACAGCAGGCTGCATCCCCTCAGACCTACCCAGTGGCCCCTATAGTGCAACAACAGACTGGGACTGCCGCTCCTACTGCACAGCACAGCCAGGCCCAGGCAGCCACACTACCACCAGGCCAGCAGGTGAGTTTAGAGTATAGGAGTCAAACTGAGGTTGACGCTGTGCACTTCTAACCCTTTAACATCGAGGATCTGTTGATGCTCAGTTGCAGAACTTTGTAGATGAGATCATCTGTGAAGTGCCTTGCTCGGCTGACCTAAAAAGGAGTGCCATTCCCATCGAACCTGGTGGAGAGTGACTGTACATTAGGACAGTGTTCCCCTTTTGAGTCAAGTTTCAGTTCTCTGAGTTTCAGTTCTCTGACCCTGTGTTTTCATTCTTCATAGTACCAACCCTATCTCTACAACGCAGCTTTCCTGAACCAGGTAGATCTCCCTTCCTCTCAATACACACTGTCTAAATGAGCTAAATAAACTGTCAGAGGGAGAGAAAATGAATACACGTTCTCTGTCAGATAAACAACGTTTATTTATGACAATGCTGTTGTTGGTTTGTTTTGGTGCTCCTGGGATGAGGACCAGCTGTGTGAGTGTATTCTACGTTAGGTGAATCACCAAACTACTAGTAGCCTAATAAACAGGAGTTTCCTCTGAGCGTGGCCAAATGGAGAGAAATTGGAAACTAATTTATAATGAAAACAATAATAGTGGTTTTATCCGCTGCATCCGCCTGCTTCTCAGTCCCTCGGGCCTGTTTTGTGTCTGTGGAGTGTGCAGCAGTAACAGTAGCAGATGCTGTCTGACTCCTGGCACACAGACTGGATGGGAAATGTGAGCCTGATTTCTGATTTGGGTCAATAGCAGGAAAAGCAGATGTCCAATTGAGAGATGTAACCGGAGACCTAGCCTCATCCCACTTAATTTCTCCCCTCTCTCTCTCTCCCTCTCTTTCTCTCTTGCTCTATTTTTCTTACACTCCCTCGCTTGTGCTGTCTGTAGAATCTTCCTGCTGGTCAAAGCCTTTCCCAGCGCCACCAATCATCATCTAGTCTACCTTCCCAGGCATCGCCTCCTCAGCAGCTATTGGCTCAGGCCTCTATCCCTCAGCAGCTGCAGCCACTGCAGATCTCCACCTCTCTGCCACTAACACACCTTTCCCAGGTAACCCCTCCCCTCTCACTTTTACTGCTACCTGTGATGGATTGTCCTTTATTCCCTGTCTCTTTCTTTTTGGTTCCATATGTAGCCAACTCGATGTAGGTAGATGTGCTTATTGCGTTTGGCCACGAAAAGGTATCAAGGACTTTGGTTCTTAGTTGAGTATAGGTTGGGATATATCTTGCTTTGTCTCTAATGGCATCAAATACACAATAGAGTACACTGCTTTTGTCAAAAGTCGTGCACTGTATTGGAAATATGCCATTTTCTTGCAATTTGCCTTTTGCTTGCCTGATCAGTCTGCAGTATGGAGGTCCCATACTCCAAACCCTGGTCTCTGATTGCTTTCTTATCCTTTTCTTCTCCTCCTCCCAGTTTCCCTCACCGTATCCCAACATCCAAGTGGTGACCTCTCTGACTGGATGTGCCACCTACCCTCACCCCTGCCCTGTTTCCCAGTCCTACCCCTCCTCTCTGCCCCCTCTCTACCTCTCCCCAGGCCAGCCTGCCACTCTGCCCCCCTCTGTCTCGTCCCTCGCCCCCCTGCATATAGAGAATGCTCTGGCGCACCCCACCTCTGTGCCCCCGATATCCTCACCCACACCCCTGCTTGCCATGACAGCACCCACACTGCCACAGCAGCAGCAGATGTACCCCGCTGCTCTGCAACAGAGTGTTATGACACACATACAGCTCCCCACTCTCACACACCCTGTTCACTCACACCTTGCCTCACTGCCTGGACAACAGAACACACAACCGCAGAATACACACCACATGCACTCAAACCCTGCTGTTGTACCCCTACCTTTTCAACACGTCATACACCCCAAATACTCACACCCTGCTGCTGCACCTGAGCTTGCTCTGTCCAGCTCTCAGCCCTTTAGACAGGTAAATATAGGAGGAGGACTGGAATGGAACAAAGGTTTTTGTGTATCTAGCTATTCTTTTTGTGTTTTTATAGACATGATAATATGTAACTGTGTGTTTGTGGAGTCCTCCCCCAATATAATATACAGTGGGGAGAACAAGTATTTGATACACTGCCGATTTTGCAGGTTTTCCTACTTACAAAGCATGTAGAGGTCTGTAATTTCTGTAAAAAGACGGAATCTAAAACAAAAATCCAGAAAATCACATTGTATGATTTTAAAGTAATTCATTTGCATTTTATTGCATGACATAAGTATTTGATACATCAGAAAAGCAGAACTTAATATTTGGTACAGAAACCTTTGTTTGCAATTACAGAGATCATACGTTTCCTGTAGGTCTTGACCAGGTTTGCACACACTGCAGCAGGGATTTTGGCCCACTCCTCCATACAGACCTTCTCCAGATCCTTCAGGTTTCGGGGCTGTCGCTGGGCAATACGGACTTTCAGCTCCCTCCAAAGATTTTCTATTGGGTTCAGGTCTGGAGACTGGCTAGGCCACTCCAGGACCTTGAGATGCCTCTTACGGAGCCACTCCTTAGTTGCCCTGGCTGTGTGTTTTGGGTCGTTGTCATGCTGGAAGACCCAGCCACGACCCATCTTCAATGCTCTTACTGAGTGAAGGAGGTTGTTGGCCAAGATCTCGCGATACATGGCCCCATCCATCCTCCCCACAATACGGTGCAGTCGTCCTGTCCCCTTTGCAGAAAAGCATCCCCAAAGAATGATGTTTCCACCTCCATGCTTCACGGTTGGGATGGTGTTCTTGGGGTTGTACTCATCCTTCTTCTTCCTCCAAACACGGCGAGTGGAGTTTAGACCAAAAAGCTCTATTTTGTCTCATCAGACCACATGACCTTCTCCCATTCCTCCTCTGGATCATCCAGATGGTCATTGGCAAACTTCAGACGGGCCTGGACATGCGCTGGCTTGAGCAGGGGGACCTTGCGTGCGCTGCAGGATTTTAATCCATGACGCCGTAGTGTGTTACTAATGGTTTTCTTTGAGACTGTGGTCCCAGCTCTCTTCAGGTCATTGACCAGGTCCTGCCGTGTAGTTCTGGGCTGATCCCTCACCTTCCTCATGATCATTGATGCCCCACGAGGTGAGATCTTGCATGGAGCCCCAGACCGAGGGTGATTGACCGTCATCTTGAACTTCTTCCATTTTCTAATAATTGCGCCAACAGTTGTTGCCTTCTCACCAAGCTGCTTGCCTATTGTCCTGTAGCCCCTCCCAGCCTTGTGCAGGTCTACAATGTTATCCCTGATGTCCTTACACAGCTCTCTGGTCTTGGCCATTGTGGAGAGGTTGGAGTCTGTTTGAGTGTGTGGACAGGTGTCTTTTATACAGGTAACGAGTTCAAACAGGTGCAGTTAATACAGGTAATGAGTAGAGAACAGGAGGGCTTCTTAAAGAAAAACTAACAGGTCTGTGAGAGCTGGAATTCTTACTGGTTGGTAGGTGATCAAATACTTATGTCATGCAATAAAATGCAAATTAATTACTTAAAAATCATACAATGTGATTTTCTGGATTTTTGTTTTAGATTCCGTCTCTCACAGTTGAAGTGTACCTATGATAAAAATTACAGACCTCTACATGCTTTGTAGGTAGGAAAACCTGCAAAATCGGCAGTGTATCAAATACTTGTTCTCCCCACTGTACAGTGGGGAAAAAAAGTATTTAGTCAGCAATCAATTGTGCAAGTTCTCCCACTTAAAAAGATGAGAGAGGCCTGTAATTTTCATCATAGTGACATGTCAACTATGACAGACAAATTGAGGAAAAAAAATCCAGAAAATCACATTGTAGGATTTTTAATGAATTTATTTGCAAATTATGGTGGAAAATAAGTATTTGGTCACCTACAAACAAGCAAGATTTCTGGCTCTCACAGACCTGTAACTTCTTCTTTAAGAGGCTCCTCTGTCCTCCACTCGTTACCTGTATTAATGGCACCTGTTTGAACTTGTTATCAGTATAAAAGACACCTGTCCACAACCTCAAACAGTCACACTCCAAACTCCACTATGGCCAAGACCAAAGAGCTGTCAAAGGACACCAGAAACAAAATTGTAGACCTGCACCAGGCTGGGAAGACTGAATCTGCAATAGGTAAGCAGCTTGGTTTGAAGAAATCAACTGTGGGAGCAATTATTAGGAAATGGAAGACATACAAGACCACTGATAATCTCCCTCGATCTGGGGCTCCACGCAAGATCTCACCCCGGGGGGACCTAGTGAATGACCTGCAGAGAGCTGGGACCAAAGTAACAAAGCCTACCATCAGTAACACACTACGCCGCCAGGGACTCAAATCCTGCAGTGCCAGACGTGTCCCCCTGCTTAAGCCAGTACATGTCCCGTCTGAAGTTTGCTAGAGTGCATTTGGATGATCCAGAAGAGGATTGGGAGAATGTCATATGGTCAGATGAAACCAAAATAGAACTTTTTGGTAAAAACTCAACTCGTTGCGCTTGGAGGACAAAGAATGCTGAGTTGCATCCAAAGAACACCATACCTACTGTGAAGCATGGGGGTGGAAACATCATGCTTTGGGGCTGTTTTTCTGCAAAGGGACCAGGACGACTGATCCGTGTAAAGGAAAGAATGAATGGGGCCATGTATCGTGAGATTTTGAGTGAAAACCTTCCATCAGCAAGGGCATTGAAGATGAAACGTGGCTGGGTCTTTCAGCATGACAATGATCCCAAACACACTGCCCGGGCAACGAAGGAGTGGCTTCGTAAGAAGCATTTCAAGGTCCTGGAGTGGCCTAGCCAGTCTCCAGATCTCAACCCCATAGAAAATCTTTTGAGGGAGTTGAAAGTCCGTGTTGCCCAGCGACAGCCCCAAAACATCACTGCTCTAGAGGAGATCTGCATGGAGGAATGGGCCAAAATACCAGCAACAGTGTGTGAAAACCTTGTGAAGACTTACAGAAAACGTTTGACCTGTGTCATTGCCAACAAAGGATATGTAACAAAGTATTGAGAAACTTTTGTTATTGACCAAATACTTATTTTCCACCATAATTTGCAAATAAATTCATTAAAAATCCTACAATGTGATTTTCTGGATTTTTTTTTCTCATTTTGTCTGTCATAGTTGACGTGTACCTATGATGAAAATTACAGGCCTCTCTCTTCTTTTTAAGTGGGAGAACTTGCACAATTGGTGGCTGACTAAATACTTGTTCTCCCCACTGTATGTCCCTCCCTACATCAGCAGGTCCAACAGCAGGCCCAGACCCAGCTTCCAGATGCAGTCCCCTCTGCCCAGCCTACTAAGTCTTCCCAGCCTGCAGTTTTCTCCCCTCCCATACAGAGTGTGCCGGACCCTGGCACAGGTACTGCCGCAACCCAGCTTGACCTCAACCAGAACCCCAGCCAAACCCAGGCCCAGTCCCAGCATCAGGCCCAAGGCCAGAGCCAACCCCAAGATCCAGCGCCACTACCCCCTGACTCCCAGACAGCAGCCCCTCGGCCTGCCGGCACCAGCCTGACTCAGCAGAACCAGGCCAATGCTAGTAGCTGCACAGGGACCACACTCACCTCGGGACAGGCTCAAACAGAGTCCAATCTGGAGGTATGGAGGACTGGCCTGACCTATACATCCCCTCCCTGAGCCCTCAAATCTCTCCCCTTTCTCAACCCCTCCCTGACCCTCCCTCCACCTTTTCCTAAAACAGCATCACCAATATCTCTGCACCCCAAGTATCACCCCCCCCCCCCCCCCCCCCCCCCACACAACTCTCCCTGCACCCTCAATTCCATTTATGCCCTAGCTAGTAATGACACAATCCATGTGTACGCCCCAACCCTTCTTTCACAGCATGAACAGACTCTGTTTGTTTTGTTCTGTCTGCAGGATCCTGGTGCCAGCTACTCCTACGACAGGTATGAGCTGACTCAACTCTTCAACTCTTCTGATAGTTATCTGGTGCAGAGATTTGGTGGTGTGTTAGGAGAGACTATGGAGAGTTCAGTGATGCCTATCGTTCTCTCAGGATCAGGGTAATCTAACAACCTTAGACATAATGGCAGGGTTGGGCAACAAGGACACCTTGGGAAAACCCCGGCCAAACCGTAGGCACGAATGGTGAACTGACAGTGCTTGCAGCTCACTCACTGGCTTTGCGGACATAAGGGTGACCAGTAAAGCAGTCTTAAAGGAGAGTTATTTCATCTCCTCGCTTTCCATTGGCTCAAAAGGCTGGGGAGCAAAGCAGGTAATCGTCTATGTAGGCGGAGACTCTCAGCCCCTTGTTTCTCAGGGATGTGAGAGCTGCCTCTACACATTTGCTGAATGTTTGGGGAGCTAGCGCTATCCTGAATGGACCAGCGAGGTGTTCGTGGGCAGTACCTTGAAATGCAAACCTTAGAAACCTCCTGTGTGCTGGCAGGATGATTATGTGAAAATAAGCATCCTGCAGGTCGACTGTGGTAAACCAGTCGCCTCGACGAACAGAGCAAGACACCTCTACCTTTTTTGGTAACCAGGAAGTACCGGGAGTAGAAGCTGAGGTGGCTCTCTGCCGCTGGTATCGCCCTGATAGCGCCTTTACTTAATAGAGAGGAGATGTCCTGCTCTAGTATTCGTGCTGAGTTGCCAGCCACTACGGATTCCAAAATGCAGTTGAAATGGGTGGTTTCAGAGCAAACTGCAGTCTGTACCCCTTGCTAACAGTGGACCAGACCCAGGGCTAGACTGCGCATGCATGCCAGTTCCCTGCTCTTGTGGCGAGTAGCCCAGACTCGATCACCAGAGAGCCGTGGCACGGGGGGGGGGGGGGGGGGGGGGGGGGGGGGGAAGGAAGAGGAAGAGCGCAAACGCATGAGAATGGGTCGCTGCACACAGGGAAGGGTTCTAGGAGCACATACCGTGCCCTCCTGAATTATTGGCATCCTAGGTAAATATGAACAAAAAACGCTGTGAAAAATGTCATTGTTGTTGATCAGCTTGATCTTACACTCAAAATATCATGTGAATCTAACCTTTGAGTTAAAATTCTTCAAAGAAAAAAAATAGTCTTAAATAAATAATTATTTTATTCAAAAACATGAATGTCACAAATATTGGCACCCCTACATTTAGTACTTCATGCACCCTCCCTTTGCCCAGATAACAGCTCTAAGTCGTCTCCTATAATGTTTGATGAGGTGGGAGAACACATAGGGAAGGGATTGGACACCATTCATCCATATAGAAACTCTCCAGATCCTTCAGAGTCATTGGTCCTCACTTGTGGACTCTCCTCTTCAGCTCACCCCACAGAGGTTTAGGTCAGGGGACTGGGATGGCCATTGCAAAAGCTTGATTCTATGGTCAGTGAACCATTTTCGTGTGGATTTGGAGGTATGCTTTGGATCGCTGGAAGATCCAATGACGACCCAGTTTTAGCCTCTTGGAACATGATGGAGTCCATGATGCCAATGCATCCTAACAATCTTCCCAGGGCCTTTGGAAGTAAAACAGCCCCACAACATCACAGATCCACCACCATACTTCACAGTGGGGATTAGGTTTTTTTCTGCATGACCATTTCAAACCCACCTTTGGTGTTTGTTGCCAAAAAGCTATATTTTAGTCTCATCAGACCATAGAACCTGGTTCCAATCAAAGTTCCAATGACATTTAGAAAACTCCAGGCGCTTACGTTTGTGGTTTGGTGACAGCAGAGGCTTTCTTCTGGCAACCCTTCCAAATAACTAAAATAACTTGTTGGCATGGAGGTGGTGTCTAATTGTAGTTTTGGAGACTTGGTGACCCCAAGATGTAACCAACTTCTGCTGTTCTCCAACCGTGATCCTTGGAGATTTTTTTTGCCACTTGAACCATCGTTCTCACTGTGCGTGGGGACAAAATACACTTGCGTCCTCTTCCAGGCAGGTTCATCACAGCTTCAGTTTTACATTTCTTCATTGTTGCCCTAATAGTGTAGATGGGTATTTTCAGGCATGTAGCTATCTTTTTATAGACGTTGCCTGATTTGTGAAGGTCAATAACCTTTTGTCTTATTTCATTTGTGTCTTCTCTGGCCTTTCCCATGCTGACTAAGGGAGTTTAGTCTATGTGTCTCATTTACACCCCAGTGAAACAGGAAGTCATGGATGACCTTTTTAAAAGACTTAGATAAAATCGGAAATTTGACGAACTCACTTAGCTCTTCAGTACGGGCCATTCTACTGCTAATGTTTGTTTATGGAGATTGCATGGCCTGTCAGCAACGGTGTGGCTGAAATAGCCGGATCCACTAATTTGAAGGGGTGTCCACATACTTTTGTATATATAGTGTATCTCTCTTTTATTTCGCCTCACTAAAAACAGTTTCTAAGCCTTTAGTCCCGTCTTGGGACCTGTCTATTGTGCTTGAGGTCTTTTTACAGCAGCCTTTTTTTTAGCCGCTGGAAAGTGAGGAAATAAGATCTCTCCTTCTAACCACTACTAATTTCCCTTACATCTGCGAAGCGAGTGAGTGAGCTGCACGCATTGTCAGTCCACCATTCATGCCTACAGTTTGCCCCGGGATTATCCAAGGTAACCTTGTTACCTAACCTCACCTTCATGCCTAAGGTCAGCAATAATGTATTGTCTCGCCTTAGAGCTTGTGGCTTTCCAAACCTAGGACTGTTGCATTGTGTTGTGAATTCCATTCTGTGAACGTTGAGGCAGACATAATAGCCTAGGCCTAGGCTACCAGCCACACAGGCAGCAAGAGGGGAGCAGGGAACTGTCCTTTATCATTGCGTGCTAGGAATATGGGACCAAATTCTACACTTTTTACTACTTTAATACACATATAATTGAATTTGTCCCAATACTTTTGGTCCTCTAAAATGGGGGGACTGTGTACAAAAAGTACTGTGATTTCTAAACAGTTCACCCGATATGGATAAAAACAACCCTCAAATTAAAGCTGACAGTCTGCACTTTAACCTCAGTCATTGTATCATTTCAAATCCAAAGTGCTGGAGTACAGAGCCAAAACAACAAAAAATTTGTCACTGTCCCAATACTTTTGGAGCTACCGAATGTCATCTTTGGTGAGTTTGTACATTTACAAGCGAATGTGAATGAGAGATATTGTGCAAATGAACAACGTTTTGATGCATGCTTGTCTGAAGGAAGAACAGTACTGGCTCTGGAGCAGTATGTGTACTCGCTGTGTCTGTGTGGAGTCTGGAGTCGCTAGGGCAACAGGCCTGCCTGCTCTGCTCGGAGAAGATGGGGGGAGGAGCAGACAGGCCAAGAACAGAGAGGAGAAAAAAACGCAAGGAAATCAAAAGATGGCAGCTGTACAGATAACTCATCCAAAGGGCTTTGACTTCTCAAACACATTTTTACATTTACATGTTAGTCATTTAGCAGACGCTCTTATCCAGAGCGACTTAGTTAGTGTATTCATCTTAAGATAGCTAGGTGGGACAACCACATATCACAGGCATAGAAAGTACATTTTCCTCAATAACTTAGCTATCAGTAGAGTCCGAGCTAGAAGGGGGTGGGTCAAGTGCAAGTTCTGGTAAAAAAAAGGTGAGGAGGATTATTTAAGATACTTTTTGAAGAGGAAGGGTTTCAGATGTTTTCGGAAGATGGGCCAGGGACTCTGCTGTCCTAGCTTCAGGGGAAAGCTGGTTCCACCATTGGGGTGCCAGGACAGAGAAGAGATTGGACTGGGCTGAGCGGGTGCTGCCCTCGTGGAGGGCCAAGAGACCTGAGGTGGCAGAACGGAGTGCTCGGGTTGGGGTATAGGGTTTAGCATAGCCTGAAGGTAGGGAGGAGCAGTTCCTCTTGCTGTTCCGTAGGTAAACACCATGATCTTGTAGTGGATGCAAGCTTCGACTGGAAGCCAGTGGAGTGTGTGGAGGAGCGGGGTGACATGAGAGAACTTGGGAAGGTTGAAAACCAGGCGGGCTGCAGGGTTCTGGATGGGTTGCAGGGGTTTGATGGCACAAGCGGGGAGCCCAGCCAACAGCGAGTTGAAGTAGTCCAGACGAGAGAGGACAAGTGCCTGGATTAGGACCTGCGGCGCAGAAAGCTAACACAATACGATGCCCCGTCACCTTATTAATTCAACCACTTACTTGTATAACTAGCAAGTAAAATTTAGGGGTCGTGTTAATGCAGAATTCTTCATTTTTCACGCCGGAAGAAATATCAAACCCATAAGAAATATCTTGCTGTGTTTTATAAACGCAGATCTAAAATGCTTCTTATTGTAATTTCTGCTCAGCATCAGACTAATTTTGTTCTTCAGTTGCACTTCTCCACTGCGATGAGAATTCACGAACGGGCATTCTATTAGCAGACAGTCCTCTGACTGATGTGGAGCTACTTTTATCCGGTACTTTTCTTGGTGTAGCCAGCCTAGTTTTCTCTGGTGAAATGCAAGATTAACTTTAAGCAAAACATTAGGAAATGTAGTTGGCAAAAATTTTGGGGGGGTAAATATTAGATATAAATGATGATGTCCATGCAAAATCAAAAATCTTTGCTAACCGGTCACATAGCTATCTGCTTAGCTAGCTTGCTTATTGCATGTATGTCCAGGCCCATTGATACTAGCCTTATTATTAGTGAATTAACTAAACAAATATTTGCAACAGGAGTTCTATTTTGGTCACTGTGTCAATTCATCCATTTCTCAATACTGCACCTTTCTGTTGGAGAATGAGCTAGCTTGCTGCTTCTGATTTTCCCAGCTAGACATTCCTCGGCATTGGGCAGTGCTCGTGGCTCAGGCGGGGAGTGGCGGCTGGCATAGCAGCAGCTTTACTATGTAGAGGGACTATCGGCAAAGCCGATAGAGTAGGGCCGATAGACTAGAAAAGGCCAACATCGGCCCGATATATCGGCTAGGCCGATTTATGGGTCGTTCTCTAGGATATAGGCCTACCAATTTGGCAACAGGGAAATCTGGATACTGTTTCTTCAACCTGATATAAGTGTTAGAAAGATATGTGTTGTAACAAGACCCTTGTATCATCTTAAGATAAACAATTTCCCTTGAGTGTGGGCGGGCCTGCATTTATCTTGACCTCGATCAACCACCTTGTTAAGCTTTTATTTTGATATGCACATACTGTTGTCAATATCAGCCAACCCTGGTAATTGAACACCCAAGAAGTGCATACACTGTTCGAGTGCATTTCAGTTCACCATGTTCAGACATTCACGACTGTCTCAAGCCGTTGCATTTATAGATTAATGAGTTGGACTGTATAGTTGACTTTTCTTTCATCTTTCATGAACCAGTGTGAACTCAGACGCCACCTCAGGGAAGGAGATGAGCGACGGTAACGAGGGGACGCACGGATCAGGGAAGGGCGAGAGCAAGGTCCGGAAACCCCACCGCCGCTCCACGCGCACCCGCTCACGCCAGGACAAGATCAACAAGCCCAAACTCAGCATGCTCAACGTGAGTACAGCACGTATATTTATAGTAGTCTTAGATCAATCGGCACACATCCATGTCTCTGACACCTGTTCCTCTCTGGTTTTTTCCCTGGACAGGTGTGTTATACAGGGGATAAGATGGTGGAGTGTCAGCTGGAGACCCACAACCACAAAATGGTTACCTTCAAGTTCGACCTGGACGGGGACGCACCGGAGGAGATTGCCACTTACATGGTATGGTTAGAGTAGACCCTACTCTATGAAAACCTCCAAAACCAAGGGAACCCCCCACACAAACTTTTGAAATCTTGAATATCCATCACAATCTAAACACCTACACAGATGCACACGGAGCAACAACAAAAATGTCCACCACACCCCAGAAATCCTCTGTTACCCCTTTCAGCCGGCCTCTCCTAAACTCGGTGTGTGTGCTCTTTATGCCTGCTAGCTCTTAGTGAGTGAGATGCTCTTTCATGTTCCAGGGCACTGAAACGCCATGTAATGCTGTTCTTCTTCACTGCATTGCAGCAAAAACATTCCCCTCTCTCTCTCTCTCTCTCTCTCTCTAAAAACCCCAGCCCTGTTCATTTTGGACCGTTATGCTTTTTTGTACGTGGATTGCACATTTTGTTGCACATTATTTTTTGTTTCATTCTCCCAAAATCTAAATAGATTTCCAAAACTGGTGCCTCTGGCCGTGCTTTGGATAGGCAGGTTTCAAACACTTTCACATAGGCCAACACAATTTTTATCAAAGGAGAGTCCAGACGGGACCGTTTATTATAAACCTTTCAGGGGATTTGACATTGATGGATTGTGTCTTTTTGTCTGTTAGGTGGAGAATGACTTCATCCTGCTCCTGGAGAAGGAGATGTTTATAGAGCAGTTGAAGGACATTGTGGACAAGGCTGAGGACATGCTGAGTGAGGACACAGAGGGGGAGAGGATCTCTGACCACGCGGGCAGTCCCCAGCAGATCCACGGAGCAGTCATACTGGGGGGAGAGGTGAGGAGGAATGGGGGGTTTTAGGGGTAACAGAGTTATGGGGGAGAGGTGCAGGTTGTCTTTCTCAGATATATCTGCCAAAACTCTCAAGATGACTTAGTGAGCAGGGTAGCCAACAAACCACTGCCAAGATAGAAACATTGTTGCTGATGGGACACTTTTGGCTAACCTAATTTGTCAGCCGAGCCAACACAGTGACATTGTTGAGAGGATCCTTTCAAGCTTAATTGTCTCAAAGTTATAGTCTTGAGTGCCAGCCATGTATAACTATTCTCTCCCTTTTTAGGGTTCAAAGACGGCTACACCTAATTCACCACAACTTGTGTACCAGCAGAACGGTAGGGCTTCGTTAGCTCCTGGCCACATTGTGTGAAGGCTTTTGCTCCAGCCCAGCTGTAATACATCAATACAGAAAATAAACTAATCATGGTCTTCAAATGAGTTTTAACCTCTTAAGGATCGGACCCTTTTTTTCAATTTTCGTCTAAAATGACATACCCAAATCTAACTGCCTGTAGCTCAGGACCTGAAGCAAGGATATGCATATTCTTGATACCAGTTGAAAGGAAACACTTTGAAGTTTGTGGAAATGTGAAATTAATGTAGGAGAATATAACACATTAGATCTGGTAAAAGATAATACAAACAAAAAAACATGCCTTTTATATATATTTTTTGGTTCCATCATCTTTGAAATGCAAGAGAAAGGCCACAATATAATATTGCAGTTTAGGCACAATTTTGATTTTGGCCACTAGATGGCAGCAGTGTGTGTGCAAAGTTTCAGATTGATCCAGTGAAGCATTGCAATACTGGACTATTTTGAATCAAGTCTGCCCAAATGTGCCGAATTGGTCAATTGATACATTTTCAAGTACATAACTATAGAGAACATACATTTTGTATTACCATATCATTTTTGTAAGTTTACACACTCCCAGGAATGTCATACATGATGGATCATTAGCTTATACACTAACTTTCACTCATCTAGATGGCGGGGTGGGTGTGAAGCCAGAGACAGCAGGGGTTCAAACTGTAGAACCCAGTTCCTACATTTTAATATAAAAATTTATTTTATCAAACAAAACGATGCTACATTTTATCTCTGGGACCCTTAGGATGACAAATCAGAGCAAGATTACATTCAGAGGTGAATGTATTAAACCAGTTTGTTGTTGTTGTGCACTCTCCTCAAACAATAGAATGGTATTTTTTCACTGTAATAGCTACTGTAAATTGGACAGTACAGTTAGAGTAACAATCATTTCAGCTTTCTGCCCATATAAGACATGTCTATGTCCTGGAAAGTCTGCTGTTACTTACAACAGTCATGCTAATCACATTAGTGCACGTTAGCTCAACCGTCCGTTATACGGGACACCGGTCCCGTAGAGGTTAATGATGTATGTAACAGATAAGTTGGAACAAATGCCTGCACAAGGTCTTGCAGGACCCCTAATATACCATCTTATCTCCAACCCACTACATAGTACATTACAGCCTCTCTGTGACTCTGGTGAACCTCAGACACAGGAGATTTCCTGCCTCAGTAGAATCTCTCTCTTCTTTTACATCTCTGTCCTGTCGTCCCTCAGTCTTTACGTCTCCCCCAATCAATCTCTCCATCCATTCTCTTCCTCTAAACATAATTTGACAGTTGATATGAATTTGTGAGCATCTCTATCTGTTGTTCATCTGCGTTTATGAGCGCACGTCTTTCTTCCTCTATAGCTCTATCTTACTGTTAGATCTGTATCTATGAGCGTGTTTCTTTGTCTGTGTACTTGGCAGTCCTCCACACTGGGAAGCGCTGGTTCATCATCTGCCCCGTGGCCGAGACGCCCACGCCAGACAGAGAGAGGACTTCATCAGACACCTCTACAGCCAAGGGTGCACACACACACACCCATCCATACACACACGTACACACAATCACACGGACGTACACACACACGCACGTATGTACGCGTATGATCACGCACACACACACACACACCCATCCATACACACACGTACACACAATCACACGTACGTACACACACACACACACACACACACCCATCCATACACACACGTACACACAATCATACGTACGTACACACGCACACACACACACACACACCCATCCATACACACACGTACACACAATCACACGTACGTACACACACACACACACACACACCCATCCATACACACACGTACACACAATCACACGTACGTACACACACACACACACATCCATACACACACGTACACACAATCACACGTACGTACACACACACACACACACACACACACCCATCCATACACACACGTACACACAATCACACGTACACACACACACACACATACACACAGCAGAGTGGGTGAATAAAGCTGTGTATTAGTGTCTGTGTGTGTTTGAGCTAATGAGTGTGTGTTGTATGTGTGCGTAAGGGTCAGTTATGTAATGCCGGTGCTGCAGTGGTTCTGGGCTGTGGTGAAGGGAAGGCTTTATGCTCCAACCTACAGAGCTCTGATGGGGGAAGACAAGTGATGATGTAATGCCCTCACACACCCACAGGACATCCATCTCCTTGACTCCGACTCTTTTATTTCATCTCTCTTTCTTTAACTCCGTCTCTTCTCACCTCTCTCTTCCCTCCTTTCTCCCCTGCAGAGACTCCTGTCACATCATTGTCTAGATCCAGCTGCAGTACTACTCCTCCAGTGTCTGCCCCAACCCCTGTTCCTGCCCTGACCACCACAGCCTCTACTCCAGGCCACTCTGCCCCCCCTGCACCTCAAAGCTCTGCCCAGTCTCAGGACCCCAACGTGGGCAAGGCCAGAGTGCAGCAGCCGCAGGCCTCTGGAACCAAACCCTCCACCACCAATGCTACGACTGCTGCCGTGGGCCGCCACGACTCTGTTTCAGGCAGCGAACCCTGCGTCTCCATGGTAACGGACATCCCATGCTGCCCCATCATCCCACCTGTGTCCCTGGACGAGAATGGGGCGGGACATAAAGGGGTGAGTGGCACTTCCTCATGTCTACCCAATCAGAAGGCCAGCCTGTCAGGAGACCCGCCCCCTCCGCTGGGCTCCCAACAGCCAGTGGTCCTGCAGCAGCCCTATGCCATGCCCAGCATGGTGGGTGTAGGAGGTGGAGCTACAACACAATCACAGCCCCAGAGTCCCGCCCACCAGGCTTCCCAGCAGCAGGATGTACCTGGGGGGTCCGGGAGTGGAGGTGGAGGAGGCCCGGGGGAGTCTGATGGAGAGGGCCCGCCCAGGGTGGAATTTGTGGACCGCACCATCAAGACTCTGGATGAGAAGCTGAGGAACCTGCTGTACCAGGAGTACGCCCCATCATCAGCTCCCAACAGCACCGCCTCAGACCTTCAGGGCTCCAACACAGAGGGGGTCAGCTCTCCCCCTGTCTCTGACAGCCAGACCACCTCTGAAGGGGGGCTCCCCAGGAAGGGAGAGGTGCTGGTAAAGATGCACTGTGTGTCTGTGTCTGTCTGTGTCTGTCCAGATATTCCGATTGGGGCAGCCGCAGCTTTTTATCTGATGGAGGGGTGTGTGTGTGTGTGTGTTTGAATCCTTGGTGTAATATTGATTCAGCCATTGAATATAGTCAGTGGCGTTCAGTGTGACTGATACTGCATTTAGCAAGAGGAAGTAGAGCTCATGGCCCCTGGCCAGATAGCCCATTATACTCTGCACCCCTGGCAGTTTGATCTCTGATGCGGGTTGAGTGGTGTGTGGGGTGGGAGGGCGCTGATATGTTTAGACAAAGCAGGGGTCATAGAAGGATAATAGCTAGACTGATTCACAACCTGTAACCCTGATATAACATTTGACAGAATTTTAATGTTTTAGTTTTTCTCGTTTTCAGCCTCAGATTCCTGAGCGTACAGATAGTTTGGGTACACTGAGTGACTCTGCAGGTAAATTACATCACAAACCCAATTTGATATGCTATATTATGTGTTGTTGTAGTATTCATTTGTACTATTTAGGATAAACCCCAAGTGATTCCCACTTTGTAAATGTTGACCTTGAATTGTATTTTGTTAAGGATTGCTGAACAGGAGAGACTTTGTGGGAAGTTCCAGTTCCTATGGCTCCAAGAGCCGCTTTCAGGTAACCTACTTGAACCTACTTGAAGCTACTTGAAGCTACTTGAAGCTACTTGAATCCCTCTCACTTTAACAAAGACGAACATTCTGAAATAAGACTACATTTGACTTTGATTAAATTGAATGAATCTTATGTAACTGTAAACAATTGAATCGGTTTATTGAGAATTATTCAGTTTATTCAATAGTTGTTTTAGTTTATTCAGATTCTATCTCCCTCTCTAGATCGTCCCCACTCCTCCGGACGTCATCCGTCGTTTAGAGAAGGGCAGAAGTCACAGCACCTGCAGCTCGCTGGCTCCCTCTAGTGGCTCGGGGGGCTCTCGCGCTGCAGCCGAGGGGGACGGCCCACGAGACCAGGGGTGTGTGGTCGTGGGTAGGTTCTCAGTGATGACCACCGAAGAGGGGGCGGAAAGCGCCCCCAAACCCCACTGTAGTAACCGCTACTCAGCCCCCCCAGACTTCTACCAAGACACCACCGCCTCCAGCCCCAACACCACCCGCAGCCTGCTTCCACGTGCCCACACTGCTGACGCTGCCACCAACCACTCCTTCCACTTCGACTCTGACTCGGGGGAGGAGGACACCAGTAGTTTAGCCCGTCCCCTTGCCCACCACAAGCCTCCGGCTCATGCCCTCTCGGAACACAGCGGAAGTGACCTCATGAAGAGGGCGGTGGCCTTCCTGCGCCGCACGGGCCGCAGCAGCAGTGTGCAGAGCTCTGATTCGCCGAGCCGGCAACCCGTGGTAGCGAATGGCCACGCCATCTCGCCGCCTGGACCCGGCCATGTATCGTACGTCAGTAGTGACAATGACTCTGAGTTTGAGGATGCGGACATGAGGAAGGAGCTGCAGAGGCTGAGGGAGAAGTATGTGCACACACGCATATGCGTTCACAGTCATACACACAAAGAGTCAAAGTCAACCCATTGATATATAGCGAATGATCAACCACTGTAACCTTCATAGCCCTAGATAGGTTTGTAGCCCATTAAACACTGCAGAGTGGTTTAACTGCTAGTTAGTGAACTTTTAAAATTGTACGAGACAATATAAATGACAGTTCCTGTCCCAGTGAGAGAGAAATTGAATACATTCTTCTCTATTGCACTATGCAGATTTTAATTTTCCCTTTCTCAATCTCTCTCTCTTTTCTCCTCAGACACATGAAGGAGATCTCTGAGCTGCAGGCGTTCCAGAGGAGTGAGATAGAGCGTCTGTATAAAGAGCTGGGGAAAGCCGTGCCGCCCGGTGTAGGCCTGTTGCACGCTGCTCCCCCTAGTGGCCGCAGACGCAAGATCAGCAAACACAAGCTGAAGGCGGGCAAGCTGCTCAACCCAATGGTGCAGCAGCTGAAAAACAACCTGAATGCCACCACCACCGGTGAGAGGAAAGGTGTGTGGCTGTGTCAGTGGTGAGAAGAGAAGGGGTGTGTGGTGGATAGAGTGAAAGGTGGGATGAGGAGAGGTGTGAGTGACATGTCTCTGTGAGAGAGGGGGAGGGAACGGAAGAGAGAGAGGTTTTTGTGCGCTGTCCTGAGCAAGGGGAAATGAGAGTGTCTTGAGGAAGATTGGGAGGGTTGGAAATGTGGTAATAACAAGAAATGAACCCTAAAGCTGGTTCTGTGGCTAATCCAGTATTTCTCTCTGAAGGTGAGAGTGCACCGAGCTCGTCTGGCTCTCCAGCTAAGAGCTCCATTGTGTCTGACAGCTCGGCCCGCTCCAGTGGCAGCAGCAGCAGTACCAGCGGAACTCGGCCCAGCAAGGCCCCAGAGCCTGTCCAGACCCAGCAGCCCTGCTCCCTCAAGGGCTCCTTCTCCTCTGACAACATCTACGGTGGAGGCATGGCCACACACGTAGGCCCAGGGCAAGGTACCTACACACACGCATACAGGACAAGCTATACACACACTGTGGCATAGCACACACAGTACAAATCCACACTGAGGAATACCACCCACATTTTAGTGCTTATTATGTGTCAAACACACACATAGGATACACACAATATACCAAATGCAAACACACCCAAACACGTGTCACTCACTGAGGTGTGGACACGTACCCAAACACCCATTTGTACTGAGGAACAACCAGCAGCTCAGCTTAATCTGCTGTAATATTCTAAGCTCTCTGATATTCTAAGTTGGGTCTATATCGGAGGTCTCATTAGTCTCGTAAGGGGCCGTGGAAACTGCCACATTGAAACTTAGTCATAATTGTCAGTCTTCTATCGAAAGCAAATGTTTTTAGGCAAACGTATAGAAGAGGGTGCCTCATCACACATTTCTCCTTTGCCAAAATCCCGCCACGATACTGCATGACTTCTGAGGTGTCAATGGAAGCTGTCTTCAAGCATTGGTCCCAGATCAGTTTAACACTCCTCAAGGTGAAGGTCAGGATGAATTGGGGAAAGTAGCCTGATCTTAGACCAGTGCATAGTGGTAACTTGTCCCTGTAGTGAATGTGAGGGTTGTCTCCTGCTGCTGGTTTAGCCCATGTGACTGTTACCGTGTACTGGTGCTGCGGATGTTAGTGGTGGTGGTTTCTCATCCCAAGTCTCTGTGTACTTTTACAGAAGTGTCTCTTTGTTTCTTCTCTTCTTCCCTCTTATATTCATTTTGACAGGCTGGACGGTATACCACCAAACGTCAGAGAGAGTGACCTATAAATCTAGTAGCAAACCACGTGCTAGATTCCTCAGTGGACCCGTGTCTCTGTCCATCTGTTTGTATTTGTTATTTTCTACTTTTCCTCACTCATCTCATCCCCATCTCCTCTCTTTAGTTCACCTCTTTATCTTTTCTCTCAATCTTTTACTGTGTTTTTAGATAGTGGATCCTCCCCTCCTCACCCTCCCTGTCCCCAACACAAGCATATGTCAGCTATTTTGTACGTCCTCATAGTTGTTCTGGGTTTAGACATCCCCCCCATACAAACGCTTTGTGCACTGCTTCTGGCTTTAAACAGACTCCAAAAGCATACTGTATGTCATAAAGCTCGTCTTCTCCAAACATGGGCGATGCTAGATCCGAAACCTGAGCGTGTGTGTGTGTGTCCGCCAAAGCTTCTGTATCCAATGTGTGTTTTCATTTACTAAATTCCTTAATTGTGAGGCGCATCAGCTCAAGTCTACAACCCCTCTGTATACCAAGACTAAAGCCGGCCCTCCCCTGATAGCTCAGCCAGGTTCCAGAGAGGCTTGCTGTGGTAGAGGAGGTCCCTCTCTCTCGGTCTCTCATGTTTGGACTGGGAGGACGTGCATGGTGCAGGCAGGCGGGGGGCACTGTTGGAGACTGGCTCCTGCAAAAGGGCTGTATCATCAATATTATCTACTTCCTCCTTCTCCTCTTCTTCTCCTGCTTTACCTGCATGTCTTGATTAGTGCTGACTGATGTGCTCCGGCTATAGTATCTCTGTGCTCTTCGGTTTAGATTTTTTTTTGGTTCCTTTGTTAGGTTTCACAGGCATTCTTGTACTTACTGGTATGTTTTAAAATGAGCTTCAGGAGTCTCGTTACTCTAGTACTTACAGCATTGATCATTCGGCAATTTGGCTCTCCACTCATTTAAAATTAGTATATGTGAACGGCATAGCTTTACTTTCAACACTGCCATTGTACAGTTGAGTTATCCATTGTAACGTTTAACATACCATGTACAAACTGAAGTAAAACGAGCCCGGAGCATGAAATATTGACAGTATTACTGAAACAATTACTTATTCCAAGTAAGTTTAAAGGAAAGTTCTAGACATGAAAATAGGACAGGACATGACAGGGTTACTAGGAGCATAGAATGGGAAGGTCTGAAGGACCTATGACAGTGTTGACCTACCCCACCTTACTGTGGACCAGTCTTCTCCAAACCCCCTGTACTGTACTGTGTACCACCATACCAGGACCTAGGTATCTCTTTATAGGCCTGAAATATTTGATTTTGTTTTGGATTGACAGCAGCAGTCTTTCCCCACTCCCATTACGTCTCACTGATTTTAAACCCCCTTCTCCTCCTCTCCTCTCCTCTCCTTTCTTCCTCTCGTCTCTCTCCCTAACTGATTTGATAGCTGTGTGTGGCTTTTCAGCAGCTTGTCCACAGACCTGTGGTGTGCGGTGTGTCCCGACCTAACTGTTTCTGTCTCTGTGCTGTTTTACCTTCTTATAGGGTCCACACTGAAACGACTATGTCTAGGCAAAGAGCGCAGCAGTAGTAACTATCTCATTTACTTCTTTCTCTGTCTTCTTTGCTCTCACTTTTTGTTTGTTTCTCTCTTTTTTTCTCTCTGTTGGCATGAGCAGCCTTGGTTTATATTCACGTATTGAGTTTGGCGGTCTGAAGAAAACGTGCCAGGTGTTGTTGGACATGTTGTGGACGCTGTTGCACGAGGAGTGTCACCTTCATGAATTGATTTTGTTTTGTTTTTGTTTGGTAGTGCATGGCGGTGTTTGTCCTAAATGTCTGAGTGCTGAATAATGTGACTTGTGTGGTTGTTTGTATCAGCGTTAATGGTTTCTGTTTATTTTACTGTGGTGGAAGGGGGTCGGTTGGGTGGGTGGTCGGGATTCAACCATGCTGTAATCCTTTGGCTGCTAGGTTTGAGAACCCACACATTTGCTGTCCAGTTGAATGAGATCACATGTCAACTCCACATTTTTGCTCTAGTCAGCTGAGCTTTCTCCACAAAACATTTACCACTCAAAGGGACATTTTAAGGTCTATAGAAAACCAAATAAACTCTCATTCCCAATTTTAGTTGACCTGTTTGATATTTTAATAAATATGCAGGCTCTATAGAGGCTGATGGTGGTTAAAGTGCCATAGATAACTGTAAAAGGCCGAACAGCAGCCAATCGATTCCATCGGAAGGGTCTAACTGGGCAGAGTTTACAAATCTTTCTGTGTTCTAGGGTCTTCTCACGGCGCCAGTGCAACTCAGACGGCGTCCAATCAGCAACAGCCACCAGCTGTCCCCACTCCTTTGCCATCTCCTCAACCAATGACAGTGCTAGCTCAGGCCCAGACAAACAACAGCAACAACAAGAAGCCAGGCACCTTCACGGACGACCTGCACAAGCTGGTAGATGATTGGACGAAGGAGACGATGGCGGCCACACAACCGCGGCCCTCTCTGAACCAGATCAAACAGCAGAGACGCATGCAGGACCTGGAGGGCCAAGCCACGCCCCTGGGAGGAGCCACGCAGGAGGTAACTGGCACAGAGAAACACATCAAAAGTCTGAAGAAGACTTATCACCAGTGTGATAAACACTTTTGGGAGTTGCAGCCCGCCTCGCTCTCTATTACCTGATCATGTGAAAAAGTCCATGTACACAATGTTAAACATCCCCTTTGGTTCCTCCAGGTGAGATGTCCCATCCCTCCAAACAAGTTCCAGCTGCCTTTGTCGTGCCCGCTGACAGCTGCTTTAGGCTCAGCCATGCCCACTGCCCTGAGCTCCAAACCCTCTGCCATGCTCCAGCCCGGGTACATGGTACCAGCAGGCCCCTACGGAGGGGTGGTGCCCGGCCCCCTATACCCCCAGCAGTGGTCTGGTATGCCCAGCCCTGTGGGAATGATGGGGGCAGCGGGAGGGATGCCCTACCCCACCATGGCCAATGCCAGGGGTGCAGGCGTACCCCCTGACCCTGCACAGCCCTGAGAACGTCCCCAACACCAGGACTACCTAATGTGACAACAAGCACCTCCCTGCACCCAGTAAACCCACATCCCACCCCATCGCCCCTGTCGCTCAACACAGACTGCCCCCAGATGTTCCCCTCTATCCTAGCACCCTCACATCAGGACTGCCTGACTAACAGGTCTTAACTCATCTTGTGTTGATAACCTAACTCCCCTCTGTCCCCCCTGCTTCTCACTCCAGGGTTACAATTGTAATGAAATCAAACTCTTAACTTTGAATAGAGTGATGGGCTGGGAAAGAGAGTAAAGTAGGGCCCACACATTTAGATGTTCCAAAAAATGGCTTATGGGTCATTCACCTCAAAGCACAAGGAAGAGGATTTCGACACCCACCATCTGATTGTGCTGAAATAATTTCTGTAGTTAGAAACAGATAATATTAGCATTCCTGAAAATATTTGTTGAGATATAATTTGATCTCTGAGAAATCTAGCTAATTGATTGCACAAACATTTGCCATTTTAAATGTATAGGATTCATATAATCTTCAATAAATATAGTACCTAACATCCGATTTGGACCATCATTCTTCCTAACAATTAGTAAGATGTGGTATCCAATAAAATTATCAAAAGCCACCCACGGACCCCTGTGAATCTGGTGACAGTTTTTTCCCCTTTTCACAGAAATTAGCCTTTTGAAGTCTCTTGCATTATTTACCATAGATTTGTGTGAAAGTACCCTGTTTTGCCCACTAGATGCCACTGTTCCTGCTATTGCCACACACAGAGGGGCCGTTTCCTGGACACAGATTAAGCCTAAGAGAAGGACAAACAATTGCTTTCATGGAGGACTGGCTTGAATTGTGAGGATGACCATACAATTTGTTTTCATCATGAGCAAAAGCTATTGGTTTTCTACCCAAAGTTGCAAAGAAAATGCTGTGATCCATTTAATAAGCACAAGAAACCTGCTAAATTGATAAAAAGGGTGTGGCAGTAGCAGGAAGAGCAGCATCTAGTGGGCAAAACCTGGTACTTTCACACTAATTTATGGTAAATATGTAAGCGACTTCAATGGCTAATTTCTCTGAACAGATTCACAAGGAATAAATTACATAGGATGAAGAAGCAATAATCCAAGCCGCAGCTCCATAGAGAACTGATCCTGTATACTGGTTGTTAGGGTGAGATTGGTGTGGGGGGTCTGTGGGTGACTTTAGATTGGATTACTCATGTCTTACTCAATGGTAGGAAGAAGTTTGGTCCAAATCGGATGTTGGGTACTATATGTATTGAATATCATGTGAATCCTATAAATTAAAAGTGCTAATTTGGGTGCAATCAATTAGCTTAATTTCTCAGAGATTATACATTTTAATTAAAACATAATGTTGCAGGAATGCTAATCTTATCTGTTTCTAACTACAGAAACGATTTCAGAACAATCTGAGATGGCGGGTGTCATGGCTTGCTGAAATAACCTGGAACAACTCTTATGTGTTGGAGCATCTGAGTACTGGCCCCTACTTGACTGTACTACTGTACTACTATACTACTCAACCCCTCCAGTGTTCCTATATGCAGGATAGTCCTGCTCCACTCTGCTCTGATTATGTGGTCTGATGCTTTGTTAAAGAGCAACACACGTGTAAATAACCTGTGCGCTTGTAAATATCCAGTGTGCGTGGCGATATACTTTCTACAGCACCTGTAGTTTTCCTGTGTGTTTGTGTGTATGTATACGTGTGTACAGTATAAATGTTCTGTGTATGTGTGTGTCTGAGCACCTACTGCTTTTAGCTTTGGTCTTGACTAAACTCACAGCCATACTCTATAATATCAGCGGTCACAAATGTGATGTTGTCACCAAATCCGTCATCAACGATAAGTAGTCATGTTTTCAGATTGATTTTTATCGTTTACTAACGTTTTGTCAACCTTAAAACACTACATTAGAAATCAAAATACAAGGGTTTAAGATGATGGGGCAGGAGACCTGTATTTAAGGTGGAGGTTCTCTGGAGGAGTGTAGTGCCTTGAACATAGATTTTTCTGTAAAACGAAGCAAGTCCGCATCCAAGTGATTTTATTTCACGGTGGCTTTTTTTCTTTTCTTGTTGGTTTACATTTGAATGCCCTTGTAGCGCTGCACTATTAACACAGTATATGCTTTTATTTAAGTAATAAAATCATGTTTTTAATCTTTGTTTACTCTCCACGCCTGTGACATTTAGAATGCCATAGAGGTGAGATGTACAGTTGCCCTGTGGGAACAGACAGTTGATGTACAGTTGAGAGAATAAAATACAAGTAAAAACCCACTCATTGGGCAGTGGGTAGTGTCAAAGGCATAGTTAGAATTCTTAGAATTAACATTCCTATTCAAGTAAACGTTCCCCAGTGGGTGGACCAATTGAATTCTCATTCTATATTTATAGGTCTGTTTTCAGAGGGAAACTCGTAGTGTCCAGCTCAGAATGTAGCAGAGAGGCAGGTTTGCCGAGCAAGACTTAAAGTGCAATTTCACCTATCCACCTAGCTTTCGTAGAGGCCTTCTCACAGGAACCTGCAACAGGAGCTAGTTTCTTTTGTTGCCGTTTAGTTGAACCTAAGTTACAAATCACATTGAAAACTGCTAAATATTTTCTGTTGGGGCAAGAACATGGTTCTCCTATTATTAAGAACATTATGCGAATTCTTTAGTGAAAACACCAGTTATTATTTACTTGTCTAAAGTATTGCCATTGTTTTTATGTTTCTAAGCTTGATTTTGATGCTGCTAATGTGGCTGAGGTGGATCCACTGTAAGTAGGAAAGAGGAGTTGATGGGATGTGTGTTTTATCTGGTCATGGTACTTGATAACACTACACACAAGATGACACGGTGGAGTCCCTCCAGCAATAAAAACCTTTGTCAGGGGGTGATTTGTTTTCTAAATGAGATGATGTTCATGTGAAGCAGTGTTATATTGCCTTGTTGAAATTAATAAATGATGTATCATTTCCTAGGTGGTTATTGATGATAGCTTTTCTTTATTGTTTTGAGTGTTTGATTTCTCTGTTCAGAATGAAGCATGCAAAATGCAGATGGGTACTTGATTTGGAAGATTTGCACAACATGACCTGTGCTCTAACCATAGACCATAATATCAGTTCCAATCTGTAGAAACATGCCTCCAAACACACCTGTACATAATGGGGTTAACCCCCCCCCCCCCCACCCACCCCTATCCTCCTGACCACTGAAGAGCATGTCAACTGTTATTTTCCATACAGCGGAGATTAACATTACTACACCGTCATTTAGAAATGTCACAACCAACACCAAGGTTGCAGCACCCCAGTCCTGCCAAGCTGTGAATTGTACAGTTTTCCTGTAATTAATATTCATACATTTTCTTTGTTTGTCTAACTGTTTTGGGATTTAGCGTCGGTGTATATTATTCCATCAATTCGGTTTGAATTGGACTTTTTATAGGATATAATGCAGAGTTCGTCTGCTTTGATGAAATACTTCCAGTAGTAAGAGATTTCTGTTCTCTGTTACTCGTTGTATCTGCCATTACCGCTACACCTCCCTGTCTGTTACACTTAGTGAGCAGATGTGGAAATAACTCTGTTGGAATATTCACTGGGAGGCAACATTCAGATCCATAGAAACTGATTGTGTAGAGCAGATATGATTCTCTGTGAGGAATAGAGAACTGTGCCTGTTCTGATCATTGCATTTCTATCAGTTCTGAGCAACATTGCCTCATTGAATATGCCTCTGATTGTTGAAGGCTTGCACTAAAGCTCTGTGTCTGATTGCTTCTGCCTGCTGTGTATTTCTCATTACATTACCTTACCAACCCAGTCAGCGCACTCATCACAGACTGTACATGTTTAAAGAGAGAAATAAACATTATTTTGTGCTTGATGTTGTCTCCTTTGTTCCTCAATAATCTAGATCTACTAAATATATCTCTCTGGTCATGGTGGGTGGACCTATGCCCTCCCATGGCTGTGCCCCTGCCCAGTCATGTTAAATCCATAGATTAGGGCCTAATTCATTTATTTCAATTAACTAATTTCCATCAAATCAAATGTTATTTTTCACATGCGCCGAATACAACAGTGAAATGCTTACTTACAAGCCCATAACCAACAATGCAGTTTTAAGAAAAATAAGTGTTAAATAAAAATAGATATGTAAAAATAAAATAAGAAGAAAAATAACAAATAATTAAAGAGCATCAGTAAAATAACAGTAGCAAGGCTATATACAGGGGGTACAGGTACAGAGTCAATGTGCGGGGGCACAGGTTAGTCGAGGTAATAGAGGTAATATGTACATGTGGGTAGAGGTAAAGTGACTATTCAAAGATAATAAAGAGAGAGTAACTGTAACTCAGTAAATATTCGAAATTGTTGCATGTTGCGTTTATATTTTTGTTCAGTATACATTTGACTGTAGAACTATGATATTTAATAAATAATGTTCCTTTGCCAGGCTAGACTGATCAAATAATCAATTTCAAACCTATCAGGCACGTGTAACTGATATATAATTTTTCATATTCAAATTTATGGCGCAAACCCCTCCCATTATGATTCACGTTTCCATATTGGCAGATTCGCAAATGACAAAAATAAATACAAAATTAAAAAACATGGTCTTATACGTGTTAATAAAATGTAATGCAGCCTATTTTATCCCCATGTTTTTCGTCTTTGGACATTCTTTAAATTGCATTTTTATCCAGATGTATATTAAAAAGGTGCGAAACGGATCGCTAGATTCGCCACACAGAAAAAGAACAACAAAAGGAAGCGAATTACATTTAACGGTGAAAATGTGACGCCACTTGACTAGGCGTCCATCGAGTTTCAGAATTACACCTTCCTCAAACACCAAAGAATGGTACACATCAAAATTAGGGCCTTATTTCGACAAAAGCACCAAAGAACAAATCCTCGCTTTGACGAAAGTGCCCACACGCGCCTGTGGCGTACAGCAGTGGCTGCCCCTTTTGTTCGCTGGAGTTCCTGAATTAATCCCATCACAATTAAATAACTAGGATATTGTGTGTTTTTTTTAGACCATTTACCCCACATTTCTCATGATTAGATTGGGTTTCATAGGATTAATAAATCGATCTGCAATCGTCCCATTTACCGAGCTGGAGTGAGAGATTTTGCAGCATCCAAGCTTCAGGAGCCCTGAGTAGTAAGTGTTTATTAATTCATTGCTACATTTGCTATGTATTCGTGGTGTCTAGAGAGAAATAGGCTTACATTTATAAGGTGTTTTATTAATTTTGTAAATTGTAATTATGTGTGCTTTGATAGTTGTTACAATTGCTTTTCGAACCGTTTCTGATCCTATAGCGAGATACGAAGATCCAGGATTCTGAGTGCAACATTATCATAACGATTGTCTATTTATCTTTCCCTATTAGTGAATGTAGAACTGTAGGTTTTGCTTAAGTTACATTAATAGGTTGCGATCAGTTGACCACAGAGTGTTATATTGTAGTGGCTGATCAGGGTGAGGTCTAACCATTGTGGAGGGAAACATTGTAGCAAGCTGAACGTGCCCTATCACTGGAGCTGTCTGTTACAATGCATCACCTCGAGTTGTTGTAACCCATACGATTGGTTACAATGTTTCTCAGGCTTCTATAGATACAAATGTATCATTTTGCTGAAAACTACCAACAGTAGTTGCAATCTAGTGGATATGGCTATCTGGTAGCACTTGCAAGATAGTTGCTACAAATAGCTGCTACACATTTCCTTGGATCTTTGAGCACGTGAATAGAACAACATATTATGCGATTACGCTATCCAAATCATGGGCTAATTGATCGATCAAGAGTAAAAGAGACATTCATAACATTGATTATCTTATACGTTGATTAGTTTGCCATAGTTGTATATGGTACTTCAGGTAAATACGTTTCTTCAGTGAGAGTGGAGACTATGTGCAGGTGTTTAGAAGTTTACTTTTTGATTGATAGACAGTTTCTGGTTGAATCAACATCCAAATGTATCTGTTATCTGTAATCCAACATTACAAACGCGTAACGTTATCTCAGCTGTCAAATCGATCAGGTAGCTATCTAACTACCTTTTTATGTCTTCAGTTTAAGATGTTAATCAGTTTTATTCGAAAAGTAAGCAGTATGATGAGCAATATTGCAAGTAAAATGTAATTTGCAATCATTAAAACTAGCAAGAAAAATGGATGCAGCTGTCGGTGCCATGGTAAAGTTGACAGCTCTCCAGCCACGTGCCTGCTGTTGACAGGGTCTTGTTTCCTTGAAATTGGCAAGACACCATGGCATAGCTTTTAGGATTCCAAAAGGCTGAAGGCAATAGACACATTCTTTGTTGTTTCCAACATAGACTGATTACTTTATGGACATAATACTACCCACTGGCATGTCTGTGTTTCAATAATGTTGGAGTCAGAGATGGCAAAAATAAATTGTTGCAAAATTTACATCAGGGTGCATCGTCTCCCCTCCTCTATCTCTCTGTGTGTCTCAGATGTAAGCTTGAACAGCTCCTGTCCCAGCAGTGGCCATCTGCACAATGGGGCTGGACTTTGACGTGAAGACTTTCTGCCACAACCTCCGGGCCACCAAGCCCCCTTACGAGTGCCCCGTGAAGACCTGTCGCAAGGTCTACAAGAGCTACAGCGGCATCGAGTACCACCTCTACCACTACGACCATGACAACCCAACGCCTGCACAGGCCATGCCCCAGAAGAAGAGGAAGGGGCGCCCCCCTCGAGTGTCCCTGGTTGGGACCGGGGACGGGGAGGGAGGGGTGGGAAAGGGAGGTGGGCTGGGGCTTGGCGGGCAGGGAGCGAACACCCCTGGGAGTCCTAACCGGTCGGAGCTCTCCCACTCCCCAGGCAGGGAAACGATGACCTATGCCCAGGCCCAGCGTATGGTGGAGCTGGAGATCCATGGACGCATCCACCGCATCAGCATCTTTGAGAACATTGACGTGGTGTCAGAGGACGACAGCGGGGCCGAAGACCCTCCATCCTCGGGTGGAGGGGGATGTGGGGGAGGGGCGTGTAATGGGGGAGACAGCGGGGGAGGAGGGAGTGAGGTGGGGGGCAACGGCAAGGACAGGCCTGACACCCCTGCTGCTAACGCAGGGAAGGCCACACCTAAGTCTGGGAAGCACAAGAGTAAAGAGAAGAAGAAGGAGGTATCATCGCACCACAACAGTGCTTCCTCTGGCCCGGCTGTCAAACTGCCTGAGGTTGTGTACAGAGAGCTGGACCAAGAGAGGCCTGACGCACCCACACGTCATTCCTCCTACTACAGGTCAGTCACAGTATCACACAACACTCATCCTACTACATGTCAGTCAGTCACAGTACCCTGCCTAAGCGGGTGGTATTGAAGGTCATGTCCAAACTCTCTCACTCCATTCCTTTCTGCATCCTCTCTCCCCCCCCACACTTTCCTCTCCCTCAGGTACATAGATAAGTCGGTAGAGGAGCTGGATGAGGAGGTGGAGTATGACATTGATGAGGAGGACTACATCTGGCTGGACATCATGAATGACAAGCGGCGTAGTGACGGGGTGACGCCCATCCCCCAGGAGGTGTTTGAGTACCTCATGGACCGGCTGGAGAAGGAGTCCTACTTCGAGAGCCACAACAAGGTGACAAACACTAGATCCACTCTTTCTCTCTCTCTGAGGAACAGCTTTTGTGTCAGTCCAGCTTTTTTCCACCTTCTTTCCAGACGTGATGTTGAGTACCCACTTACTTTATCTGTCACCTGTTGGGTGTGTGGTCTACTGGATTGAGTGAGCAGTATGATGTAATGGCATCAGCTGTGTGAGTCTGTTCCCTTAAATCAGGGGTATTCAACTGAGGGTCCGCAGAGGTACTGCAGGGGGTCCGCAAAAATAAATAAATAAATAAATATATATACAGTGCATTTGGAAACTATTCAGACGCCTTGACTTTACAGCCTTATTCTAAAATTGATTTAAAAAATAATAATCCTCATCAATCTACACACAATGCCCCATAATGACAAAGCAAAAACAGGTTTTTATAGATTTCTGAAAATGTATAAAAAATTAAAAACAGAAATGCCTTATTTACATTAGTATTCAGACCCTTTGCTATGAGACTCGAAATTGAGCTCAGGTGTATCCTGCTTCCATTGATCATCCTTGAGATGGTTCTGCAACTTGATTGGAGTCCACCTGTGGTAAATTCAATTGATTGGACATGATTTGGAAAGGCACACAACTGTGTCTATACAAGGTCCCACAGTTGACAGTGCATGTCAGAGCAAAAACCAAGCCATGAGGTCGATGGACTTGTCCGTAGAGCTCTGAGACAGGATTGTGTTGAGGCACAAATCTGGGGAAGGGTATCAAAACATTTCTGCAGCATTGAAGGTCCCCAAGAACACAGTGGCCTCTATCATTCTTAAATGGAAGAAGTTTGGAACCACCAAGACTCTTCCTAGAGTTGGCTGCCCGGCCAAACGGACCTATCGGGGTGAAGGGCCTTGGTCAGGGAGGTGACCAAGAACCCGATGGTCACTCTGACAGGGCTCCAGAGTTCCTCTGTGGAGATGGGAGAACCTTCCAGAAGGACAACCATCTCTGCAGCACTCCACCAATCAGGCCTTTATGGTAGAGTGGCCAGATGGAAGCCACACCTCAGTAAAAGGCACATGACAGCCCGCTTGGAGTTTGCCAAAAGGCACCTAAAGGACTCTCAGACCATGAGAAACAACATTCCCTGGTCTGATGAAACCAAGATTGAACTCTTTGGCCTGAATGCGAAGCGTCACGTCTGGAGGAAACCTGGCACCATCCCTACGGTGAAGCGTGGAGGTGGCAGCATCATGCTGTGGGGATGTTATTCAGCGGCAGGGACTGGGAGACTAGTACGGATCGAGGCAAAGATGAACAGAGCAAAATACAGAGATATCCTTGATGAAAACCTGCTCCAGAGCGCTCAGGACCTCAGACTGGGGCGAAGGTTCACCTTCCAACAGGACAACGACTCTAAGCACACAGCCAAGACAATGCATTAGTGGCTTTGGGACAAGTCTCTGAATGTCCTTGAGTGGCCCAGCCAGAGCCCGGACTTGAACCCAATCAAACATCTCTGGAGAGACCTGAAAATAGCTATGCAGGAACGCTCCCCATCCAACCTGACAGAGCTTGAGAGGATCTGCAGAGAAGAATGGGAGCAACTCCCCAAATACAGCTGTGCCAAGCTTGTAGGGTCATACCCAATAAGACTCGAGGCTGTAATCGCTGCCAAAGATGCTTCAACAAAGTACTGAGTAAATGGTCTGAATACTTATGTAAATGTGATATTTCTGTTTTTTATTTTCAATAAATGTGCAACAATTTCAAAAAACCTGTTTTTGCTTTGTCATTTATGGGGTATTGTGTATAGATTGATGAGGGGGAAAAAACAATTGAATCCATTTTAGAATAAGCCTGTAACGTAACAAAATGTGGAAAAAGTCAAGGGGTCTGAATACTTTCCGAATGCACTGTATATATAAGTGGATTATTTATACTTTTTTATGAATATCGCTAGCAACTAATTTTGAATTACATACCGACAGTAGAAAATTGAAGAATATCTTCTTTCTAATGATGCCAATTTTATTTCTCAGCTCCTAATATTGAGCAAATGACACTCATTGGAGTATCTGACATAGGCTTTGAAAAAACACCCTTAAATAGACTACCAGTGCAGCAAGTGCCACTGACTGCTGGTAAGCTTTCTTGACATGGACATACATGGCTAACCTTTGTCTAACCAGCTAAACAGCTGCTCTTAGCGAAAATATTTTTGTAGTTACCTTTCAAGCTAATAGGCTATGTTAGAGTTCACACTTCCTCTTCCAATTATAATGTGGGGAGGTCAAAATAATGAAAAACGATCTACCAAATCTATTCATTTAAAAATGTTGATTACTTCTCCTTGCCATTATCATTCACCTGATGATAAGACAAGATGTGATATTATAATTATAATAACGTTTATGGGGTCACCGGTTTGCCTGGGAGGGGGGTCTCTGGCCAAGAAAAGGTTGAAGTCCCCTGCCCTAAATGTTTATCCCCTTACCCTCTCTCCCCTTTTCTTCTCCCCCTTTCCCCTTCTCTCCCAGATGGACCCCAGCGCCCTGATCGACGAGGACGCCGTCTGCTGCATCTGTAACGACGGCGAGTGTCAGAACAGCAACGTGATCCTGTTCTGTGACATGTGTAACCTGGCTGTACACCAGGAGTGTTATGGCGTGCCCTACATCCCTGAGGGCCAGTGGCTGTGTCGCCGCTGCCTCCAGTCCCCCAGCCGGGCCGTCGACTGTGCCCTCTGCCCCAACAAGGGCGGAGCTTTCAAACAGACGGACGACGCACGCTGGGCCCACGTGGTGTGTGCCCTCTGGATCCCTGAGGTGAGAGTGTGTGTGAGGGTAAGAGTGTTTGTGAGGGTAGGAGTGTGTGCAAGGTTATTATTTGTTTTTTAAACAGCTAATTGACCGACGTTGGTTCAATTATTTGAATTCCATTTACATTTACATTTTAGTCATTTAGCAGACGCTCTTATCCAGAGCGACTTACAGGAGCAATTAGGGTTAAGTGCCTTGCTCAAGGGCACATCGACAGATTTTTCACCTAGTCAGCTCGGGGATTCGAACCAGTGACCTTTCGGTTACTGGCACAATGCTCTTAACCACTAAGCTACCTGCCGCCCTTTTTTAATTCCTTTATTTTTTTGTGAGCTCAATGCGCAGTTTCTCTAGAGATAAATCAGCTCAAGCCCGAACTGCGCGATGTAGTAGGGAGTTATAGATTCCAACAGGCCAATATTCTACATAGTTTAGCGCGGAAAACATGGTAATTAACTACAATTACCATAATCCATTGCACGCCTACTTGTCCGGTCTGTGTGGGGAATACACAGAGACGGAGAGAAGAGACAGAAGAACACATGATCGAGAGGGATAGAGAGCAGTTGCTTCGTGAGGTATCCCTACCTGAAAATACATGATCTATGTGACTGATAGTTGGTATTTAGTAGTCATAAAAGTATGCCTTACTTACTTTGAAGAACTACTAAAAAATATATTTATTCAGACAGCATCTCTATAGAGATGAGATGACTTGGAATTAAATAATAAAGTATCAAATCAAACAAATGTAACAGCTGAAATATTTTATTAAAGTAATATGAATAAATTCTGGCTAAATGATGAGCTGTAATGGGCAGTCATGCCCATTATGGGACTTTAATTCATTGTTTTATTCTGTGTTGTTACAGCATACAACCCACAATGCATAGTGAATTTGTCATAAAAAAAAAAAAAATGCTGTGCCTGTCTCCATCTCGTCTGTCGTGTTGACAATCCTGTTGCAATGAATGTGGCTGATCTCCTCACCCCTTTCTCCCTCTCCTTCTCTCTCTCCCCAGGTGTGTTTTGCCAACACAGTCTTCCTGGAGCCCATTGACAGCATCGAGCACATCCCCCCGGCGCGCTGGAAGCTCACCTGCTACATCTGCAAGCAGCGCGGCTCAGGGGCCTGCATCCAGTGCCACAAGGCCAACTGCTACACAGCCTTCCACGTCACCTGTGCCCAGCAGGCCGGCCTCTACATGAAGATGGAGCCCGTCAGGGAGACCGGCGCCAACGGCACTTCCTTCAGCGTCCGTAAGACCGCCTATTGCGACATCCACACCCCGCCCGGCTCTGCACGTCCCCTCGGAGGGGTGGGAGGGGCTAGCATGGGCTCCTCCCAAAGTGAGGGCGAGCTGGAGGAGGACGATGAGCCCAGTATAGGTCACGATGACGACTCCAAGGGCTGGAGCTCAGAGCGGGCCAAGAGGGCCAAGGCCAAGTCCCGACTGAAGATGAAGAGAGCTAGGAAGATACTGGCTGAGAAGAGGAACGCGGCGCCCGTGGTGTCTGTGCCCTGTATACCCCCACACAGGTACACACACACACACACACACACACACACACACACACACTGCAGACTCAAAGGCATACAGATTCAGACATCACATACTCTCCCAGTCCTACCATCTCCCCTGTGTGGTCCTCCCCAGGCTCAGTAAGATCACCAGTAACCTGACGGTGCCCAGGAAGAGCCAATTCATGCAGCGACTGCACAGCTACTGGACCCTGAAGAGGCAGAGCCGGAATGGCGTCCCTCTGCTGCGCCGGCTCCAGACCCACCTGCAGTCGCAGCGCAACACAGAGCAGCTACATCCACAGCCGCAGGCGCCAGAGTCACAGGTTCCCACGGTAACCACCACACAGTCTCTGTCTGGTGTTGTTATCTCAGCGGTAGGGAGAATACTACTGGAAGCTCTGCATGTGTTTGGACTAAAGTGTGGCGACTATTGAGAAAGGGAGTGCGAGAGCGTGTGTGATGCTCTGTTAATGTAAATGAGAGGGTTGCATTGTCTTAAGTCATTGCTTTGTTTGATTCTGCTGTAATGGTGTGAGTGTGGGTCTGCATCCTTATTAACTGTGTAGGCGTACGGGTGTGTTACACTGCCAAACTAACCAGTTTGTGTGTGTGTGTCTGTTCATTTTTGAGGGTGTGTTACATTGCACATTTAACATGCGTGTGTGTTGGTGCCCCAGCGGGACAGTGAGGAGAATAACTTGGCTCTGAAGGAGCAGCTGAAGGCATGGCAGAGACTGAGACACGACCTGGAGAGAGCCAGACTACTGGTGGAGCTCATCCGCAAGAGAGAGAAACTCAAGAGGGAGACGGTGAGACACACACTCCTCACATGCACGCATTTGTGTATTGACACACAAACACACACTTGACATCTGGTAGTTTGCACAGTGAGCAGGTGTGTTTACAGTGTGTGTGTGGAATGTGTAGATCAAGGTGCAGCAGATGGCACTAGAGATGCAGCTGACTCCCTTCCTAGTCCTGCTGAGGACCACTCTGGAGCAACTACAGGACAGAGACATCAGCAACTTCTTCACTGAGCCTGTCCCCTTGGCCGAGGTAACACACGCAAGCACACACACACAAGCACTTATTTGCACACACTTGTGTTATCTTACACACAGTGGCTGGTAGGCTTTAACCCCTGACCCCTGTCTCTCTCCTCAGGTGCCAGACTACCTGGACCACATCGAGAGGCCTATGGACTTCCAGACCATGTGGAACCTACTTGAGTCTCACCGCTACCTCAGCTTCGAGGCCTTCGAGGCAGACTTCGGCCTCATCGTCAACAACTGCCTCAAATACAACGCCAAGGACACAGTGTTCTACCGCGCCGCTCTGCGCCTCCGGGAGATGGGCGGGGCTGTGATCAGGACCGCCCGCAGACAGGCTGAGCGAATCGGCTTGGACTATGACACAGGCATGCACCTCCCCCGAGAGCCCAGCCCGGACAGCCAGCGCGACAGAGAGCGAGACCGAGAAAGGGAGAGAGAGAGGGACAGGGACCGAGAACGAGAGAGGGACCGAGACGGAGACAGGCCGCTGTCCTCCAATGAGGAGGGTGAGGGGCTTGGAGTCCTGTTTTACCAACCAGCTTTTCTACTCCCGCCTCTCCCCCTTTCTCCTTTTCCTATAGTTGTATTCTTCCACTTAAGTTATTGTGTTGCTGTATAGCCGTGTGGGATTCTGTACTTGTGTTAAATTTCTCTCTTTCTCTTAGACCTGCTCTTACCAGAGAACCGGCGGCGGCTGCCATTGGAGGAGCAGCTGTGTTTCCTGCAGGCGCGCTTTGATGAGGTCAGCTCGGGGAAACACAGCATCGGTCGGTCGCGGCGGGCCAAAGCCCTGAGGAAGGAGATGACGGTCATCAAGAGGAAACTGGCTCACCAGAGAGAGGGGGGCTCGGGCATGGGGGGCAGGGACTCAGGGGGCGGAGGGGACAGGGGAACATCCCTCCCCCATCACCCCCCCTCCACGGGACGCCATGACGAGGGGGAGGAGAGTAGCAGTCAGGAGATCAGTGGCAAGGGTGAGACTGAGGGTATATCTAAACTAACTCACAGTACATACGCTATGCATTCATATGCATGCATTAATAACTATTCATAACTATCTCACACAGGCATACCCCTACCGTACTGGTAATTAATGCCCAACTCTCATTTCAGGAAGGATGGATATAGAATATTCTTCCATTTTCTCTTCCTCTCTCTCTCAGTAGATCTAAGTGCATCATCCTCAGCTCTAGCTCCAGAGGTGGGACGTCGTACCTCTGTCCTCTTCTCCAAGAAGAACCCCAAAACGGCCGGACCCCCCAAGAGGCCAGGCCGCCCCCCTAAGAACAGAGACACGGGGGTAAGCCCCAGTCCGATAGGTCCCCCCCAACTGCCCCTCCTGTCCCCCCCCTCGGCAGAGGAAGAGACCCCGCAGCCCCCACAGCAGCTCCAGCTCCGAGAGTGACAGTGACGACCTCCTTCCGAGTGAGACACACACACACACACACACACACACACACACTCACACTTCTTACACTAGCCCTGTAACAACATTGTTACATTGTCATTACTCCTATTTTTTAACTGTTATGACTCAGGTCAGTCTAGTAATTGTAGCGGGTATGACTCTGTCTTCTAGGTCTGCCCACTAACGGTTTTGTCGGGGGCAACCAGCCGGTGACAGAGAGTTTTCGGGTGTACAGGAATGAGAGGAGCCTCCCTCGATCCAGCTCTGACTCTGAATCCACCACTAGTAGCAGCAGTAGCGCTGCCTCTGACAGAACCAGGTCATTATGATCCACACACAATGGCCTTTATACGCAGTCACATAGTCGAACACAACTGCACTTTCAATGACACACACATTTTGGTTTAGGATGAATGAATTGACTCTTTTTTTGTCTCTCTCTCTCTCTCTCTCTCTCAGTACCACTCCGTCTAAGCAGGGCCGGGGGAAGCAGTCGTTCTCTCGTTCCACCTTCCAGGAGGACAGCAGTGAGGAGACATCAGGGACAGAGAACGACTCCTACTCTGTGGGAGGGTCACGCAGCGTCTCACACTGTGAGTCACACACAGACACACATGTATATGCATGCCCTTATCTCCATCTGTCGCACCACCTCTACCTCTCCTTTTCCCAAAGTGTGTGTGCGTTTAAGAGGTGAAAATAGCTGTTTAAACAGATTTTTCACGTGTTTCTGTGCTAAAAAATTTTGTCACCTTTTTGGGGCCCTTACCAGTTTGCATCCCTGTTTATGTGTGATTCTGATGTATCGTGTGTTTCTCTCAGTAGGGTGGGGCCGGGGCCGATCAGGTTGTAGGATGCCATCAGATGACTACTCTTCCCTTGATGCTCTGGACCTGGTGTGGGCCAAGTGTAGAGGCTACCCTTCATACCCTGCTCTGGTAATTCAGCCATGGATGGACACACAAATACATTTAGGATAAACTATGGTTGTAATTTCTGTTCGGCCACAAGGAGGCAGTATATCATACCTCTCAAACCATATTCATGAAACTATCATATATCTCTTAAAAGTTGGTATTTTCCTGTCCTCTACTCCCTCTAACCCTCCTCCTCCCCCTGTAGATCATAGATCCTAAGATGCCCAGGGAGGGGGTATTCCACCGAGGGGTCCCCATCCCTGTGCCCCCCCTGGAAGTCCTGAAGCTGGGGGAACAGATGACCCAGGAGGCCCGTGAACACCTCTTCCTGGTTCTCTTCTTTGACAACAAGAGAACCTGGTCAGTACACTGTCTTTTCCCTTGATGCTGTCTCTCCTTCTGTTATCTGTGTTTGTTTCTCTCTCTCTCCTCTCTCATCTCTCTCTCATCTCTCTTTCTCTTTCTCTTTCTCTCTCTCTCTCTCTCTCTCTCTCTCTCTCTCTCTCTCTCTCTCTCTCTCTCTCTCTCTCTCTCTTTCTCTCTCTTTCTCTCTCTCCAGCTCTCTCTCTCTCTCTCTCTCCAGCTCTCTCTCTCTCTCTCTCTCCAGCTCCTCTCTCTCTCTCTCTCTCATTGTTCCCACTCATTTTCATCCTTCTCGCTCCACTCAAACCTCTATCCCTCTCACACTGGTAGAGAAGTGGTGATTTTGAAGGCCTCCACTTCTACAGCTCAGGTTCTTACTCAGTGGAGGCAGCGGAATACCCAGAATCAGAGTGTAGCAGCAAACCTCTGGCTGTAGTCAACAACATGCAGCTCAGCAGCTTTTCACTAAAGCATTGCAAAAGGCTGTCTACGAGTAGTACAAGAACAAAGGGAACCTTTCTTCACATATAATTGCAGGAAAGCAAAAAATGCCGTCGCTCGTCAGCAGAAGTGGGTCAGGAGTGGTTGATGAAGACGCTTTGAGAGAGAACAAAGAGAGAGAAATAAACATTGTTTTAGGTCACAGCTCACACCGTAGTTGCTGCTGCGCTGTGTGTGGATCTGTAATAATTACCTGTGTGAGAAACCGTTCCTTTTCATGACTATTATATCTGCAGAAGCTACTAGCCTTGATGTCCCTGTGTGTGTTTCTAACCCTGTGTGTCTGTGTGTAGGCAGTGGCTACCGCGCTCTAAGCTGGTTCCTCTGGGGGTGGACCAGGAGCTGGACAAGGAGAAGATGCTCGAGGGAAGGAAGTCCAACATCCGCAAGTCAGTGCAGGTGGCCTACCACCGTGCAATGCAGCACCGCAACAAGGTCCAGGGAGACCCCAGCAGCGACACCAGCGACAGTGACTGAGCACACACACACACACACACGTCTTTGCTGGCCTCCCCTGGTATTGATAGGGTATTATTTTCAGGTCTGTGGGTTGATTGATATACCCTGTGGCCTTGGAGAGCCATACCCTAGCACCCAGCACACAGGAGAATCAGTGTGCCAGTATAACCTATTGGAAAGCACATACAACAACATTTTTTCCCCCACACAAACGTTGTTGGCACACACAGTGGTATGTAATCTGAGGTGTAAAATATGTATTTAAGAGAATTGAAACAAAAAGGGTATTAAGATTATGGGAGAAAATGCTATGCCCAGAATCATGATTGAAAATTGTCCTTATATGTGGTTGATATGAGAGTTTACCAGCGCCTGAAAAACATGATCTGCAAACAGAGGGTCGTATCACACAAATATGCACATACACACTTGTATACAGTCGGGTCCAAAATGATTGTCACCCTTGATAAGGATGAGCAAAAAAGACTCTATAAAATAAATAATAAAAATACTGTGCTATATTGTATGCAGAAAATATTCAAAAATATGTAATTTTATACTAATACAATTGCTCAGAGAAAGAGATTTTGTTTAACAAGTAATTATAATTGTTCTCAAAATGATGAGGGTAAACATTATTGGCACCCCTATTTTCAATATCACCTTGCGAGGATAAAATGTTTTATGAGGTTGGAGAACACATCAGGAGGGATCTTAGACCATTCCTCCATACAGAATCTTTCCAGGTTCTTGATATCCTTCGTCTGCGCTTATGAACTGCCCTCTTCAATTCAAACCACGTTTTCAATGGGGTTCAAGTTCGGAGACAGAAGATGGACATTGCAAAATGTTTATTTTATGGTCAATTAACCATTTCTTTGTGGATTTTGATGCGTGCTCGGGGTTATTGTCTTGCTGGAAGATTAACTTGCGGCCAAGTTTCAGCCTCCAGAGGCAACCAGGTTTTTGGCTAAAATGTCCTAGTACTGGGTAAATTTGACCGTAATCAAAATAGCCCCATAACATAAAAGATCCACTACCATATTTTACAGTAGGTATGGAGTTCTTTTCTGCTTACGCATCCTTATTTCGATGCCAAACCCACCACTGGTGTGCATGGACAAACATGTATTATTTTATAATTATTTTACTCCTCTTTATTTTACATTTTAGTCATTTAGCAGATGCTCTTATCCAGAGCGACTTAGAGTTAGTGAGTGCATACATTTTTCATACTGGCCCCCCGTGGGAAACGAACCCACAACCCTGGCGTTGCAAGTGCCATGCTCTACCAACTGAGCTACAGGGGTGCCAATATTTTTTGACCTGACTGTACATTCAAACAGGGAAATGCATACACACTCACACAAAGCTCTTCCCACAGGAATATATGCACACACACACATCCACACACCCCATTGTGTGCACTTATGGTTCCACAGTACCACTGGTCCAACACCCCCTCTACGCAACCCCGCTGCCCCCTTATCCCCGTGTCCAATCATGGCTCAATGGAGCACAGGGTCGGATGGCATGGCCAATCAACTGTGAGCAAAGCAGCTTCCTCTGTTATTTATTCAGTCTCCCAAGGACCTCCAGTCTTCTTCTCTCCTCTAGTCTAACTGACCGTCTTCACAACATTGCATTGTGCAGTCGTTTCCTTTACTCTTCCGTATATATGATTTTTTTGTCGCCTCTGTTCACGTCTCTTTTTGTTCTTGTCTGTTTGTACTATTCTGGCTGTTGGTGAATAATGAGGACTAATGTAAATGTGGATATGATGATACACAAGCCAGCCTCACTGTCTGTTCTAGTCTCAGGCCAATGGCTTTAGAACTTTTATATATACAGATTACATAAGATAGAAGTTTAATAAAATAATTGAGTTTTCTACACCTTTGTTCTGGTCAGCTCTCTCTTTTGCCTGCGAATGTGTATGTCTGTGTATGTATGTGTGTGTACAACATTGCTGCCTTTCCCTGTTAAGTTCAAAAGTGATCTCAATCACATCTAATCACATTTAATTACATGAGTACATACTTGACATTATACAAACAGTGGTGAACTGCAGGGCCAGAGGTGTATACTACAAGGCAGCATCAATGCGTTAGCCAGCTAACTATGATGAACAACCAGAAACAGTTGATTTTCTGGTTCATTAAGAAAGCTAAAGTTATATATGTGTTTTTATTTTTTGAATCAATTAGACCAAGCCCATTTCAAGCTTGTCTTTAAGAAAAATAACAAGTTATTTCATTATATTTAGGCAAGTTAGCTGGCAAACTCCTTGATCCTACTTTGTACTCTTCTGGACTCTTATCTTGCTCCCCAACCTTAATTTCTCTGTTGTAAGCAGGAAGTTAGAACATGTGCAATACCCCTGTGTGTTCTTCAAAAGCCCTGTTCCTCCCTTCGGTGCTCCTCAACCAGGATTATTAAAGGGTGAGTGTACTTACCGCTTGACATGCCCTGACCTCTAACTCTGATTGCCTTGGCTGTCACTCTCACACACTGACAACCATCTTCCTGCGGCCATGTGTAGGGGTGCTGAGTGAGCTGGTATGAACAGGGTGTGTCAGGTGTTGAAATCGGACACTGTCAGCGCTCTCTGGTGGCTTATGTTTCATAATGACTGCTGTCTACAGAAGGAGGGTGTGACTGCCAGGACACAAAGACAACACTCCGGTTCTGCAGGTTCCTAACCATGAAACCTATATCCATCATAGGCCTTCAGGACATACTGATAAGGTCTCATTTCACAAACACACTTACTACTCTTACACATAATTACTGATTAACGTTGTGACACTATCACCTCCTGGTTACCCTCTTGGAAACAATCGATCCTGTGAGTTACATGAGACAATGTGTTTTTTCACTGTGGGGGAGAGAAATGTAGAATGTAAAAGATTGAGTGTGTGACCTTTCCCAGAAGACTTGAAAAAGCCTCTCTCCTTTCAGTGAAATTATTTGTGGATAAGTACCTAAACATGCAACAACATGGTGGGCCCTGACGGTGAGATATTCATGAATAGCGTTGTTAAAGGCTGGGGTGAATTTGATAAGAGACTGCCTACGTGAAGACAGACGACCCACTCTTCTAAAGATCTCTGTTTCCTGCCCTAAATCCCCCACCCCTGTTTACAGTCATGGGAGTGGGAGCCGGAAGAACTGGTAGATATGAACAAAGAGGTTTGTGATGACAATGATGTTTTTCTTCAGTTGACAGTTCTTTGATATCTCTATGATCTCTCTATGCCAACCCTGCTACTGTTTCCACAACAGTTCTCTCTGTACAATACCTTATTGCACACAAATCTGTGTGTGTGTCTGTGTGTGTGCGTGCGTGCGTGGATGGGTGTTTGTGGACGAGGTCTCATTTGTTGGGGTAGATGGAGCTGATACAGTGCCTTCAGAAAGTATTCATACCCCTTGACTTATTCCACAAACATTCCACACATTTGTTGTTGTGTTACAGCCTGAATTCAAAATGGATTAAATGAAATTGTTATTGTTTTTTCTCACCCATACACACACAATAACCCATAATGACAAGGTGAAAACATGGCTTTAGAAATGTTTGCAAATGTATTGAAAATGAAATACAGATATATTTACATACGTATATACATACGTATATATCTCATTTACATACGTATTCACACCCCTGAGTCAATACATGTTAGAATCACCTTTGGCAGCGATTACAGCTGTGAGTCTTTCTGGGTAAGTCTCTAAGAGCTTTCCACACCTGGATTGTGCAACATTTGCCCATTATTATTTTCAAAATTCTTCAACCTCCATCAAATTGGTTGTTGATCATTGCTAGACAAACATTTTCAGGTCTTGCCATAGATTTCTATGTAGATTTAAGTCAAAATTGTAACTTGGCCACTCAGGAACCTTCACTGTCTTCTCCAGTGCATATTTGGCCTTGTGTTTAGGTTATTGTCCTGCTGAAAGGTGAATTTGTCTCCCAGTGTCTGTTGGGGGCTTTACTTGGCTCATCGCCGCTCTAGCGACTCCTTGTGGCGGGCCGGGCTCCTGCAGGCTGACCTCGGTCGTCAGGTGAACAGTGTTTCCTCCGACACATTTGTGCGGATGGCTTCCGGGTTAAGCGGGCGGGTGTTAAGAACCGCAGTTTGGCGGGTCATGTTTCGGAGGACGCATGACTTGACCATCGCCTCCTGAGCCCGTTGGGGAGTTGCAGCGATGAGACAAGAAAGAAAAAGGGGTTAAAAAGATATGTACATATTTTAAACAAATATGGTACTCAGTGATGTGTTGGATTTGTCCCAAACATAACTTTGTATTCAGGACATGAAGTTAATTTCTTTGCCAGATTTTTTGCTGTTTTACTTTAGTGCCTTAATGCAAACAGAATGCATGTTTTGGAATATTTGTATTCTGTACAGGCTTCCTTCTTTTCACCCTGTCATTTAGGTTGGTATTGTGGAGTAACTACAATGTTGTTGATCCATCCTCATTTTTCTCCTATCACAGCCATTAAACTGTAACTCTTTTAAAGTCACAATCGGCCTCATGGTGAAATCCCTGAGCGGTTTCCTTCCTCTCTGGTGACTGAGTTAGGAAGGACGCCTGTATCTTTGTAGTGACTGGGTGTATTGAGACACCATCGAAAATGTAATTAATAACTACACTATACTCAAAGGGATATTCAATGTCTACTTTTTAATTTTTTGCCCATTTACCAACAGGTGCCCTTCTTTGCGAGGCATTGGAAAAACTCCCTGATCTTTGTGATGGAATCAGTGTTTGAAATTCACTGCTCGACAGAGGGACCTTACAGATAATTGTATGTGTGGGGTACAGAGATGGGGTAGTCATTCAAAAATCATGTTAAACACTATTATTGAACACAGAGTGAGTCCATGCAACTTACAGTTGAAGTCGAAAGTTTACATACACTTAGGTTGGAGTCATTAAAACTTGTTTTTCAACCACTCCACAAATGTCATGTTAACAAACTATCATTTTGGCAAGTCGGTTAGGACATCTACTTTGTGCATGACACAAGTAATTTTTCCAATAATTGTTTACAGACAGATTATTTCGCTTATAATTCACTGTATCACAATTCCAGTGGGTCAGAAGTTTACATACACTAAGTTGACTGTGCCTTTAAACAGCTTGGAAAATTCCAGAAAATTATGTCATGGCTTTAGAAGCTTCTGATAGGCTAATTGACATCATTTGAGTCAATTGGAGGTGTACCTGTGGATGTATTTCAAGGCCTACCTTCAAACGCAGTGCCTCTTTGCTTGACATCATGGGAAAATCAAAAGAAATCCGCCAAGACCTCAGAAAAAGAATTGTAGACCTCCACAAGTCTGGATCATCCTTGGGAGCAATTTCCAAACGCCTGAAGGTACAACGTTCATCTGTACAAACAATAGTACGCAAGTATAAACACCATGGGACCACGCAGCCGTCATACCGCTCAGGAAGGAGACGCGTTCTGTCTCCTAGAGATGAACGTACTTTGGTGCGAAAAGTACAAATCAATCCCAGAACAACAGCAAAGGACCTTGTGAAGATGCTGGAGGAAACAGGTACAAAAGTATCTATATCCACAGTAAAACGAGTCCTATATCGACATAACCTGAAAGGCCGCTCAGCAAGGAAGAAGCCACTGCTCCAAAACCGCCATAAAAAAAGACAGACTACGGTTTGCAACTGCACATGGGGACAAAGATCGTACTTTTTGGAGAAATGTCCTCTGGTCTGATGAAACAAAAATAGAACTGTTTGGCCATAATGACAATCGTTATGTTTGGAAGAAAAAGGGGGGCGCTTGCGAGCCGAAGAACACAATCCCAACCGTGAAGCACGGGGGTGGCAGCATCATGCTGTGGGGGTGCTTTGCTGCAGGAGGGACTGGTGCACTTCACAAAATAGATGGCATCATGAGGAAGGAAAATTATGTGGATATATTGAAGCAACATCTCAAGACATCAGTCAGGAAGTTAAAGCTTGGTCGCAAATGGGTCTTCCAAATGGACAATGACCCCAAGCATACTACCAAAGTTGTGGCAAAATGGCTTAAGGACAACAAAGTCAAGGTATTGGAGTGGCCATCACAAAGCCCTGACCTCAATCCTAAAGAAAATGTGTGGGCAGAACTGAAAAAGCGTGTGCGAGCAAGAAGGCCTACAAACCTGACTCAGTTACACCAGCTCTGTCAGGAGGAATGGGCCAACATTCACCCGACTTGTTGTGGGAAGCTTGTGGAAGGCTACCCGACACGTTTGACCCAAGTTAAACAATTTAAAGGCAATGCTACCAAATACTAATTGAGTGTATGTAGACTTCTGACCCACTGGGAATGTGATGAAATAAATAAAAGCTGAAATAAATCATTCTCTCTTCTATTATTCTGACATTTCACATTCTTAAAATAAAGTGGTGATCCTAACTGACATAAGACAGGGCATTTGTACTAGGATTAAATGTCAGGAATTGTGAAAAACTGAGTTGAAATGTATTTGGCTAAGGTGTATGTACTTATAGACTCAAGAAATGTCACCTTGTCATTTGTAATTAATTTGTAAAAAAATGCAAAAAACATAATTCCACTTTCACATTGTGGGGTATTGTGTGTAGGCCAGTGACAATTTAATAAAGGTTTAATTCAGGTTGTAACATAACAAAATGTTGAAAAAGTCAAGGGGTGTGAATACTTTCTGAAAGCACTTTCTGTTGATCCGTCAGAGAGATAAGGAGATGTAGATGGTAGAGGGTACACAACATCCTGTTTCTTCTTACAGGCAGACTGTGTGTGCGTGTGTACGTGGACGTGTTTAACTATACTTGTGGGGACCAGAAGTCTCTGTGTGTGTCTGTGTGTGTGTGTGTGTGTGTGTGTGTGTGTGGACGTGTTTAACTATACTTGTGGGGACCCACAAGAATAGTAAACCAAGAAAAATTTGACCAACTGAGGACGTTTTGTTGGTCCACACACGGTCAAATGCTATTTCTAGGGGGTTTAGGGTTAAGGTTAGAATTAGTGTTAGGGTTAGAATTAGGTTTAGGGTTACGGATAGGAGATAGGGTTAGGAGCTAGGGTTGGGTTAAGGTTTTGGGTTAAGGTTAGGGTTATGGTTATGGTTAAGGTTAGGGTAAGGGTACGGGTTAGGGTTAGGTTTAGGGTTAGGGGTTTGGGAAAATTGGATTTTGAATGGGACTGAATTGTATGTCACCACAAGGTTAGCTGCGCAAGACTGTGTGTGCATGCACTGCAATCGTGCAGATTGTAAAATGAATTTTCTACCCAACAGCATACTAATCAGTTAACCAATAGAGTTTGGTTAACTGATTAGTTAACCAAAACTACACTCAGTGGCCAGTTCATTAGGTACACCACCCTATTCACGAAAATGGTTCGCTCCTACGTGGTCGTGGCTTGCTATGTAAAGCAGGCAGACAGGCATCAAGGCATTCAGTTACTGTTCAATTGAACGTTATAAAGGGCAGAATGAGTGACCTAAGCGACTTTGTGCGTGGTATGATCGTCGGTGCCAGGCACGCCGGTTCCAGTATCTCAGAAACGTCTGGCCTCCTGGGCTTTTCACGCACGACAGAGTCTATGATTTACAGAGATTGGTGTGACAAACATAAAACATCCAGTAATCGGCGGTCCTGTGGGTTTAAACAGCTCGTTGATGAAAGGTTGAAGTAGAACTGCAAAATAATCGTGCAAGCTAACAGACGTACCATAAACAGGCAAATAACGGTGCAGTACAACAGTGGTGTGCAGAACGGCATCTCGGAATGCACAATTGGTCGGTCCTTGTCACAGATGGGCTATTGCAGCAGACGACCACACCGGGTTCCTGTCCTATCTAGCTAAAAACAAGAAGAAGCGGCTCCAGTGGGCACGCGATCACCAACAGTGGACAATTGAGGAGTGAAAAACATTGCCTGGTCCGACGAATCCCGGTTCCTGTTGTGTCATGCTGATGGCAGAGACAGTTTTTGGGTCAACGGTACAGGCTGGTGGCGGGGGTGTAATGGTGTGGAGAATGTTTTCCTGGCACACGTTAGGTCCCTTGATACCAATTGAGCAACATGTCCATGCCCCAAAGAATTCAGGCTGTTCCGGAGGCAAAGTGGGGTCCGACCCAGTACTAGATGGGTGTATATTGTCTGTCTGATTCACATACTACCCATGTAGATTGGACAATACAAACACTTTGCTTGCTACATGTCAAAATTATTTAAAAAAAAAGTATATAATAATTAAACACTCTAATGCTTCCTACAGTTGTGTCAAGTTGTCTGGATGTCCTTTGGGTGGTGGACCATTCTTGATACACACAGGAAACTGTTGAGCATTAAAACCCCAGCAGCATTGCAGTTCTTGCCACAAACCGGTGCGCCTGGCACCTACATTTTTGTCATTTAGCAGACACTCTTTTCCAGAGTGACTTACAGTAGTGAGTACATACATTTTCATATTTTTTTCATACTGGTCCCTCATGGGAATCAAACCCACAACCCTGGCATTGCAAGTGTAAAACACACACACAAAGACACATATTGTGAGAATCAGCACCTTGGACTCATAATGAAACTTTGACCCAGTTAGAGACCCTGCTTACCGTCAACTACAGTCAACAATTTCTGAGTATTATAGCGTGTGTGGTGTTTGTGTGTGTGTGTGTGTGTGTGTGTGTTTGAGAGAGATATATCACAACTGACAGAAACTTTCCACCACGTCTGACACATGCATACACTGTATACACAGCATATACAGACAGACCTACTGTGTAATAACATTGGAAAACCACACGTGAGCCTAACCAGAAACTGCTACAGGCATGGGGTGAATATTACCCTTTCCAAATAACCAGGGCTGTTCAAAGTCCATAAATGAATTGAACAAGGGCCACATTTCAGAGGTCCTTCCCTAGCTTTGTAGGATGTGAATAGAGACAGTTTTGAATAGAATCCAACAACAGTAGCAATACAATAATAGTTTTGTGGTGATAAAAGGCTAAGATAGGACCTGATAATAGACCTTAAACATTACTGAATCAGATAACTGACTAATCTACCGCTGTTAACGCAAATTTTTACACCACTGAGATGATGTTCAGATTAGTCCTGGGTTCAAATACATGCATATTCTGAGTATATTATTTGAGTATTTTCAAATAATATGGCCTGAATCAACTACTTCTATTGGAAGTATTTGAACTTTAAAAAAAAATATATAAATAGGCCTAGCATAGGCTACTATTTAAAACTATTTTCAAATACTTATTTCTAAATACATTATTTCAAATACCAAGCAGACCTGGAGTAGTAAAATATTTGTCTTTGAAAATAGAAGTTTCTGTGTATTTGAGTAAGTTCAAATACATGCCAATATTTTCTAAGTGTATTTTCAAATACATTCCAATATTCAACTAATATAATATTCAAATGCCTACTTCCAAATGTCTGAAAGTAATTGAAATACCCAAAATAGTAGGCCTCAACAGTAACTGTGCAGGGGACTGCAATTTTTGGCAGGAAACATTTCCGTCCTTGCCGCAGTTCAAATAAAATGGTATTTCTTTGTTTAGCCTGACTATTATTTCCTTATTGTTAATCATTTACAAGAAAAGTTCGCACAGTTTCGTCAATCCCAGACCTAGGGCAGCAACAGCACTAGCTGGAACATTGGGCTGGTTCGTTTTGAATGTCCCGATGCCCCGGGTGAGTGGAGATTTCACTTAAGGACCAATGGAATGGTCTAAAATATACACACTCCGTCTATCCGGGGCACCGGGCCATGCAAAATGTATTCGCCCACTGGTACATTGTGTGAGGCAACTACTAAGGTAACCCGTCTGTAGGCGGCTGGAGAGGTGGAGCTTTATGTAGTAAACTAGTCAGCGATTAGTCACTCTCCCAAGACTCAATTTAACCCGAATGTAACTATTCGAACAAGTTCTTAGGAAGAGACAAGAACAACATGGCACTCGAAGATAATATGTAGGCCTACTTTCCACCTACTTTTCAGTTTTCTTGAATTACCTTTATTTGGATTTGAAATGCACTCTATAGTCTAAACATGTATACGGACTTTTTGGTCCGCTGGATTTTGCGTTTGTTGGCTGCCTGAGCGTTGTTCTAGCAACTTCGGATACAATGTGACTTTTCCAAGTGTCTCTGGTTTAGTTACTGGTTAATGTTCATGATGAGTTGCGGGAATGGACCAGCACGTGCTGTGCTCATGCTGTTTCTGCTGCTGCTACTACACGCCGCGGAGGAGATAACACGCGCTGAACTAACTGTCACGGAGGTAAAGGAATGAATCATACCATCTTTGAGGTTAATCTTCATGGAAATAATGTAACTAATAAGCAAAAGAGACATTACACACAGACTGTAGCCTATAGATAATGGAAATGGTGTATTAGAAATTCATTAGGCTATGTGAACCTGCATCAATATTCACTTCACATGTCAATAACAAACTCAATATAATGTTTGTTCTCTCTCTTTTCCTTTCTCTATTTCTCCTTTACTTTATCCATAGATTCAACACCAGAATGGTAAGTGTTACTTTAGTTCATGGTCCCATTGGAGAGTTGATCTTATAGACAATATGAAGGGGAACAGTTTATTTGGCATTTCCAGACTTTACATGTATATTTATTTTACTCCATACATTGCACAGTTTTGAATGTTCTTATGTTCTCTGGCATTTGTTTTTTTTCTATAGGTTCCACCTGGAACCCTGAGAGTCTTCCCCAGCTGAGTCTGTCCACCTTCCGGTTCTCTCCAACACAAGGCTCCTGTTCTGCTTGTGTCCGTGTCCGTTTCAGAATGAAAGCTGCAGGTAAGGCCTTCAACTCTGTTTCCCATCCACAACCAGTCTCTGTCTCTCCACATCATCCTCACCACCCTCTTCCCCTTCAGAACCTTCCTCCATCTTCCTTTTATCCAAAGTCTTCATCTCAGTCTCCCTTTCTCTGACCTTGTGTTTATTGTCCCCATGATGAAATCGGGGAGGGGACTGTGGATCTGTCAGCACATTAGTCACACGCGATATCTCAGACACCACTGGCCCGATGTTTGAGGAGGTGAATGATGCATCTTGTTATAGAGATCCGGTATTTACAAAAGTACACTGATTGGCCAGATGGTGGCGGAAAAGCAAGAGATTGAAAATGCTAACTTTTGTTAAGGGGGGCGCTGCATCATCCGTGGGGGGACGACATGTTTACTTTTGCATTGTTTCAGTCTATACAGTGAGGGGAAAAAAGTATTTGATCCCCTGCTGATTTTGTACGTTTGCCCACTGACAAAGACATGATCAGTCTATAATTTCAATGGTAGTTTTATTTGAACAGTGAGAGACAGAATAACAATGAAAAAATCCAGAAAAACGCATGTAAAAAATGTTATAAATTGATTTGCATTTTAACGAGGGAAATAAGTATTTGACCCCTCTGCAAAACATGACTTAGTACTTGGTGGCAAAACCCTTGCTGGCAATCACAGAGGTCAGACGTTTCTTGTAGTTGGCCACCAGGTTTGCGCACATCTCAGGAGGGATTTTGTTCCACTCCTCTTTGCAGATCTTCTCCAAGTCATTAAGGTTTTGAGGCTGATGTTTGGTAACTCGAACCTTCAGCTCCCTCCACAGATTTTCTATGGGATTAAGGTCTGGAGACTGGCTAGGCCACTCCAGGACCTTAATGTGCTTCTTCTTGAGCCACTCCTTTGTTGCCTTGGCCGTGTGTTTTGGGTCATTGTCATGCTGGAATACCCATCCACGACCCATTTTGCTGAGGGAAGGAGGTTCTCACCCAAGATTTGACGGTACATGGCCCCGTCCATCGTCCCTTTGATGCAGTGAAGTTGTCCTGTCCCCTTAGCAGAAAAACACCCCCAAAGCATAATGTTTCCACCTCCATGTTTGACGGTGGGGATGGTGTTCTTGGGGTCATAGGCAGCATTCCTCCTCCTCCAAACACGGCGAGTTGAGTTGATGCCAAAGAGCTCGATTTTGGTCTCATCTGACCACAACACTTTCACCCAGTTCTCCTCTGAATCATTCAGATGTTCATTGGCAAACTTCAGACGGCCCTGTATATGTGCTTTCTTGAGCAGGGGGACCTTGCGGGCGCTGCAGGATTTCAGTCCTTCACGGCGTAGTGTGTTACCAATTGTTTTCTTGGTGACTATGGTCCCAGCTGCCTTGAGATCATTGACAAGATCCTCCCGTGTAGTTCTGGGCTGATTCTTCACCATTCTCATGATCATTGCAACTCCATGAGGTGAGATCTTGCATGGAGCCCCAGGCCAAGGGAGATTGACAGTTATTTTGTGTTTCTTCCATTTGCGAATAATCGCACCAACTGTTGTCACCTTCTCACCAAGCTGCTTGGCGATGGTCTTGTAGCCCATTCCAGCCTTGTGTAGGTCTACAATCTTGTCCCTGACATCCTTGGAGAGCTCTTTGGTCTTGGCCATGGTGGAGAGTTTGGAATCTGATTGATTGATTGCTTCTGTGGACAGGTCTCTTTAATACAGGTAACAAGCTGTGATTAGGAGCACACCCTTTAAGAATGTGCTCCTAATCTCAGCTCATTACCTGTATAAAAGACACCTGGGAGCCAGAAATCTTTCTGATTGAGAGGGGGTCAAATACTTATTTCCCTCATTAAAATGCAAATCAATTTATAACATTTTTGACATGCGTTTTTCTGGATTTTGTTGTTGTTATTCTGTCTCTCACTGTTCAAATAAACCTACCATTAAAATTATGGACTGATCATTTCTTTGTCAGTGGGCAAACGTACAAAATCAGCAGGGGATCAAATACTTTTTTCCCTCAATGTATCTATCTTCCTTAACCTGACTTCCTCTCCTACTCTCGTTCTACCTTTACTGCCATAATTCCTTCATCTGTCCTCTGTTTTCCCTCTCTAGCCTTTACTGGGACACTGACCATTACCTACCTGGAGCTGTCAACTAGTACTCGCAGAATCATCTCCATTAAAAAGGTCAAAAATCACACTTTACAGGTAACATTTCTTGAAATTGAACTTCTCTTCATTCCACTGACCGTGAATATTCCTTAGCTACCAAAGTTATCAGATGGATAAGATAGATGGATAAAATGAAGTTCTTACCCTCTATCTGTTAATGAAATCGGGGAGGGGGACTGTGGATCTATCTCCATCTGTTAGTACGTTCGTACGTTAGTCACACACGATATCTCAGACAGCACTGGCCCGACTTGGGTGGATGATGCGTCTTGCCATAGAGGTCTGTCATTTACAAAATTACAGTGATTGGCCCAAGGGGGGCGCTGCCTCATTCGTGGGGGATGACATGTTTATTGTTGCCTTGTTTTTATTTTAAGTGGAGAAGCCAGATTCCATCCATGAGAGGAAGGACCAAAATCAAACGTTTGCATCTCCATAATATTGGCCATCAAATTTTGGTAAGATCTGATATTTTCATGGGCGCGCACACACACACACACACACACACTAAAAAGGTGAACATGTGTTTCTGATTATGGTGCTGTGTGTGTGTCTGCTGCCCTCCAGTGGGAGTTGGTGTATGACTGTTTCCCGGCCGATGCAGGGCGACATGTGCATGTGTCTTTGTCCTCCAAACCACACAGAGAAGACAGGTACATCGTACAAGACATCTGTCCAGGTAATGAATCTCACAAGCTAACCTTTCACATCCATCACTTATCCCCTTCCCTCACATGTGATCAGAATTACATCATAATAATTGATGACATTTCTATAGCAATTTGACATACTATGACCCTCTGTCTGTGGTGATCCAGATTCAGATCCAGTGCCAGAGTTTGACCTGTCTGTTGATGAGCTGGCTCGATCCCTCACTGTAACTATAGCAACTGGGGACCACATACACCAGCCGGCTCGCTCACCTGACGTACACACCAGGCTGTGCTACAGACAGACCGACTCAGAATGCTCCAACCTTTCTCGTCTTATTACTGTAAGCTTGTGTGTGTGTGTGTGTGTGTGTGTGTGTGCATGCGTGTGTGTAGATGTGTATAAATGTGTTTCAAAAGGTGAAAGTTGTGTACAAAGATGTTTATAATTTGTTTATGGATAACATATGTTGTTTTCTCAAGATTGGCACCAATCAGGCATCGTCAGTGACTCTCAAGTTCCCCTACCTGCTTCGCTGTGTCTGTGTACAGGTAAGGTCTCACTCAACTACATATCCCAATGAATAGAGATACTGTAACTATCAGATAATGCGCAATGGACAGTGACATTGCGGCATGGCTCAAACTATGTCTCATGTAAGTGTCCTTACATGTCTTTGTGTCTGTCTGTTTGTACGTCTGCCTGCTACAGGTATATTACACACACCTGGACGCAAGGCGAACCACAGTTTGCCCGTTTGTGAACAGCTCATTAGCTGGTGAGTATTCACTGTTTTTTTTATGTCTCTTAGACTTGTGTGAGAGGCAGTAGATGATGATTAGCGTCAGTCTCTGTGTGTGCGTTGTTACCTGTACATTTTCCTGGGAATCTGATCTGGGAAACCAGGGGCTTTCTGCTGGATCAATTGTTATTATGAGTCACAGATAAAACAGCAGAGCATGCAGTCCTCAGAGACCAAAGTCATCTTGGAGCACTCACTCCTCCCACTACTATCAGTAACAATGCACTGTCTGTGTGTGATCTGAAGAGGGCAGAGACGTGTGGCGCTCCAGTTCTGTGACTCTGTATGGTGAGTTGGGTTCGAGCCTGGCCTGGAGCTCCCTGTGTCCTGCTGCTTACCTGAAGCCCTCTGCCTCCCTCTGCTGGCAACACCAGAGAAACACATCCCACTGCACTCCCATCCTCAACTCCACACTGGAGAACATAGTGGAGAAGAAAGATCTGGTAAGGGTTGGTGGTGATGATGAAGAGGAGGATAATAATGATGATGATGATGATTCCATACCTTTCCCTCTCCCCTTGACAGAAATATAATGTTTCTGCTGTGGATAAACACCCTCAGATGTGTGTGCAGGTAAGACTGTGAGCCAATCAATGTCTAATATCAACAGTTAACTGTATGATACATGATACATGTGGGTTTCAGTCGCTGATGTTCTCATGTCTCTCCTCTCTGTAGTTCTCCTTTAGAAGCAGCTTTGATGTCCACTGTCCATTCCTGCCAGGTGAGAGACCACAAGACCACAGTGATAGAGGTAACCGAAAGGTCGCTGGTTCTAATCCCCGAGCCGACTAGGTGAAAAATCTGCCGATGTGCCCTTGAGCAAGGCACTTAACCCTAATTGCTCCTGTAAGTCGCTCTGGATAAGAGTGTCTGCTAAATGACTAAAATGTAAATGTAATACTGCACATGATATTGTTATCATAAACACATCTCCTGTGCCACTAGGAGCGGTAAAACACCATACCACTTTTAGTCTACCCAAATGCATACAAGGCCCTCCCTTCGGCAAATCAGACCATGACTCTATTTACCCTTCCTGTTTACAAACAAAAGCTCAAACAGGAAGGACCAGTGACGCGCTCAATACGCAAGTGGTCCGATGAAGCAGTTGCGAGGCTACAATGCTATTTTGCTAATACAGACTGGAATATGTTGCGGGGATCATTCGATAGCATTGAGGAGTTTACCACATCAGTCACGGGCTTCATCAATAAGTGCATTGACGACGTCATCCCCACAGTGCCTATACAAGCGTGTAAACCAAAAACCATGGATTACAGGCAATATCCTTGCTGGGCTAAAGGCTAGAACTACTGCTTACAAAGAATGGGACACGGATATGGGTGTATACAAGAAAACCTGCTACAACCTCAGACGAGACATCAAACATGCAAAAGGACAATCTAGGAGGAAGGTGGAATCCAATTACACCGGCTCTGATGCTCGTTGAATGTGGCAGGGCTTGCAGACTATAACAGATTACAACAGGAAACCCAGCCATGAGATGCCCAGTGAGGCGGAACTCCCAAACGAGCTAGGCAACAACAACTCCGCCACACTGATCCTCAACACTGGGGCCCCTCAGGGGTGCGAGCTTAGTCCCCTCCTGTACACGACTCCAACAACATCATCAAGTTTGCTGATGACACAACGGTGGTAGGCCTGATCACCGACGGCGATGATCAGAGACCTGGCCGTGTGGTGCCAGGACAACAACCTCTCCATCAACGTCAGTAAGACCAAGGAGCTGATTGTGGACTACAGGAGAAAAGAGGGGGGAGCACGCCCCCATCCACATCAACAGGGATATAGTGGAGTGGGTCGAGAGCTTCAAGTTCCTTGGCGTCCAAATCACTAAGGAATTAACATGATCCACACACCCGCACAGTCGTGAAGAGGGCACGACAGCTGCACGACAGCTGCACCATCGAGAGCATCTTGACTGGCTGCATCACCGCTTGGTATGGCAAATGCACCGCCCTCGACCACAAAGCGCTACAGCGCGGGGTGCGGACGGCCCAGTACATCACTGGGGCCAAGCTCCCCGCAATCCAGGACCTCTATATCAGGCGGTGTCAGAGGAAGGACCAAAATATTGCCAAAGGCTTCCAGCCACCCAAGCCATAGACTGTTCTCTCTACTACGGTATTGCAGATAATGTCATTGTATTTCCTGCTGTCGAGTAGTCCATCACGGACATACAGTGTATTTTATCTTCTGAGCCATGAGTGATTCAACAGGAGGCTTCTTCACTACACCGGAGCAATGGCTCTCGGATGAACAGGCTCCGAGGGACAGCTTCTATCCCCAATCCATAAGACTGCTAAATAGCCATAAGACTGCTAAATGGTTAATTAAATGGTTACACAGACTATCGACATTGACCCTATCTTGCACTGACTCTGCACACTCACAAGACTATATATACACAATCTCACACAAAACCCACACACATACACACACAACATACACACATACAAACACTTTCACACTCATATGCTGCTGCTACTCAGTTTTTTATTCTTCTCATATTATTATCTATCCTGATGCCTAGTCACGTAACCCTGCCTTAATGTACGTACACTACATGACCAAAAGTATGTGGACACCTGCTCGTCGAGCATCTCATTCCAAAATCATGGGCATTAATATGGAGTTGGTCCCCCCTTTGTTGCTATAACAGCCTCCACTCTTCTGGGAAGGCTTTCCACTAAATGTTGGAACATTGCTGCGGGGACTTTCTTCCATTCAGCCACAAGCATTCGTGAGGTTGGGCACTGATGTTGGGCGATTAGGCCTGGCTTGCAGTCGGCGTTCCAATTAATCCCAAAGGTGTTCGATGGGGTTGAGGTCAGGGCTCTGTGCAGGCCAGTCAAGTTCTTCCACACCGATCTTGACAAACCATTTCTGTATGGACCTCGCTTTGTGTACGGGGGCATTGTCATGCTGAAACAGGAAAGGGCCTTCCCCAAACTGTTGCCACAAAGTTGGAAGCACAGAATAGTCTAGAATGTCATTGTATGCTGTAGCGTTAAGATTTCCCTTCACTGGAACTAAGGGGCCTGAACCATGAAAAACAGCCCCAGACCATTATTCGTCCTCCACCAAACTTTACAGTTGGCATTATGCATTGGGGCAGGTAGCATTGTCCTGGCATCCGTCAAACCCAGATTCGTTCGTCGGACTGCTAGATGATTGATCACTCCAAAGAACGCGTTTCCACTGCTCCAGAGTCCAATGGCGGCGAGCTTTACACCGCTCCAGCCGACGCTTGGCATTGCGCATGGTGATATTAAGCTTGTGTGCTGCTGCTCGGCCATGGAAACCCATTTCATGAAGCTCCCGACGAACAGTTCTTGTGCTGACGTTGCTTCCAGAGGCAGTTTGGAACTCGGTAGTGAGTGTTACAACCGAGGACAGGCGATCTTTACGCGCTTCAGCACTCAGCAGTACTGTTCTGTGAGCTTGTGTGGCCTACCACTTTGTGGCTGAGCCGTTGTTGCTCCTAAACGTTTCCACTTCACAATAACAGCACTTACAGTTGACCGGGGCAGCTCTAGCAGGGCAGAAAGGTGCCATGTTGAAAGTCACTGAGCTCTTCAGTAAGGCCATTCTACTGCCAATGTTTGACTATGGAGATTGCATGGCTGTGTGCTCGATTTTATACATCGGTCAGCAACGGATGTGGCTGAAATAGCCAAATCCACTAATTTGAAGGGGTATCCACATACTTTTGCGTATGTAGTGTATCTATCTCAAATACCTGGTACTGTAAATAGCTTCATTCTTGTGTATTTTATTCCTCTTGTGTTACTATTTGTATTTTATATTATAATTTTTTTTAAACTCTGCATCGTTGGGAAGGTCTCGTAATCAAGTATTTCACGGTAAAGTCTGCATCATTATATTTGCCGCATGTGACAAAATGTGATTTGAACATCTCTCTCTCTATCCCTCCCTCCTTCCCTCAGGTATGTCTAAGTGGGAGGCATATGTTGGTCCTGGTTCACAGAGTCTCCGTGTCTATCTCACCTCCAATATCCCAGCATCCTTTGCTGCTCAACTCTGTGTATGGAAGGAGAAGGGATGTGTGTCCAGAGGAGCGATCTACTTAGTAAACATGGTAAGATAAGAAGACATTATTACCATATTATAGAGCTATAGACACTGTTGGTCCATGCTGTTAAGAGTGCAGTTTTCTGTTGTACAGGGTGAGGGCACCAGAGAGACACAGCTGAACCTGCCCTTATCATTCCTGACTGATGGACTATGTGTGCAGGTATGACCTAACTATGAATGAAAGGATATCTTATCTTACCTTACTTTCACTTTTTTTTCGTTTCACGCTCTCTTTATCTCTCTGAAGGTGTGGCGGTCAGATCCTCCACAGTATGGGAGGAGACTACTGTGTCCTGACTGTGAGTTCACTCTCAGACACATACACACACACACACACACACACACACACACCTTCCAGCACTTATACGTAGGCTCCTCATATGCCTCCTCAGATTCCCACAGGAGATGGGGTCTCTATGCTGTTGCAGCCTTGACACTTCTGGTTACTGTGGCAATGCTGGGACGCCTCATCCACTATGTGACCAAGAATGGAGTCACAGGTCAGTTGTTCTTGTACTGTACGGTAGACCTTTGTAGCCCCTTCCTGTGTCCTCAGTCAGCCTATATTTCATTAACATTGTTTGTCATATTACGTACTGTCTTTGACCTACCTGTCTGCTCCGTCTGTGTGTCTTTCTGTCTCACCTTATCCTTCAAACCTAACACCCTTAATTTAATCCACATTTGATTTGATTTGATCCCAAAGGCTTAATGGCCATCATCAGTTAAATAATTGAGAAATCAAGCAATAAATGACAATTTCCTCTCTCTCTCTCTCTCTCTCTCTCTCTCTCTCTCTCTCTCTCTCTCTCTCTCTCTCTCTCTTTTTCTTCTTCTTCGTTGTGTGTGTCTTTGCCTCGCCCCCTCTCTCCCTGCAGGCTGGCTGTTCATCCAGAGGCCTGTGTTGTTGGTGTGTTCCTCAGAGCAGTCAGCCCATGTGTCTCCCGTGTGCGCTTTGGCCTCCATTCTACAGGGGGAGTTGTGTGCTGAAGTGCGCATGGCTCTGTGGGCCCAGATCTCCAATGGGGTTGGTCCTGGGGCTGTGGAGAGGTCTGGGGCTGGTGTGGCTGAGCTGGGCCCTGTGCCCTGGCTGTATGGACAGTGGGAGGCAGTCAGAGAGGCAGGAGGCCGGGTGCTGATCATATGGAGCCCAGAGGCCAAGGAGTCCTACAGGAGCTGGAGAGAAGAGAGAGATGGGAAAAAGACAGGAGGGAGTAAAGGAGAGGAGATGCGACAAGGGAAGATGGGAGGAGAAGATATGGAAGGACTTGAGAAAACAAGAGAGAAACTGGAGCAAGCAGGGATGAAGAAAGGAGTGGGATGGAAAGAGGAAGGTAGGAGCGGAGAGGTGGAGTTGGAGCCCTCCTCAGTGACGGGGCCGGTGTTCAGGGCTGCCCTGTCCTGTCTGCAGGGGGCACTACAGGGGACGGGCAAGAGCCAAGGCTTCGCGCTTGTCTACTTCCAGGACCTCTGTCACAGCCGAGACATCCCCAAAGACCTCAGAGGTGTCCCGCGCTATTGCCTGCCTCGGGATTTTGGGGGCCTGATACGAGAGCTGGGCGGGACGGCTAGAGGACGGAACAATGTGATTGGCAGCTGGCACTGCTGGCCCAGACTCCTCTCCAAAACATTGTCACTATGGTTGGCGCGACGACTAACTCACAAGATGAGTTGCCACGGACGCGCCCACAGGGAGAGGAGGGTCCAAAACTGAAATCGTCACAGAAAGTGATGTCAGTGAGGACACTAAGCCGGCATGTGTCGCTACTGTCAACCAATGAAGAGAGGACAGAGCCAAGCACTTTGCAGGAGAAGGAGTCACTCAGCGGGTCACCGTGGTGATGAGGCAGGGCATCTCAGGTTTTACCTTTTATACAGGGGCTAGTTTTTTGTCATGACTGTAACATGAGGCAGAGGACATGGGTGGTGTAGTGACCCAAACAGTGGAGCAGAGACAATGAAAAGTTATGCCTAAAGTCAATAGGGGGTATTCATAACACTTCACCACTAAGATAACTTACCACTTGATTTGCAGAGTAGGTCAATATTGTCCTCTGGGTACATCCCCGTATGGCCACAGTTTATTCTTTGTATGCTGAGTGCACTGTTTGAACCTGACCATGAAGCCACACATATCAGCCTTATCTTTTGTGTGTTTGCCTGAACAAAGGAGACACCCGAATCTAGTGAATATCTCCTACAAAATTAACCATCCGCTGTTTATACAACAGGACTTATATTCACTACATTACTCTGAACAATCTTGGCTAAGTGTTGTGATTATAGAAGCATTTGTTGTCAACATGGCAGAGTGCATGGAGGCTGCCACATCAAGCAGCATTAAGGAAAATGCTAAAGAAAAGGCTTGAAGTACGGTTGCCAGGCGCAACACACCAACACACTGTTCTCCCTATCTTCATCTTGGAGAGAGAAATCCTTACAAGGGAGGAGGCCATAGCTAACCCCCTGAAGGAAGAATAGCTCTACCATACAGGTAATCCAGCCAAGCCACCTCAGGTTGGTACAGAGAGAGCACTCTGGCAGATCCATCTAAATAAAAAGGAGGCAAGGGCAAATCTCCTTATTAGAGGAATATCTGTCCGTGGGAAAGCATTTTAATGTTCAAGGAAAAGAACCCTTTCAGTCTGAAGTCACGCATGGCCAATCAGAACTCAGTCCAAGTTACAATCAAAAGAGCTGCCTAAATCAGCAGATGACAGTGTTGTGACCAGAGTTTCTGACCAAAGCAGGTTGCAAGACTGTGGGGAAAGTTATGAAACGCATGAATCGATGCAAGAACCAACTCACTTAACTGTTCCAATGGAGACCGCTTTGTTTACATTGAAGCAGTGCCCCCCCCCAAGCTCAGACCCCGCTCTGCGAAGATGGGTCCACACTGGGTCAAAATCTTCTTCTATGGATCAGGCAATGGACAGCGTCAAGACGAGCCGGAACAAAAGCCTGCACCGAGCCCAAAATGCAGTCCAGCCACTGAAGATAACTTTAAGTACATAGAGGAGATGTACAGTACAGCCAGTCTGTGCTGGATGACAACACCCTGCCTGAAAGTGGAACAGAGCTATCCGAAACACCAGCATAATCTGAAGAAATGCAGAGTGAAACTGAAGATCAGGCCCCTTCTACACCGAAGAACAAGGGAGATGAGCCTGGAGAACAGTGTGCCAGACCCAACTACACAGTCTAACAAGCAGAGAAAGAAGAAGAAGAAACAAACAAAATTATGTGAAAAGCAAAAAAGTGGAAGTGAAAGTAAAACTAAAGAAAGAAGGCAAGACCGAAGATAGTAAGATGAACAGAAGGCGGTGCAACTCACTTGGGAGGGCAAAAGAAGGGAATCCATCCTTAATTCTCTTATTTTCAGCCCCTCGGTACTCTACAGCAAGTGAGAGACCTAGGGAAAAGGACTCACAAAGTTATGTCTGGAACCGGTTCACCAGCTAAAAAGAAGACAAAGAAAATGATGATGAACAGGACCAAAGTCCCCAGATCACAAGTGAAGAACACAAGGAGTCCACCCAGGAAGTATAAGGGTATAGAACCATCATGGACAATGTGTGATGTAAGTATTACCTGAGTTAGATGATCTTTCCTTTTTGTTTTCATTAAAGTCCATTTAGGGATGGGTGTTGAAAATTAGCGTGAGCTAGAGACACGAGTGTAATGCATCTGACAATTGTTTGTTCATTGTGTCAATGTGTTTGTCCCCATCCAAATAAACGGAACTATTATTGTATGAAACTGAATGTCCTCGTTGTGTACCCTCACCACAGGTGCTCAACTGAAGGGATATCTGTTATAGAAACTCACTTCATCATTCTCAATGGCAACAGCAGTAGTTGATTAAATGATGTGCTATATTTGCTCTGTGGGCACTAACTGTACATCCAAAGTGTTGTTTTACCCAAGCCTCCACTTTCCACATGACTGTCAGATCCTTTCTGGAACATTCCAAACTATGTATTTCTACTGAAGTGCACAGCATCAACATGCCTTCATCTTGAACCAGCACCTGTCCATCTCTCTAACTGGTTTGCAGTAGAACTGCTTGGATATGCACAGTGCCATAGTGAATTAGAGATTATATACTATGTCTGAGTATAAAGACCACTACTACACTGTAATGAGCTGAACTGGACTGGGATAGGTATTCTCCAATGAGCTCATATGGACTGTGTACTGTAACTTAAGGTATATAAGAAAAGACACCTTAGTGACTCATTCTCTGGTCCAAGGACATTATGGTCTTAGTTTAAAATGTACATCATTCAAGACTTTGTTTTCAGAATATTTCACTTTGCAGTATGTAATAATGTGTTTTCTCCCCACGTCAATTCAATACCTATTCCACGTTGGTCTAACGTAATTTCATTGAAATGGGGTGGAAACAATGTTAATTCAACAAGTGTGTGTCCAGTGGGTTATCACACTTCCTTATTAATTCATATAGCTTTTATTCAATTAAAATGATGATTTAAGCGTTGATTTACTAAATAGACACACAGAGTATCAGACTTGGATCCTGCTATAGTTTTAAAGCATGTTATTGTTTTATTATTAAACAACTGGTTTGTGAACCCCTTCAGACTGACAGTGAAGCAGTAATTATTCAAATATCACCAACGACTCACATTCCATACTCAGTATGCCAACTGGAGCGTAGTGAGTACGCCCACTGGAGTCAACGGTAGACCGTATGCAAAGCATCTGGATCCTTAAGGGGGAAATTACCCCCTTAAGGGAAATGTCTATTTTCTGAAAGAAAAAATCAAGGTTAGGTAAGATATTCAGTAGATATGTGCATACGGGCTATCCTTAGGCAAACACATTTTGAAGGATTTTGTTTGTTGTCATTCAATAAAAATAGAAAGTTTAGAATGGGGGCCATTAGCTAAAATCCATTTTATACATTTTATTTTGTCATTTTTTTGTAACTAACCCTTAAAAGCTGAAGTCTAGGTATCTTGTTTTAATTAAATAAATCAAATATCAAAACAAAATTACATTGCACATCTCACTATTAATATCCTCACTATGACGAGGTCTTGATGTACGGACCCTTTTTATTTTTGCGCTTTCTATCCAAATCATCCTAAAGTATCTAAACAAATGGATTGTCTAATCTTAACATTGTACTACTTTATTAGAAACTGATATATTTATTTACTCAAACCAAGTGGATTATTTATCTTTAGGCTCCCCTAATGGTATATATATAAAAAATGTTTATAGATCTAACTTCATTAGACTAAATTACAAATTATTACATCAATGTTGTTGGAGTGACTTAAAAATTAGAGATGAGACAGATACACATTTTAGTTGAGCAAGAATAGTGGCACCAGGGAAAGAGGTTTTAAAAAATGGGGACATACAGTAAAGTGGGTTATGTGAGAATTACAGGAGGGGGGTGCTTAATCCTGGGGGTCATTTAACCCCAAGCCACCCTACCATAAGACAACATTGTTCTACCCAGAGAAGTAAGTCATGTTTGCAATTATATGCAGTAAAAAGAGGCAGATCAGTTGTCATTGAAGGTTTAAATTAACTGTATTCTGTGTTTAATGCCTTTACCCTATCTACCATTGTGTGGGCTTATGAGTGCATGTTGCATACACTTTGAAATGCTTTTTTGTACATTTGTAAAAATGTGTGTTCTTTTGTAAATTTCCTTGATGATGATATCGACTGTTGGCCCCATAAAAATAACTTCTGCATTTTTGCTTTCTATAGACATTCTTGTTTATGTATATATACAGTATATGTATATACTGTATTGGTAACAGGACAAATCTGATAGGGCACGTGCCCTTGTACCCCCTATGGGCATGACGCCTCTGTAATTCAGAACCACTGGACTAAAAAAAGCGAAATGACATTGATCATTGAAATCTAACTGGCAACTCCATGCAGCACAATTGAGCCACCTTTTCAAGTAAACATACCTCCCTCTGTCTTCCTCCTGACTGCCACACACTCCATTCACACTGTTTCCAGGAGATTAGATTGAAGTGTCACAGAGCATCCACAGGACTAGCTAGATAACGTTTGATCTACCTGAAACAACAGGTGCATGTGTTGACACAACTGTAAGTAAAATTGTAGTGAAATTGTAATATGAATGAATTGTTGTGCATCATTAGGCCTATATGAATTACACACAGTTATTAGTTAGTCCTGTGCATGAGAAATGTATCTTATTAAGTACAAAAATGTACCCTGTTACATTTTTTGGTAGCCTACTTCAGTTTACAATTTATTAACTTACCTTTAATTGATGATAAGGAAGAAATCACTGAGAAACACTGTGCCTTCGGAGGACTGCCAGTAAACGTCGGGAAGTGACGAGTATATGATTCTTGCCTCTAGATAATGATGTGGGAATCCGTGTGATCAGCGCAACCGCCTCCACTTTTCGAGACGGACTCTTCGGACAGGGCGCAGGAAAAGGAAGCGCCAACCTGGTGGACGCAGAAGCGCTGTCCAGGGTGCTGTAGTGCCAATGGCTCGCCTGTTCCTTTGCATTCATTTTGTCCTACTGTTACTGCTGCAAATAAGGTCCCCATCCGCGCTGGAGATGATATACGGTGCACATCGACTTACCTGTGGCCAGGTAAAAGACATTTGGCCTCTTAGGTTTTCTTAAATTGTTTTTCAAGTGTGTTTCAAATCATTTCTATTCTAAAGGTAATATTGCAAGTACTGTATTTAGGCTATAAATACTGGTAAGATATAGCTATTGCACACAAGTATGATTGTGCAGATAGATATATTGTTATTTGTGTGTGTGTTTGTGTGTGTGTGCATGCTTGTGTGACTTTCTTTACCACATGCAAATTCATGTTGGCTGTGTCTGTGGGAGGGGTGGGGGGAGGGGAGGGGAGGGCACATACAAAAACCCAACCAAACAGACAAGCTCTAGTTCACTTGCAGGCACCATGATAATTTATTAATTTATTCATTCATTTCATTTGAAAAGTAATTTGTCATATCTAGTCAAGAGGCTGTCAGAAAGAAAACATCACAATGAACCTTAACCTGCTCTCTCTGCAGTAACCAAATTCCTGATCTAGTCTGGTGTATGTGCATTAAGTCAACACTGGTTATACGCTTGATCAGTTTGAGTGAACAGATTAATGTTTTTATTGGCATGCTGTTGCACAGTCTGTACTGTAGAACAGAGTTTCCCAAACTCCGTCCTGCCTGGTCTGTATGTTGTAGGAAATCACTCTCTCTGTGCCTCCCGAGTGGCGCAGTGGTCTAAAGCACTGCATCGCAGTGCTAGCTGTGCCACTAGAGATCCTGGTTCGAATCCAGGCTCTGTCGTAGCCGGCCGCGACCGGGAGACCCATGGGGCGGCGCGCAATTGGCCCAGCGTCGTCCAGGGTAGGGGAGGGAATGGCCGGCAGGGATGTAGCTCAGTTGGTAGAGCATGGCGTTTGCAACGCCAGGGTTGTGGGTTTGAAAAATACAAAAAATTATGTATGCACTCACTAACTGTAAGTCGCTCTGGATAAGAGCGTCTGCTAAATGACTAAAATGTAAAATGTAAATGTGCTCTCTCCTTAGGGTCTGACTGACTGCAGTGTAAAAGGTGAGACCATACAAAGAAAGTAAAATATATATATAATGCATTATAAGCCAAATTACACTGAACAAAAATATAAATGCAACATGTAAAGTGTTGGTCCCATGTTTCATGAGCTGAAATACAAAATCCCAGAAATGTTCCATACGCACCAAAAGCTTATTTCTCTAAAGTGTGCACAAATTTGTTTACATCCATGTTATTGAGCATTTCTCCTTTGCCAAGATAATCCATCCACCTGACCGGTGTGGCATATCAAGAAGCTGATTAAACAGCATGATCATTACACAGGTGCACCTTGTGCTGGGGACTATAAAAGGCCACTTTAAAAGGTGCAGTTTCGTCACACAACACAATCCCACAGATGTCTCAAGTTTTGAGGGAGCATGCAATTGGCATGCTGACTGCAGGAATGTCCACCAGCGGGGTGGGGGTGTTGAGGAGTATTTCTGTCTGTAATAAAGCCCTTTTGTTGGGGAAAAACTCATTCTGATTGGCTGGGCCTGGCTCCCCAATTGGTAGGCCTGGCTGCCAAGTGGGTGGGCCTATGCCCGCCAAGGCCCACCCATGGCTGCACCCCTGCCCAGACATGTGAAATCTATAGATGTATTTATTTCAATGGACTGATTTCCTTATATGAACTGTAACTCAGTAGAATCTTTGAAATTATCATATTGACATCGTGATAAGTTAACCCTCTCGCTCTCTCTCTCTCTCTCTCTCTCTCTCTCTCTCTCTCTCTCTCTCTCTCTCTCTCTCTGCATCTTAGATGTTGCCCTTCCTGTCATGAAAGGTCCTGTGAATGTTAGGTGGTTGGAGCTTAGAGTGATTCTGTGTTGCACCAGCAGACATGACTGCAAACCCTGCCTGCGAGTCCAGGTCTTCTTCACAATCAAAGGTAACCCGTACAGCTTCAAGCATTCAGCTGCAGCAAAATCTCTCTCGTCCTAGACACTGTGATTAGTCTAGTAAATCCTACCCTTGATACATTGTGGCCTGCCTAGGGAGACACTGTGATGCACACTAATGTCTCAATGCATTATTCCGCAGTCCTTAACCATAACACTACCACTACCCCTAACAGGACTAACCTTAACTCCAACAGGATGTCACTGTGCCTGGGACTTTTGTGTGTACTGCAGGATACTATTGATAGGTTGTAGTTTTGGGGCTTTTGCAGCTTTGCTGTTCTCAGCACATGATATGGTGTTGCTGTTTCTGCCGTCTCAGATCAGCATGAGGACCAGGAAGTGTCTGCTGACCACGGTAACAAAGATTACAACCCTAAGCAGAAGGAAGAGGGAGAAAGGAGTGCCCTAGGGATGCCACCCAGCCAAACAGGTAAGAACAAATATTGTGCCAAAAGAGATAACACACACACACACACACACACACACACACACACACACACACACTCATTGGGGGAACTGTATATGGTCAAGTCAAATAAATGATGGTCTCACTGTGTTTGCTAACTTCATATTAACTGAATGTCTTTCAACCTTTTGACTGTGTTGTGCACTTTCTCATGAAAACTACAATAGTTGCTCTGCTGTCTCTCCTACTGTATATGTTCCAGAAGCTTCTGTAACATTGTGTTACAGCTACCCACACGTCATTGATCGCTGCAAGAAAGTGACATTTACATTGAGCCATTCAGCGCTGGGGGACCAGCACTCTCCTGAGGTAAATTCCCTCCATCACCTGTCATTGAACTGTTGTCTATTAAAAATGTTATGGTTATTTTGGGGAACTTTGGGCACTGCTAGGGTTGTTTAGTTGACAGGACATGTTTGATTTCTGCAGATGTGGCTATCTTTATTGCTGGTGCCAGTACCATATGGAAGTCCAGTCAAGGTCTATGCATTATCTACCTCAGGAACCACCATTATCCCCTCTTTACAAAATGGTAAGAATAATATATATCATACATTTATACCACAACTGTACTGTAGGCTATGCATTTTATTAATCAGATCATGTATTTTGACAACCACTCTCTCCCCCTCTTTCTGTCTTGAAGTTTGTTCCCCAAACCTAGATGGTGTTGTGAAAGAATGTGATGGTGAGTCATTATTATTTTAAGTTGCAATCATTTTCATCAGTACACTGTTCTCTGCATCCTCATGTATTGCACTGAGCCTGATTTAGTTTTATGCCACCATTTAAACCCCTGATTGACTGACATCTGATTGGCTGATTCATGTCTCAGTGCCCAGGCTCCAAGCTGTGATTGATGAGAAGAGAGATGTGGCTGTGCTCAAATTAAAGAGTTCTAACGAAACACCGACCAGTGGGATGAGCATGTGTCAGATGTCCGGGACTGAAGAGCTTGGATTCTGCAGAATCCAGGAGTGGGTCAGTCTGTCTGTTACCGTTGAAAGTCTGTCTACTTGTCTAAATAATTTAGCATCATCCTTAGCTTGTAAAGCACACATTTTTATAAGGTCAAGCTGTAACCTCTTTGCTCACTGTCACCTTCTCTTCCTAAATTCCTTTCTTCTTCTTTCAGCAAGAGGGCCAGAGAGAGATGATAATCCCGCTGAGGTCTATAGCGCCCTGTCTGTGCTTTAAGGTAAACATTGCTTGATTTGGCTGCAGCTCGGCATAAAAAAGCTGAGGAACAACCTGTTTCCAATGCTGAATTGAAGATTGATATAATTTGACAGAAAATGAAACATTTTGTAATCATTATCATGCAGGAGTCACATGCACATTCCTTGTCTGTGGCTTTACATCAGGTTTGGTGGAAGGGAAAGAATCTACGCAGAGAGATCTGCCCCTTCATGAACAACAAAGGTAAGGGGACCAGTGGCGGCTCCTGAAAAAATTCTCAGGAGGGGCAATTTTTCTGATGATTTAGGTGACCTACACACATTTTTAAAAAGATATGTCCAGCAACAACATGAAGACAGGGGCAGCATATAAGTCAATACCAGAAGCATTTATTGACTGATCTCAAAAGTGTTGGCTTACAAAAGCAAAATAAGTTATCACAGTAAAAATAATCAAGGGTGTTCTTTCACATTCCTCAACACTGCATAAACAATATGTATGGCTTTGTAAAAATGAACAACCATATTCTGGCCAATTGTATAGATTTGTAAATATGAACAACCATATTCTGGCCAATTGTATAGATTTGTAAAAATGAACATGAACAGATTTTTTATTTTTTTGAATGGCAGTTACCTTCAAACATGTCTGCTTGCAGTAAGGTAGCACTCACAAGGTGGCCAGAGAAAGAGAACCTTTCTTTGGTGTGATCCAGGATGGTGTTGCAGACCTCTTCAGACAGCCTCTGCTTCTCCTCTTCTCTCAAAGCTGTTCTGGGTCTTTTGGCTCCTGTTGCTTCTTGCAGCTGCTGTTGAGAGGAGTCCCTGGAGGCAAACAGAACCAATGTGTTTGTTGGCTTTGTACAGTATTGTTGTCTATGTGATGCACAGGTATATGCAATGTATCCATGTTAGTACAAATACTTCAGTTCCACTTAAAATGGGCAGGGATGCATAAAGTCTTAGTGTTTAAGTTAGCCTTTGTGTCTCACATAGCCTGGATGTTCAGCACAGTATACAGTGGTGCTCATAAGCTTATGATCCCATGCTAAGTGACAAACAGGGAATAAGAAGAAATTGGTGTCCTTAGGTTGGATTTCCCTTTTATTAAGTCATTAAGATCAATTTCCAAAGATGATTTTTTATTTTTATTCCTCTTTTAGTCAGCTTTAAATGTTCATACACTTATGATCACCACGTACAGTAACACTAGTTTAAAATAGATAGATACACCCTGCCATATAAATTACATTATGTATTTCAAACACAAATGCAGGGCTCCTTTCAGCAACTTTAAATAAAGCTCTGCTTGAGAAGATCGATATATGTTAATCCTTTATCTTACCTAATGGTAACATGCTTTGCGCAGCTCGATAAAGCTTTGATAAGACAGCATCGTGTCCTATCGTGCTTCTGACGTGGTGCAAGAACCATGCCGTCGGATGCTCAAAAATTCTTGACGTCGATACTGAACAGTGTTCACGCTGTATTGATCCTCACGGAGTCGACAGCCTATTCCTGTTCTCTCTTGTGGCAATCTTCCCAATCAGGTTCTGGACAGGAAAGGATCTTCGCAAGGGATTTCTCCTTCATACACAAGGTAGGTGACCAATAAATTGCTTCCTACCGCGCTGCTTCTGGACTTAGTTATCTAAAGCGAATGCCACCTCGCACCGTTTCAGAAGTATGTGAAACCAAATTGAAGTAGATAGGGTAACAGCTGTGAAATTTATGTCAATCCAGTTAGTTCTAATGGAGTGATTTACAGAAGGTGATGATGATAATTGGTTTTGTTCCCTTTATTTTGAGCAGTGTATATCTACATTATACCACAACTGTACTGTAGGCTATGCATTTTATTAATCAGATCATGTATTTTGACGACCACTCTCTCCCCTCTTTCTGTCTTGAAGTTTGTTCCCCAAACCTAGATGGTATTGTGAAAGAATGTGATGGTGAGTCATTATTATTTTAAGTTGCAATCATTTTCATCAGTACACTGTTCTCTGCATCCTCATGTATTGCACTGAACTGATTTAGTTTTATGCCACCATTTAAACCCCTGATTGACTGACATCTGATTGGCTGATTCATGTCTCAGTGCCCAGGCTCCAAGCTGTGATTGATGAGAAGAGAGATGTGGCTGTGCTCAAATTAAAGAGTTCTAACGAAACACCGACCAGTGGGATGAGCATGTGTCAGATGTCCGGACTGAAGAGCTTGGATTCTGCAGAATCCAGGAGTGGGTCAGTCGTCTGTTACCGTTGAAAGTCTGTCTACTTGTCTAAATAATTTAGCATCATCCTTAGCTTGTAAAGCACACATTTTTATAAGGTCAAGCTGTAACCTCTTTGCTCACTGTCACCTTCTCTTCCTAAATTCCTTTCTTCTTCTTTCAGCAAGAGGGCCAGAAGAGATGATAATCCCGCTGAGGTCTATAGCGCCCTGTCTGTGCTTTAAGGTAAACATTGCTTGATTTGGCTGCAGCTCGGCATAAAAAAGCTGAGGAACAACCTGTTTCCAATGCTGAATTGAAGATTGATATAATTAGACAAATATTAACCTATAAATGGCACAAGCATTGCTTCTGGCTTTCCATCAGGTTGAAGGGTTCGATAGTTGCCCTAACAAACAAAAAGGTAAGGGGACCAATAAGATTCCTTCCCTACCGCAGAAACCTTGCTTCTGGACTTGAAGGGTTTGATATTCTAACAGCCAAATGCCTCCATTCCTCTCTCAGAGCTTTTCAGAAGTATGTGGCACAACAACGTATCTGTGTCAGTGGAGGCTCAGACTAGTGCAGAGAACGGCACAGCACTGAGCTGGAACATCACTGCCCCCTGCCAGCTAGAGGGGGAACTGTGGCTGTGCAGGAGGGACTCAGTGGGGGGGCAGTGTGAGGAAGTGATGGGAACCAGGCAGAGGATGCACAATCACACACACGCCGGGTGGACGGCCGCTCTCCACGGACACTGGGTAATGCCAACTTTGTGAAAAGTCTACTTACCCATTACCTTTAATAATGTGTATAATAATATATGCCATTTAGCAGACGCTTTTATCCAAAGCGACTCACAGTAGTGCATGCATACATTTTCGTATGGGTGGCCCCAGCAGGAATCAAACCCACGACTTTGGCATTGCTAAATCACAGAGGACTATCTGGTGTTTTCCTGATGACTAACAGTGTGTATGTGTTTGGATGTGTCTTTTGTCAGAAAAGAGGAGAGTTCATCAATGTGAACCCCCATCCTGCTCTGTGTGTTCAGGTAAGACCTTTTCTTTCCTTTCACACTTGTCCAATGACTATTGGGCAACATGCACTGTATAAATGAAAATGTGAGCCTGTATTTACTGAGAAGTGTTTGTGTCTGACACTGTACTGCTTCTTGTTGTCTAGATGAAAGTGCAGGGGATGGATACAAAGCTGGATCCCTTAATATGTCCATTTGCAAGTACGAATTTCATCCCTGAGCGTCAATATGTCATGCATTTTCATACAATTGATCTATAATGATTGATTATCTGGCCACCTCCAAAACTACTGGCGCCCTTGATAAAGATGATTTTATCGAGCTATATTGTATGTTCACTTTTTATTTTATTTTATGTGTGTTTGAACCACAAGTTCTCCCTGGTAGACGCAACCAGGTTTTTGGGCTAAAATTTTCTGGTACTTGGTAGAGTTCATGATGCCGTTGACCTTAACAAAGGCCCCATGACCAGTGGAAGCAAAACAGCCCCATAACATCAAAGATCCAACACTATATTTTACTATAGGTATGAGGTTATTTTCGGCATATGCATCCTTCGTTGACAAAAACCCACCGCTGGTTTGCGTGGTTAAAGACCTCTATTTTCATCTGACCATAGCACCCGGTTCCAATCCTAGTGCCAATGCCGTTTAGCAAACTCCAGGCATTTACATTTGTTGGTTGCTCTCAATAAAGGATATTTTCTGGCAACCCTGGAGACTAAGTGACCCCCAAGATGTGACCAAATTCTGTAATTCTCCAACTGATGCCCTTCGATTTTCCGTTGCCTCCCGAACCATCTTCGTCACTGTGCGTGGGGATAAGATACACTTACCACTGTTCAAGTGGTTTTACACTTTTTAATACTTGCCCTAATAGTGGTAAGTGGTATAATTAAGCAATACGCCTGGGGGTGTGGTATATGGCCAACATACCACAGCTAAGAGCTGTTCTTATGCACGACGCAACGCAGAGTGCCTGAATACAGCCCTTAGCCGTGGTATATTGGCAACATATCACAAACCTCCGAGTGCCTTATTGCTTAATTATACCACATATCACTATTAGGGCAATAATTAAAAAGTGTAAAACCACTTGAACAGTGGTAAACTGCTGGTAAGTGTATCCTGTCACCACGCACAGTGAGGCAGACGCCTTATTGCTATTATAAACTGGTCACCAATGTAATTAGAGTAGTAAAAATACATGTTTTGTCAAACCCGTGGTATACAGTCTAGCCAATCAGCATTCAGGGCTCGAACCACCCAGTTTATAATTATTGTTGGTGTATTACTTGTTATACAACATGCAATTGTATTATTATAAAATCATATATTTTCCCAACTTTTTTTGCAAACAGCTCAGAATTTGTATTACTTAATTTATACAGTCTTTTCTTGCTCATCTTTATCAAAGGTTCCAATAATTTTGGAGGTGACTGTATTAACTCAACTGATGAAGTTAACCATATTGTTAATTGTATATCAGTGTCGATAGTATAGACCAGGTTAGCTCATTGGTTAATCTCTGTCTCTCTAACACGCAGCATAGAGATTAGTGCTCTATTAGCTAAAAGGATATTTGGCAGAAATAATGGATACAGTCATGGATTATGAGGCATTGATCCCCAGCTCTATATAATCAGACAGACTTCCCCTATAGCACCACGGAACCGATGGAGTCTGACTCTCCTGATTGGATTAATCTGTCTGGCGGTACTTGGGGCCTGCGTCATCCATGGTGCTCTCAAAGGTTAGTGATGCAACTATATATTCATAATATTATTAGCTATCTCTGAAGCTATGTAATCACATCTAATAAAATTAATATAATACTACTTGCCTGGTTTCAAGCCTGAGATGTTTATTTCTAGAGTGTGAGGCAAATTTCTCAGCTTGGTACTGAGGCTAGGACAGCACACACACATCTCACCGTAATGACTTTGCCATAATTACGATGTGTGTCTGCTGACAGGATACGTGTGGAGATGGCTGAAAGACGATGACATAGGAGGTAATAATTTGCCCCTTCTATTCACAGTCTCTAGTCTGAGTCCAATTATACACGTTCTTCACGTTTTAGAAGAATAAGCGCTCTCTCTCTTGATTTCCTTCCCTCTACCTCCCTTACCTTTGTCCTTCTTCTCCCTCTCCATCCCTTTTCTCTACACGCCCCTCCCCCTCTCTCCCTCTCTCAGGTGCAGTAGGAGGCAGCCATATCGTGTTGCTGTACCCTCCTGACAGTGATCAGGCTCTGCCGGGGCTGCTGTGCCGTTTGGGCACGTCCCTGTCCTCTCTGGGCTTCAGTGTGTCTGTTGACCTGTGGAGCCGGGACTGAGCTCAGTGTCCTGGGACCTGTTCCATGGCTCCACTCCCGGCTGGACTGCCTGCAGAGACAGGGGGGCAAAGTGGTGCTGGTGCTGACCCAGGCAGCCTGGGAGAGGGCAGAGGAGTGGGGCAGCAGGGGATGGGAGAGGGACACTCTCCGGGGGAGTGGGTGTGACGAGGATGGGGAGGCAGTGGAGGGGTGTCGTTCTCCATATTTGGATGTCTTCAGCGCTTCACTCACCTGCATTCTGGCGGACAATCTGCAGGGCCGCGCCGGCGAACGCTTCACCCTGGTGCAGTTTGAGTCTCTGCCCACCCAGCCTCCTGGTGGTGGCCGCCCCCTGCCTGAGCTCTTCAGGGGGATGCAGCTCTTCAGCCTCCCCTCCCAGAGCCTGGGGTTCCTGACTGAACTGGCTTTGGGGCGAGGTAGGGGGGCAGCCTCATGGGCACTGGCAGGGGGGCTCAGGGCAGCCTCACGGGCTCTGGCTGGTGGGCTGAGAGGGTCTGCGGGGGGTTCAGCAGTGTTACAGCTTGCAGGGCTGCCACAGGACTGTGTTGGTGCAGGGGTGGAGGACCCCTGGGAGTCTGTGCCTCTGGAGCCGTGTCTCACCACCCCACCATCCAGTCCTGACACCTGCACCAAGACCAGCGGGATGGAGTGGGTCTGAGAGGGACATGCGAGGCTAGGAAGGAACCAGGGGCTTTTTCTAAAGGACGGTAACTGTGGCACTTAGACAGTATACTATAATCAGATACTGGACATAAGGACTTCAGGAGATGGTGACTTGTTGACACTGTATCTCATCATGCAGGTGTAGAGCTACTGTCCAAAGTAGAGCATGACTTGTAAATATTGTAAGTTATTGACTTTTGCGCTCCTGAAACACTACTGTCAACTCCATCTTGGTGCTCATCCCTGAACTGTAAATGTGTGACATTGTTGTACTCAACCATTATCTTCATTTCAAAATGTTATATGGTTAATTTGTAAAGTTTTTTATTTTATTAAGTGGTTTGTTAAGTTGTTAAACGCCAGGGTTAGGAAGTAGTGAACTACATGTAGTTCAACTACTAATTAAACGACATTTTGCAGTAGCTTGGTGGTAGTTTAACTAAATAAAAATCTTATTAGTGTTTTCAGTAGTTTTACTTTTTTTTTTGGCTAACTACTTGCTCAAATAAAATATGGATGAAGTAGGCAAGAATGTCCTTTCTTTTTTGGTATCAGACATTCCTAATTCTCACTTTAAACGTGTTTAATAGGCTAAATTACACATTCTGTTAACATCTGACTCCAGAGCGATCTGTCTTGCAATTTGTAGCCTATGACATTTCAGATTTAGATAGGTTAATTTTTCACTAAGTAGCTTGGATGTAGTGAACTACTCCAAAATAGCTTTACTGAAGTAAAGTATTTTTTTAAAATTAAGGGTAGCTTTAATGTAGCTTAACTTCTTCCAGTGTGAAGTAATTGGTAGTTTGGTAAACTATGATTTCAGAGTAGCTTCCCCAACACTGTTAAATTTCATTTGATACATTTGTGCATTATGTTGTGGTGCATTACTGTGACTGGGTGATCAATAATCAGTCATAGGTCTACAGTGGTTGTGACTAGATGGAGCACAACTACGGACAGAAGTTACTTTTCGTAGCAGGTTAGGAGAGCATTTTAACTAACCCTAACACTTTTCCTAACCTTAACCTAATTATCATAACCTGCTACATTAATTATCCTAACCTGCTGCATAAATTCTCCTAACCCGCTACGAAAAAGTCACTTCCGGTCATTGCTGTATACCACCTAGTCAAAACCGTCTACAGTGGTTTGATTCATGTTCATGTGTATTTGTACAAAAACAAAAAGAAGTGTTGAAATTGCAGTGATTCTAAATAATCTTGAATGATTTCCTGTCTGCCAAATAGTCTCAGGGCAAACGATCCTTTCATGTCGTTTAGGAACAAGGCGCGCCCATTTTGGTACTCGGCGAGTAATGATTGGTTGAAGACTGAGGTCCCAGTGGGATTGGGCGGTATCCTGCCAGCTGCGTCTCAACCAAAAAGAGACAGTAAAAAGCTACTAGAACCCTTGCATCAGCACCGGTCAGGAAACTACCTTAGATAATAAGGTGGCTGGTCAATGAATGGCATGGTTGAAGAACTAAACCGGTGAACGACCGTGTAATTGCATTACTGTGCTGAGGACGCTCCCAGTCTATTGCCTGCAAACTCTGAGAGTTTGCAGCAAGCTGAAGGTAGGATTCAGCACAGCATCATTCTTTGGAAGCAGATCTTTGTTGAAGCAATGTGGCTAACATTAGCTATGCAGCTAGCTAAATTGCCTTAAAAAGTGCATTAGTTGGCAGCTAGCTAGTTAGCATAGTACATTTTCTGTCTTACAATGTACAGTAGGCAGCAGCGGTGGTTTTGAATCATTTCATATTACTTGCACTGACCTGATGGGATGGAGGGTTATCAGATGTGACTGCGAACGGGACCTTGGCTAACGTTAACTAGCTAGAATGATGATGATCTTCTGGTCCACAGCCTAGATGGCTCAGGCTCAGTCAGGACAACGTTAGTGAGCTCCATACCTAGCTAATAATAAAACTAGCTAAGTTAGCTATGTTTTTGCCAGGCAGCATATGCGATGTAACATAATCATCATTAGGCTTATCCTTAACAGGATCCAACTAGATTTGGATTTGGCAAAACATAGCTATGATTAGAGAGATAAAGATACAGGAAGTCAGTGGCACTGCATTGTTTACTGAAAAACGTATATAACTCATCCTCCTTTTTTTTCTCACACACTTTTTTAAATCCTGCTGCCCATCATGGTACACAGCAGTTCTCAAAGTATGATGAATGACTAGGTTGATTGAAAGACACAGTAACAAATCGTGACATAACCACTGTGATGAAGAAATATCAGACTGTGTATCAGTAGTTAGGGTCAACTACGATGTACTGAATCTCCTGTCTCTGTCCTCCGTGGCTGAGTGGTAGGTAGTCCAAGCCATGTCGTGGTTGTGGCCCCTGCTCCCTGCCCTGGTGCTCTTTTCTGTGTTGTCTGTGGTCCGAGTACAGACTGCACCATGCCAGACCTGCCGCAAGCTCACTGACAGCTTCATCAAGGTAGAAGTCGTCTGTCTGTATGTCTGTCTCTCTTCCCGTCTCTCTCACTCCCTCTGTTTGTTAGTTTGTCGGTCATATTGTGCGTGTTTGTATCTGTTGGTATCTCTATTTTGCTTATTGCTTATGTCTCTGTCAGTAGCTGCCATTTTACTCTCTTTGTTGTTCTGTTTCTGTCTTCACCTGATGGTATTTGATTTTTTGTTTTTCCCAGGGACTGGAGAAAACATCCAATAAGAATTTTGGGGGTGGCAACACTGCTTGGGAGGAGGAAAAGCTGGCTAAATATGCTCGCAGGTACTATAGGCCCCACTATGCCCATGTCTCTAGAATCTCTACGAATAAGCAGTCTTTAGGACCTACAGTCTAACATCTGTGTTTACGCAGAGGCAAGTCCACAAGGCCTGCTAATCTCTGACAAGCCATAGCATGTTGTTGAGTGGCCAATGCACCATTATTGCTATAAAGGCTTGAATCTGATGCCACTGACCTGAATCTGTTGTCCTTCTGATTAAGCCAAGGCTGACAAGACGAGCTTAGTACCCCCTATGTTCTTACACAGTATGACAGCCTCTCAAAACTGTGTGTGTGTGTGTGATACTCCTAGAGTGCATAATGGAGGATACGAGGGTCTGTTATTTGTTTTCTCTGTGCTATGTTCGCTAGTGAAGTGTTCTACATTACTCACTCTTCCCCTCCCATCCTCATTCTCAGTGAAACCAGGCTGCTGGAGATAGTGGAGGCAGCGTGTGAGAAATCAGACTTTGACTGTAACAAACTGCTGGAGCAGATAGAGGACCAAGTGGAGACATGGTGGTTCCACCGGTATGTATGCCACATCGTGTCTGTTTGGATCTGACTGTAAATGTGTTATTATTAAATGTGTACACTCCCCTCCATATGCATTTGGACAGTGAAGCAACATTTTATTTGGCTCTATACTCCAGCATTTTGGATTTGAGATCAAATGTGTCATATGAGGCAACAGCAAGTAATTTCACCTTTTATTTGAGGGTATTATCATACATATCTGTTTTACCGTTTAGAAATCGAAGCACTTTATGTATCTAGTCCCCCCATTTGATGAAGTCATAAGTATAAACAAATTCACTTACAGCGTATTAAAGTAGATAAAAGTGTAGTATTTGGTCCCATATTCCTTGCACTCGATGACTATATCAAGCTTGTGAGTCTACAAACTCGTTGGATGGATTTGCAGTTTGTTTTGGTTGTTTCGGATTATATTTTGGTGAATAACACATCTATTGTGTCATTTTGGAGTCACTTTTATTGTAAATAAGAATATTCTACATTCATGTGGATGCTATCATGATTATGGATAATCATTAATGAATTGTGGAAATTATGAGTGAGAAAGGCACAAAGATCATACCCCCACCAAAATGCTAACCTTCCCCGTTATTGGTAATGGTGAGAGGTTAGCATGTTTCTCACTCATCATTATTAATGATTCATTCATGATTTTTCTTAATCTTGGCATTACCAGGATTAGTTTAGAAGTGTTCAGAAACATCTTATTTACTCACTTAGAAAGACAATTCATCCAGTTATCATTTACCATTCAGTTCCTATTGGACTACTTTAATACAATATAAGTGAATTTGTCCAAATACGTATGACTAGATATATAAAGTGCTATCATTTCTAAACGGTAAAACAGATATGTATTAAAATACCCTCAAGTAAAAGGTGATATCTGTAATGTCGTTTCATTTGAAACATTTGATCTCAAATCCAAAATGCTGGAGTGTAGTCAAATTTAAAATGGTGGCTTCATTGTCCAAATTCTTTATGGAGGGGAGTGTATACAGTGCTGTGAAAAAGTATTTGCCCCCTTTCTACTTTTGCATGCAAGAGTGGGCCAAAATTCCTCCACAGCGATGTGAGAGACTGATCAACAACTACAGGAAGCATTTGGCTGCAGTCATCGCAGCTAAAGGTGGCAAAACCAGTTAGAGTGTAAGGGGGCAATTACTTTTTCACACAGGGGAATTGGGTGTTGCATAACTTACTTATTTTATTTATTTAATTAACTATCTTTTTTTTTGTTATTTGTAAACTCCGGTTCCCTTTATCTATTAGGTTTTGGTTGAAGATCTGATAACATTAAGTATCAAAAATATGCACAAATAGAGAAAATCAGAAAGGGGGCAAATACTTTTTCACGGCACTGTAACTGATCTGTGTCAATGTACGTACACACCTAAGCAGTATGCTATTTGTGTGTCCTTCCCTTCTCACCACTGACCTTGTCACTGTCTCTCTCTGTGTGCATAGACAACAAGAGGCTCCAGACCTATTTGAGTGGTTGTGTATAGAAGAGCTCCCACTCTGCTGTCCCCCGGGACGTTTTGGACCAGACTGCAAAGGTACTGAGAACACACAGACACACACACACACACACACACACACACACACACACACACAGTCACGGTATTAACCCTGTGTGTTGTTGTGCTGCAGAGTGTCTGTCCGGTCCTGGAGGTGTGTGTGGTGGTCTGGGTCGCTGTGAGGGAGAGGGCACGCGTCTGGGAGATGGAGAGTGCGTGTGTGACCCGGGGTACTTCGGTCAGCTGTGTCAGAGCTGTGCAGACGGCTACTACAGAGAGAAGAGCTCCAATCACAGCACACCAGCCTGCGCAGGTACCCATTCAGAAACAGTTTGCCTGTCTGAACATCAACCAGACAGCCTGGCTTATATATTATCAAGCAATCTCATGTAGAATGCTCACAAACCAATACTTTATCCTCTGTGTGATGTCTGTAGCATGCTACCACTCCTGTAAAAAGTGCTCAGGGCCAGAGAACTACAAATGTCTGGAATGCAAACCTGGGTGGCTCTTCCATGACAACAAGTGTGTTGGTGAGTATTTGGCTTTTGTGTGTGTATTTGTGTGTCGTCCGTTGGTTTTCGGACTGTGTCTGCGTTTAACTCCTGCTGTGCATGTTGTTTCCAGACACTGATGAGTGTGGCACAGAGCTGGCTCGATGTCCCTCCAACACCTATTGCCACAACACAGATGGATCGTACGAGTGCAGAGGTACTGTAGGCTCTCCCTCTACTCTCTGCTAGTGACGGAGTAATGACTGGTCCTGTTTGTTGTTGGTAGACCTGTGTGCTGACCCAGACCTCTGTCCTCTCTCCTCTGTGCCAGGCTGTGACCAGGCATGTGTGGGCTGTATGGGCAGTGGTCCAGCCCGCTGTAAGAAATGTGCTCGGGGATACAAGCTCAGAGGAGCCAAATGTCTCGGTGAGGGAACTCTTTTTTACTATATGATTCGGCCCAAGGGCGCAACGTTCACTGGGGACGGACGGACGGACGGTGGACATGTCCCCCCCACATTCTGAAATTGTATTTTTGTCCCCCGCCGGTTTTATCATTGGAATGTGATATAAAACAAGGCAAACAGAGTTCTTTAGGACCATGCGGACGCCTCCTAGCGGTCGGGTAGGCTGTTTGGAATGTTTATCCGACTGGATAAAAATAATTATGTCCCCCCCCCCACTTCTAAAACCAAAGTTGCGCCCCTGATTCAGCCAATCCGATGAACCTTTTATTAAAGCAGTCTGACTTAGTATACACTCTTGTCATGGGGTTCACTCTGTCCATCTTTTCTTTCTCTCCCTCCCAGATGTGGATGAGTGTAGTGAGCGGGCGATAGCATGTCCAGGGCTGAATGAGGCGTGTTTCAATGACGAGGGGTCCTTCCGCTGTGAATGTGCTGACGGCTTCATCCGTAGAGACAGCATCTGTGTGGAGAACCAGCCGCTGAGTAAGTGACACACACACACACAAACGTGATAGTTCTTTCTGCATGACCTACACACCACAGCATCACAAACCTAATCTCTCTCTCTTCCTCCGCCATCTCCCCATCAGGTGGTCCAGAGAAGGGTCTGTTTGATGACATGACTGATGACGAGGTCCTGGTCCTGCAGCAGATGTTCTTTGGCGTGGTCATCTGTGCCCTAGCAACGCTCGCCGCCAAGGGCGACATGGTCTTCACCGCCATCTTCATCGGAGGCGTGGCCGCCATGGCCGGATACTGGCTGTCAGAGAAGGGCGACCGCATGCTGGACGGCTTCCTAAAGGGACGCTAGCCTATCAGGAGCCAGGGATAGAGGAGAGGAAGGAACTCTTGAATGCAAGCCAATGAGGGCGACAAAAACTCAGAGGGGGTGGGACGGCTACAGGAATGCTAGCCAATCAGGGATGTACTGTACTACTTTGGGGGGGTGGCGGGGGGGGGGGGGGGGTTCTAAAGGATGTGGGTCTTCTGGATTGTGAACCTTTAAGATGATAGAGGGAGATGAATAAGAGACCTTGGAGTTAGTCAAATCAGAGAGCTCAATGGAGGAGTGAATATAGAACACTGGGTACTACTTGATCCAAGAACACTGAAAAGACACTAAGGACACTGGACTCTCTGTCTGCACTGATATGGGAGACAAAACCCAAGCCTCTTGCCTCGACTCATGGGGGGAGAAAAGGGAGGGAGTGTCAGGTCTAATAAGACCACTACTGATTGTTACCAAGTTATTATGCATTTGTATCTTCTACTGGGCAAAATATTGCTCCAAAATGATGTCTGTCCATTTCCACGCATCGCAACCCAAACTTCTTAGCTACCCGTCTTACCTCATCAGCATTCTACTGTTCATCATTTCACCTTTTACTGAGGAACAGAGGTGTTTCCCTGGTAATGGGAGATAGAAGGTGATATGGGAGATAGGTGATATGGGATGGTCATTGAAGCACTAAAGACTGCTGCTATGGTGGACATGGGAAATGTTTAGGAAAGGACAGATGCGTCCTGTCGCACCAGTGAAATGATGTCCAACGTTATAACACTATTTATAATCCCATCCCTATTATGACTTTGTGTTTTTGCACAAACTGATTCTTACTGTATGAATGCATGAGAAAAGGATCTGAGAAAGGCCATACTGTATGGATTTATTGTCCTGATTGGCATGAAAGACTGAACTTTATAGAGCTGCTTGTTTCCCCCTTAAACTGTTCAACCAGGATAAAAGGATCATCACTATAATAATAATAATAATAATGATAATAATGTGTCACCACCCCAAACCGTACAGCCTGAGCAGTGTGCATGAGAAAGCAAGAGAGTAAAAGGCAGTAGTCCTAGTGAACACCCATTTTTATTGTTTTGCAATAACTCATTTCTGAAATTTTTTTTTTGCAAATACATTTTTCTGATTTTTATTCTGTATCTGTTTGATGTGTGTGATACATCGAGTTTGATCAGCACCAGGTAAATGGGGTACTGTACAATGAAATGCACAAATGTATTTGATCAGAACTGTCAACATTTGCAGTTGAATCCACAAAGTGATCTGTTTAATAATCCCTCCACGTTGTCCCACCCTCATCCCGAGTAGCTACTAGAGCTAGTACGCTTAGAATAAAACATTTATTCAAATGATCCGTCTTTTTTCATTTTCAACATTCCAGATGAAGTTTTCAATCATCTCCATTTGAATTGTTCATCATGTCCTTAGGTTCCAGAACCAGTATGTTTCTTGTGTTTGTTAGGTCTAAGCTTCCCAGCACTTCTTTGCATTATGGCCATTTATTTAATAAGGAATTCTGATTCCCCAGAGTTCTATTTTCTTTACAATAACCTCTTTCACCATTTGTATTTGACATGTTGTTGAAATGAACTAAAAGCAATTTAATTTGAGCTAATGCTGCTCATTGCTGAAGACCTTACTAAAACACTGCCGTTGCATGTAGATTAAAGTCATTCAAGGAAACAGATAGTGAAGAAGTCCCCTACAAAGCTAGCTATGGAAAAAGAGAATATGTGTGAACATTTGTGAGCAGAGGTGTGCGTTTCTATTTCAGTGTGCCGCTCCAGTTAATGGGGTTGTGGCGTAGCAGTTCTCGCTCCCTCAGGGCATCCAGAGAGCGAGTCAGTGCCCTGTCCCTCCAGCTCTGCTCCATCAGCTATACACACACACACACACACAAAAGAGAAGAGTATGTGAGTAAAGAATCTCACATTAGGACTAAGTCAGTGGAGACTGCTGAGGGGAGGACGGCTCATAATAATGTCCGGAACAGAGCAAATGGAATGGCATCAAACACATGGAAACCACCCGCTCCAGCCATTAGTACATTGTGTGTGTGTATTGCAGGGTTTCCCAACTGGCGTGAATTTGGTCCGCGGGTGGTTTTCTGAAAAAAAAAAAAAAGAAACTTTTTATTGTTGGACATAAGACTATAAAAACACCAGGAAATCAGCTCCAAGTGATTTTAATTTAAGAAATCTGTTCCCAAGTATTCCCATGCATAATAGAGATACGTGATCATATACACATGTAAGCAAGGTTTGAAATTATTAAGTTTTAGTCAAACATATCTGTTTGGGCGTCTTGCAGTCTAAAAATGATTTGTAATTATGTTTATATTTAACATTTTAGTTGACGCTCTTATCCAGAGCGACTTACATGAGCAATTATGGGTTAAGTGCCTTGCTCAAGGGCACATTTACAGATTTTTCACCTAGTCGGCTCAGGGATTCAAACCAGTGACCTTTCAATTACTGGCCCAACACTCTTAACCGCTAGGCTACCTGCCGACGCTGCCTGTTCCGACCCGCGGCTGAATCTAGTTGATGATCCCTGGTGTATTACCTTCTTGTTCTCATCTCTGTACTGGCTCATCTCTCTGCTGTGCTGGATCCTCTGCTGTCTCTCACTGGAGAGAGCCAAGCGATCCACTTCCTGTAAAAACTCTGCCTCCTCTGCCTTACTGGTCAACTGCAGCATCAGCCCCGCCCGCTTCTCCTCTATCTGGCTCTTCAGCTGCTGGCGTACCTCTGATCTGGAAAATCCGATCTGGAGATTTATAAACAACATGACAGAAGCCAGAAGCCCACCTAGGTATGGGAAGGAAAGCAATAATTCAGACGAGGATTCTTTTACCTGTACTCCTCTCTCTCAGTGCAGGATCCGTAGAATGGCTTCCGCCACACCTGGTGATACCTAACAAATCCCCAGAGAAAAAAATATTAATTGGCAGAAATGTGACATTTTCATATTATCGGTATCATGTAGTTTTCTACTGCTGTTTTACTACTGGACTCACGTGTAATGCTCCTTTCTCTTCATTACCAACGCCCTCTGGTGGTTGTGGTGATGCACAGCAGGGGTCTCCAGGCTGACCGTTCGTCTATGGACCAGAGGAGGATGGAGGGGGTCCAGTCTGGGGACAGACTGCCGACCAGATAGGACGTTTTCACAACAGGCAAAAAATATTTATAACACTTGAATTGTCTTTTTCTTAGCGTTAATGCACACCTGGCTGATTGGCTGTGCTGCAGAGGCAGGTGAGATGATGGGCAATGTCAGGGGAGTGACCATAAGGTAGCGACTTTGACGGACAGGTGTGGATCGAGGAATAGACAGAGGTGTTGAAGTCAGGCGAACAGCAGCTGTGGTAATGAATAGAAGAATCATGCGCAGTATAAACACTGAACGGGTAAAATAATCAAACATGCACAGTTCAAACTGAGAGTAAACCATTCATTCAAAACGTCAAAGCTGTTTTCTTACGAAGTTTCATTCCGTAGACAGGGCTGTGCCAGCAGTGGAGTCCGGTCCTTGTGCATTGAAAAACGTCTAAAGGGTCTGTCTTAACTTTCACACTACTAAGCTCTCTTCTTACAACTGGCAATGTCATAACAGTCAAGTAATTCTTCATAACAGTAAAGTTGAATTTATTACTTGCAAACTACTTCCTTTTCAAATATTTACTTTAATGACTATTAAGACTTGGATTTAAATTGAAATAGTACAAACAAATGCACTCACTTGGGTGTTTTGCGGTGGCAACTGTTGCCTTGGGAATCGGGTTACTCGTGTGCTGACAGAGAATAAAGCTGGAGCCGAGCGTAGCTAAATGCACCAGTGCTCTCCTAAAGAAAGTTTATTAGCATGTGAAATAGGGCCGGGCGAGCTATTGTCAGAGCATGGCTTCAGAGCTAGACAGATGGAGACTATTCAGTACACGCAAGAAAGGAACACCAATCTCCACTAGACAAAGGGGACACAGTTTATCAGTTGCATTTCCAGAGGCACAACATCAAAGTCCAATTGAATGTAAATGAGTCATTAGGCTTTTAAAACATGATAAAACCATTTATTTAATACAATCATGTTGAGTAACAATTGTTTTTTGACTGTTCAGACAATGGAATGTTACTACTTAGTCTTGAGAGGAGCAGGGATCAGTACATAGTCTTTGGATCATTTCCAAGAGAGATACTGAGATATCAGGTTATAAGCCTTATGATTTAAGAACTAGAACATTCTTCCACTGATAAAATATGTTGTGTTAAAATGTGACATTGCAGTTCCTCATCATTCAGATTCCCAACCTCTCATGGTTCTCCCACAGCCAAGCATGGTACTTGTTCAGCATGTGGTCATGGGGTTCAACCTATGTAAACATACACACAAAAGGGCAATATCTGTAGTTGACAATATCTGGCGCTATTATTTAAATGTTGGTTTAAGAATAGTTGCCATTTTTGCTAAAGGGATAATACACTATAAACTGTATGCAACAACCTACTATGGGGTCTGTGACTCACTCACCTGTCTCCACTCCTCTACACAGAAGATCCTGTAGGAGTCATTGCCGTACTTCCCAATCCCATGCAGCTCTATAGGGTAGCGCCACTGCTTGTTCAGGTATTCATCTGCATAAGAGATATGCACATACCCATTATTTCTCAGGTGCTGGCAAAAACAAACACACCTCTAACACATGGAGGATAGGATAGCCCAGTCGCCATCCTCGATTCAACTAAAACTAAAACTTCACTTCCTAGGAGGGAAATCAGTGAGCAGTTATTCTACATTTCATTTATCATCTATTGGATCCACAGGTGGAGATGGGAACAGTGACTCACCAGAGAACCTGATGATGATTTTGGCTCGGAGTTCATACAGGCCCAGAGGCCTCAGCAGCACAGACAGGGGCTTCCACTCTGCCCTCCTGGTCTCCTCCGCTGATGGGTAAAGCTCAAAGAACTGCCACAACACCGGGATGGCCATCTTACCTGAAAAGGAAGACAGGACAGAGACTGTGTGAGATAATTCCAATGTTTTTATTGTAGATGTTAGAAAATTATTGGAAAAGTGCTTGAGTGCCTGTGTGTGTGTTTGAGCCTTGCATGTGTGTGTTTGTGTGTGTGTCTCACCGCTGGTCTTGTTGAGGAACACGGTGGCTACCAGGAGTTTCCAGGGGTCGTGGAAAAGAGTCTCCTGCACCAGGTGGAAGGGGGAGCGAGGAGGGGTCCACTTCCTGAAGGCATTCCTCCTGGGGGGGCTCAGACCTGTGTGTGTGGACATAAGGGGTTTTGATCATAAAGAAACTATTTTTTATTTAACTTACGTTTTTCTCCAAGAATGGTGAGTTCTGTTAAATTCTATCATTTATGAAATTATTACCATCTCTCAATGACTTTCGACTGAAATAAGGACTGGTCTTCCGTTTCTCTCCTAACAGTTCTGGACAGAACAGGAACAACAAGCACCTTAGGCATCACTACACACATTAAACATGTTATTCTCTTGGGTCAAGAAGATGATTACGTTTTTCTCCATCTAGGCATCACAGTCAATGCACATTATGCATCACAACTCTGATAGCACAATGCACAGTAGAGGAAATTGATACATACTGCTCTGGGAATCTTTTAATGGTGTACATCGCCCTCCAGTGGTCTGGGGAGATGATGGCAGCTCTTCTTCATGCACCTCTGCCTCTATATCCTCCACTCCCTCAGTCTCCCCCACTCCCACACCTTCAGACTCAGCCTTCCCCTCGCTCTCAGAAGCAGACTGCACCCTAAGGACTGGGACAAGTAACAGTGACACAGGAAGCTGCTCTCCTCGACCAACGAGAGCGTCTTGTAGCTCAGTGGGCGGGGCCAGCCTGAGCAGCTTCTCTCTCAGCAGCCCCGGCCTCCTCTGGGGGCTCTTCTCCAATATGACATCATCAACTACTGCCACGACCTTCAAATGCCTCTCAGTCTCATCATCACCCCTTCTCACAGAGGCTTGTATGTTTGGCTCTTTGATGTCTTCATCTGTGTCTGATGGGTGGCCCCTTTCTGTGCCTCTCCCAGCTGCCTGTCTGTGATTCCCCCTTGCCAAGGGAGGCCTGTCAGGCCTCTGCTGAGTTGATATCGTTCCCTTGTCTCTGGGTCTGGTTCTCAGCTTGCAGGATTTTGCGGAAGAGGCTCTTTTTGTGTTATTTGAAGGCAGGCCTAATATTCTACCCTCCTTTTCCATATTCTCCTCCGTGTCCTGCCTGTCTTCTTTGATATTGGCCTCTGAGGTGTGACGTGTGTGTTCCTGAAGACCTTTCCTCTGTCTCTCCTGGCTGGGCAGTGGGGTCACAGCTACACTGCCACTCTTGGCAATGGTGAAGTCAAAGTCATCTATCTGTAGACCCCCTCCTGCATCTTTGAGAAGGAAGGCTTGAAGAGACGTCCTGGACCGGAACCTCCGTCCCTGGGGACTACAGAGGCAGATCATTTACTTCATGTGGAATCAATGATCCTAGGATCTCACTCTATCTGCAATGCACTTAGCCCCTAGCCCTGACAGTAAGATACAGACACACTTCAGTGATGTTTACATGCAATGAGAGTATTTGGTGAAGAAAAAATCTGAATCACCTTGTTATATAGATGTCCATTTTTCCTGCAGTCTTCCCACTTTTCCTCTGCCTCACCACTCTCACCCAGCCCAGTGGCATACTAGAAGGCTGGCATGACTCCTCATCCTCCTGTCTGGTCAGCTGACTCTTGACTGCACTGGGATCAGTCTCTTTGGTAACTATCATATCTGAACCAGGAACAGCCATATTGTCTGTGTCAGAATTAGGATTGGAGTGTGTGTCAGTGATGGAGTTCTCTGTGTTGAGGTCAGTGTTTTTGAGCCTGGTTGTGACTGTGTTGTTGTCAGTAGGGGAAGCACAGGTTGTGTCAACAGTAGGCTCAGTCTTAGCCTGACACATATGATAACCCAGTGATAGCATATTGTCCACATGCAGAAGCATAGAGGCTGTAACTCTGTCTCAGACTGTCCCAAGCTGGGTTTCATGAGGCTGAGATCCTGCTCTGCTCCTCTTATCTTCAGTCATGATGATGTTCTTCTCAGGACATCTGGGGCTCTATACCTTCCTGCCACAAACAAAATGATGGATCAGAATAGTCAACTCACCCTGTCTATCATATTTAAAAAAAAGTATGGTTTGGGCAAATAGGTGACTATTAGCTAGCTAGCTAGCTGCTATTTAGCGAGCTAAGTAGCTAAACAATTTGCAGATTGGCTTACCTTCTTGATAGTCGATTTAGCTGTGCTTGTTTACATGTCTCGTAATCACGTGCTTTTATGGTTGAATGGTTAATCTCTGTTGGCATATAACTTGAAGATCGAGTAGAATAAAGTTGTCGGATGCCAGGCTTTTCGGAGACATGACATCAACATCTTTGGATAAATTGTATTTGCCGCTGTGCTGTGAAGTGTGTGACCTAGTTTGTGAGCGATTCCGCTTTACTCACACATGCCATGCGCAGAACGCAGCACATGAGACAGGACAGGAAACAGAGAAAGGAGTCTGCGCACAAGCGAGCAGATCCTGTACATTGTGACTGCTGATGAGCGTTTTTGGGGGGCTAAGAGGTTTTTCTGCAGAGGCATTACAAGGAATCTTGTCGGCACCTGAGCCTGTGTCGGGATGTGATTTAAACTGTGACTGAAGGAGTGGGACGGTTGTTTCATTTATTTTTGTATTATGTCGTGCCCCCTTCCCGAAATAGAATATGTTTTGTTTCAATACCCGGTACGGTAGGTGGTGGCGATACACCAACAGGTGTAGTCTGCCATACAACTTTAAAGAAGAAGAAGAAGAACATGACCCTTACAATGTACCATGTACTTTCATTCATACCATGGTACTACTATGATACTTTCACTTATACCATGGTATAGTCTGAGTCATGGAAATGTACCATGGTTTTAGCTTTGAAGTATGATGGTACTACCATTGTACCCAGTGACGATTTTAGCATGTAAATCTTGGTGGGGCAAAAAAAAAAAATAATAGTTTAGATGCATGCCAGCAAAGCCACTACACAACACAGCACAACACTAAACAATACATTAATTGCACTATAACGGTGACAAACGGTGCCCATAAACTGTTAGGGCCTACATAAAGCTGTCCCAAAAGCAGAGCTTTCTTTTCAGCACCATGTAGTGAATCCTTAATACCGCTACACCTGGCTTTCAGCAGAGCCTTGTCTGGCAGCGAAACAGTTCATTCAGCCTCATTTGCTGCCTTTTTAAAAAACATAGCTGATATGGCTGACTTGCTTAAACAAATGTGGTTTCTACTGTCAATTGAGATATACAAACTATGGCATAAGGGAATGACGAGCGGATAAGAGGCAATCCGTCATTTCGATTAAGACATTTATGAGCGAGCTAGGACAGACGTAGTCAATATAACTATTTGTTCAGCACTTTTGAAATGTACAGCGACAGTATTCAGAACATGGGCCGTTCTTGACGTATTCTCCCTGTACACCAAGTCAGAACCGTAGGATAAATAAAGGGGGCATATAAGCAGACAATGAAAGCTCTTACAATATTTGATGATTACATTTATCTAAAACAGGCTATAGGCTACATGTGCACCACCAAGTCAGAACAGTAGGCTAAGTTATGAGGGGGAAAGGGACCAAATTATTAGGGTGAGGCATATGGGCTACTAACAGCTTACTACACAACATACACTTAGTATTACTTTCTTAGCTACAGTATACAGTCGTGGTCAAAAGTTTTGAGAATGACACAAGTATTGGTCTTCACAAAGTTCGCTGCTTCAGTGTTATGAGATATTTTTGTCAGATGTTACTATGGTATACTGAAGTATAATTACAAGCATTCCATAAGTGTCAAAGGCTTTTATTGACAATTACATTAAGTTTATGCAAAGAGTCAATATTTGCAGTGTTGACCCTTCTTTTTCAAGACCTCTGCAATCCGCCCTGGCATGCTGTCAATTAACTTCTGGGCCACATCCTGACTGACGGCAGCCCATTCTTGCATAATCAATGCTTGGAGTTTGTCAGAATTTGTGAGTTTTTGTTTGTCCACCCGCCTCTTGAGGATCGACCACAAGTTCTCAATGGGATTAAGGGGAGTTTCCTGGCCATGGACCCAAAATGTCGATGTTTTGTTCCCCGAGCCACTTAGTTATCACTTTTGCCTTATGAAAAGGTGCTCCATCATGCTGGAAAAGGCATTGGTCGTCACCAAACTGTTCTTGGATGGTTGGGAGAAGTTGCTCTCGGAGGATGTGTTGGTACCATTCTTTATTCATGGCTGTGTTCTTAGGCAAAATTGTGAGTGAGCCCACTCCCTTGGCTGAGAAGCAACCTCACACATGAATGGTCTCAGGATGCTTTACTGTTGGCATGACACAGGACTGATGGTAGCGCTCACCTTGTCTTCTCCGGACAAGGTGTTTTCCGGATGCCCCAAATAATCGGAAAGGGGATTCATCAGAGAAAATGACTTTACCCCAGTCCTCAGCAGTCCAATCCCTGTACCTTTTGCAGAATATCAGTCTGTCCCTGATGTTTTTCCTGGAGAGAAGTGGCTTCTTTGCTGCCCTTCTTGACACCAGGCCATCCTCCAAAATCTTCGCCTCACTGTGCGTGCAGATGCACTCACACCTGCCTGCTGCCTTTCCTGAGCAAGCTCTGCACTGGTGGTGCCCCGATCCCGCAGCTGAATCAACTTTAGGAGACGGTCCTGGCGCTTGCTGGACTTTCTTGTGCGCCCTGACGCCTTCTTCACAACTATTGAACCTCTCTCCTTGAAGTTCTTGATGATCCGATAAATGGTTGATTTAGGTGCAATCTTACTAGCAGCAATATCCTTGCCTGTGAAGCCCTTTTTGTGCAAAGCAATGATGATGGCACGTGTTTCCTTGCAGGTAACCAAGAGGGACTTTGCAATGAATTGCAATTCATCTGATCACTCTTCATGACATTCTGGAGTATATGCAAATTTCCATCATCAAAACTGAGGCAGCAGACTTTGTGAAAATTTGTATTTGTATCATTCTCAAAACTTTTGACCACGACTGTACATATCTCCATGTCATATTACATCATTTATGCAGCAGCATACACAGTGTTGCCATGTTTGAGGTTTTCCCGTCAAATTTATTGGTCGCAGTTTGCAGATTTTTGGGCTATTTCTATGTTGCAACGCGGCTGCCAAGGCATGTCTCTTAAAAATATATTTCACTGTGACCTGCTCCTGACTGTCAGGCAGTGAGACAGGCTGTTGCTGAGTGAGTGAGTGGGTTCCTAAAGAGCAGGAACCCAGACTTCATCAAATACAGACATTGTCATCCTACAAGAAACATAGTATAGAGGAGATGGACCCATTGGTTGCACTCTAGGTTACAGAGAGCTGGTAGTCCCACTCTATTAAATTAGTCAAAACAGGAACATTTTACACCTGGCTAGAAATTAATAAGGAAATGATCTTAACAGAGAAAAATGTCCTCATGTGTGCTACCTATATCCCCCAATAGAATCCCCATACTTTAACAATGGCAGCTTCTCCATCCTAGAGGGGGAGATCAACAATTTCCAGGCCCAGGGACATGTACTAGTCTGTGGCGATCTAAATGCCAGAACTGGACAAGAACCCGACACTCTCAGCACACAGGGGGACAAACACCTACCCGGAAGTGACAGTATTCCCTCCCAAATATGCCCCCCTAGACACATCTATGACAAAACAACCAACAAAAATGGGTCACAACTCCTGCAGCTCTGTCGCACGCTGGGTCTGTACATAGTCAATGGTAGGCTTCGAGGAGTCTCCTATGGTAGGTACACCTACAGCTCATCCCTTGGCAGTAAGTACTGTAGATTACTTTATCACTGACCTCAACTCAGACTCTCTCAGAGCGCTCACAGTCATCCCACTAACACCTCTATCAGATCACAGCAAAATCCCAGTCTACCTGAACAGAGCAATACTCAATCATGAGGCATCAAAGCCAAAGGAACTACACAATATTAAGAAATGCTATAGATGGAAGGAAATGAGTGTAGAAACCTACCAAAAAACAATTAGGCAACAACAAATTCAATCCCTTTTAGACAACTTCCTGGACAAAACCTTTCACTGTAATAGTGAAGGTGTAAACTTGGCAGTTGTCACGATCGTCGTAATGAGTGTACCAAGGCGCAGCGTGAAATGCGTACATCTTTTATTGAGTACTATTAACAATAACAAAACGAAACGTGAAGTCCTCGGACATTAACACAAACCTACACGGAACAAGATCCCACAAAAGACAAGTGCACAACAGGCTGCCTAAGTATGGTTCCCAATCAGAGACAACGAGCCACAGCTGTCTCTAATTGGGAACCACCCCGGCCAACATAGAAACACATAAACTAGAACAAGAACATAGAAAACGAAACATAGAACCTAACACCCAGAAACTAACACATAGAAACTAACACCCTGGCTCAACATATAAAAGTCCCCAGAGCCAGGGCGTGACAGTATCCCCCCCCAAAGGCGCGGACTGCGACCGCGCCAACTAAACCCAACAGGAGAGGGGCCGGGTGGGCATTCCACCTCGGAGGCGGATCCGGCTCCGGGCGTGACCACCACCCTCTAACTAACCCCCCGTAGCGCCCCTGGTCTGGTCCCGCTGGCTGGAGCTGGACTGGACATCGGTGGAGCGGATTGCTTAGGCTCCGGTGTGGAGCAGCTGACCGGTACCTGACCAGGCACCGGTGAAACAGGCACAGGCTGTGCCGGACTGACGACGCGCACCACAGGCTTGGTGCGGGGAGCAGGAACGGGCCGGACCGGGCTGGCGACGCGCACCACTGGCTTGGTGCGGGGAGCAGGAACGGGCCGGACCGGGCTGACGACGCGCACCCCAGGCTTGGTGCGAGGGGCAGGAACAGGCCGGGCCGGGCTGGCGACCGGCACCAGTACCTCTTGCCGTGCCTCTACACTCTCCTTCCCTCTAATGACCAATGGCCCCCGTAACCTGGTGGCCTTCTCTCCTAGTCCACAATCTCGCCCTGTAGCTGCCTCCAGCAGCCCCGTCGTCGATGCCGTGTGCCCCCCCCCCCCCCAAACATTTCTTGGGGTTGCCTCTCGCCTGTCCGACGACGGCCCGGTTGGCGCCGCTTCTCCTCTCCTGCCTGGGTCTCCCCCTTCATCGCCCTCCGGTAACGGACGGCCTCCTCCTCCGTTATCCTCCCCCAACCGAGGAGGACATCTACCAACGTTATCTCCGGCGTTTGCTCCTGGAAACGCTGCTTGGTCCTGTTTTGGTAGGATCTTCTGTCACGATCGTCGTAATGAGTGGACCAAGGCGCAGCGTGAAATGCGTACATCTTTTATTGAGTAAAATTAACAATAACAAAACAACAAAACGAAACGTGAAGTGAAGTCCTCGGTCATAAACACAAACCTACACGGAACAAGATCCCACAAAAGACAAGT